TTGCAAAATTTGAGCTCAAACGGAAATTATTTGCCAAATCAAATCTTCCAAAATTGCCAAAAATCAAGCTTACTCTTTGATTTTTTCTTTGGCCAAGATTCTTCACATGGCACGTTTACACCTGTAGAGGCGACGGTAATTTATTTATTCATTGATTTTAAGTTTGAACTAATTTTAAAAACTTATTTTTAAAATCTTTTAAAAAAAATTTGGCCACCCTACCACCCCGAATTTTAGTATTTCCACAATTCATTTCTTCTCTTGCAAGGCTATTCATAGTCAAGTTGAGCACACATTACAAAAGACGGTTTTGGAAATGGACAACGTAAACATCCGTGGTCCTAAAGATTTCTGTGGGGGTTCAAATTCAAGTTTTTATCTCGCTTTGGTCTAAAATACTAATACATAGTATTTCTACTCATGTATACATAGTCAAAGTCAACTTCAAACGTCCATAACTTTGCTAGACAAAATTTAACAAAACTTAGGGCAAAACAATTGTCTTGGAGAAGAGTTCAATACTATGTATACATGAGTAGAAATTAGATGATGCAAAAATTCGAATTTTAAGAAATAAAAGCAATTTCTATTACAACATAGTGGAATAAATCTTCTCCCGTTTTAGATCAAAAAATCTCAGTGATTACTCGATGAAACAATCCCGTTCTTTTTGTCAAAATGTATTTAGTGATTTTAGCTCCACTTTCACAAAGAATCAGCCAACATTCTCAACCAAAATAAAAGAATAAAAGTTTACTCCCTAGTTTTCAAGCAAATGTGGAAATATAAAATTTGCATGCATTGTACAAGAATCATCATTATCATTAAGATAAATAGAAAATTAATAGAAAACTTGATAGGGTATTTTATAAGAAACTTTTACCAATTAAACCTAGTATTAATTTAGAATTAATACTAGAACCATACCATACAGATTTTACATCACAAAAATTGCAAACAAATAATTAGACAGAAAAAAGTGAAGATAGGTGAAAAGGATATGCAACAAGCATTCATCTTGGAGTAACATCAAAAGTGAAGTATTCTTTTAACTTTTGCAGATTTTTTTCAAACTTGAACATGTTATATTGCGTCCATTTCTAAGAGAATCATCAAAATCACACAACTGATGTACGTGGTTCAACTCCACATGAAGCTACGTCCACGGCCAGGATAAAAGCTTCACTAAAGCCAGAATGTTACATCATGACTACATAGCTCAACTCTCCATTATCTCTCCCCGCCGAGGTACGCGGGAGACTAAACTGAAACGTGCTCATATTATGATTGAGTATCTCAACCCTAACTAGAGACCAAGTCTAACTACAATTGTACTAAGTACAGTTGACAAGAGGCGGGTTAACTTTACATCACTCACCTATATGAAAACTTGGTGTTGAGCTATGAACTAAACTCCAATTTTAATATTTAGAATGTAATGAATAGTTTTGATGCACCAAAATAAAATGAATATATTAGACTTCAAAACTTGTATGTGGAGTTATCCATATACAAACATTAGAACACATTTAATCATCTCTTTGAGTATGTTCAGTATATGATTTTGAGATTCATAGAAACATTGGTACGCATGTGACATCGTTCCAACTCATTTCGTTTTGTTGACACCTAGGTCAAGAGCATTACAGAGAAATATTAAACAAAAGGAATTACCAACTATTGATTGCTTGGTACATTTTTTTGTTAGTAAATAAAGTAAGCCAAGATAGAATAGAGATATCTCATGAACTAGTTTGTACACCAATAACGAGAAAATTTTCCGAAGGTCATACACATTGAGCTATCCTTACTTCGTATTTTACATGAAGATTATGTTCAAATTAAACACTAACCTGAGCACCTTATTGGCAATCTTCAAACAAGATCTCCTAGTTTTCTGGATCGTCTTAGTATTGGAAACTTTCATTCATATGGGCACCGCAGAAGCATTTCGTCTGTTGAGTAACTTCGCTATAAGTTCAAGGTAGCTCATTCTCGAGCAGAAACAACGGTTGGCTAATGGTAGTCATTGACAAAAGTTTTTACTGGTCTTGAAATGGAGTCCATTCCAACGAAAGCTCAAAAGAGGTTTTCAGATATTTTGTCCAGAAAGATTTTGGCTCGTGCATCAGCCCCGTCGATAGGATGTGCCAGAAGTTGAAGTGCACGTGCAGAGAGAGAGGTTATGATTATGATTAAATTTGTTAGATCTCTGAATCTACAAGCAATGAATCGAACAAGCTATATTACTAAATGACGTTTAGTTCTCCAATATCATTCGTCATAGGCTTACGGGACACGCTTTTCATCTAGTTATTTAGTGTGATTGTTTTATTCCTCGAACCATGGATTCGTATCATTTACTGCAAGCTTTGCGTGTAGGTGTAGAATCGAATTTCTGAAGTGGAGTATGGAGAGCAGCTGTCACCTCATTCTGAAATCCCGTCAAGGAAGCTGCGGGTCCGAAGGGTTTGAAGGCTTATAGTCCTCTGCCTATCTACGGCCAAAAGTTCCTTGCTGAGCGGAGACGAATCCTCAGGATCCCACGCGGTGGAATATCTTCCTGAGAAAGTTTTCCTTTTCTACGCTGGGAAGTCATGAAAACTAGAAAATCTGTGACTAATGTGGCATCAATCGAATGTTCCCTGTACGAGTGCTCCCGAATCTGCGGTGTCAATGTCATGTGTTGACTGTATCTACGCTGGTTGGAAAGTAGCCAGAATCTGCATCAGATGTGATTGAACATTGCTGTCGGTTGCTGTATGTACTGCACTGTACGTGCTTGTCTTGTCTGTTCCATGTTGTTCCTCCGCTACTGAACTGAAGTATGAGGTCAGAGATCATGAGTGCTTGCGTTCTCTCTTGACCGAATCCAAGCCACTTGTGATTACTACAGAATAGCCCAATGGTCTAATCTGATCGGCATTTTTAATATCATCATTTTTTTCTCGCGTATGTTCTGTACATTCCGTGCAGTTATACCTTCTAGACTCACGATTGGGGTAATTGTTGTCGACTGAACGAACTTCCAAACTTTTTAAGAATCTATCATTTCTGAGTATTTGAAACATAGAGTGTCAAAGTAAAGTGGTATGGATTAAGAATACAAGAGCAAGGGCTAAACTCGTGGGTTTCAATGTTGCGTGGTAAAAAGGCAACGATTTCCATATTCTGAATAATTCAAGACAGATATCTATTGCTGCGTGCTTTCGTGTACAGAAGTTAATTCAACAACAAGTGCAGAGATACTCTTTTGCGAAGAAATGGATGCAAATGACTGATCAAGTTCAAGGATGCAAAGACCACGTACGCGGTTGGATACTTTGACATAGGAAAGTCCATAACGAAGGTATGGAAACTTCGGACTCAGAACAATCTGATAGCATCGAATGGTAAACATCGAATACTTCCCAAGCCAAGGGTGGATGACAACCGCTCCTAACAGAAACTTAAGGTATATAGGGCATTATACTGGACACTCACTATATGAAGAAACTAGAGGAAGGTTTACCCGCTAATGGCAGACAAGTCCGAATGAGACTAAAGGAAGAGCAAAAGCAGAAGTATCCAAAATGATGCTGTTCATTTTCATTGCTGTCCAAGGCATCATATCTTCCAAAGTGGAGGCAGCATCTCACATTTCTCCATGAAGCTCTTTGCTTTTCAATGAGCATATATATTTTAGCCAGGGCTTTAAAGTTTAGAAATCAGAGAAACAGGTGGAGTTGGTGTTTATATCGATAAGTCTTGAGTATGTTTTGCAATTCTCAGGCTGTACTTATTTTTTTCTCTAGCTGGTGTATATAAGTAATTACGTTGTTTATATAACATGCGGGCCGGAGGCATTACATGTTATTGGTGACGAAGCACATACTGCTCAGAGCCGACGTACACCATAACCATATAACAATTTCATAATTGGCTGCTGATGTTCTTTTGTTCAAAAGAACAAAAGTACATTGAAGGTTTTTGTGATAACTTTGGACAAACATGAGAGTTTCAAAACTCAGAGCATAAATGAGTGTGCTTCACTACGTTCTACCTAGATCTTAAGCTGAATTGCTTTCATCCCCATTCACCACATGGCCTTTAAATTTCATAGTCTAGACACTTCGACCAAGAGATCATACTAGACATAACTTCTTGTTGTCTAATAGGACAAGTGTTAAAGTCTCGAACTATACACAACTTGCAGTTGTTTAGCAGAACTCATCCAGATATGTGTTAAAGTCTCGAACAGTTTCTTTACGACTGAACAGTTGGCCTGTTCGTTGGAGGTTGACTAATTCTGACAGGAGGGACTTGGAAGTTCCCAAGTTTTTGACTCAGTGTGTGGCCATCCAGCTGAGAATGATTTGGTGTTGGTCCCACCTGCCTTCAACGATTGATTTGTAGTCCATTCAAACAGAATTCAAACTCCCCAGCTTTTCTCTGTGAGATTTTGCTCAGTTTATTTTGAGCTTGTACTTGCGATCTTGCATGATGCGTTATCATGCTACTTCCAGGTCCAGGTTCTTTATCCTGACGCATTTATTACCGAAGATAAAAATAAAAACGTGAAAGTTGTTTCGATATGGAGTTTTTGGGCGCAACTCAATCCCTCTTCCTGCGCAGCTATGCACACATCCTCAACCATGTTAGGACAGAAAAGACCAGACTCTATACGATTCAGCGTTTGTGCACTTCCTTCGAAGTAGAGTCATATATCAATAACCAAGCAGAAACTGAAGCCTTTTGGGTTTATTTTGTTTATTTTGTTTTGGGTTTAGTTTATTTGGGTTTATATTCTGACCTGCCAGATCCATCCGGCAATTAGCAAATCGGCCAGTATTAGTCCAAGAGTTCGTGGACTTGCATTCAGATTCCATGATAAAGTTCGACTCTCAAGGTATCTTCCTCGTGCGGCTACCCCCAGGAGAGCTATAACATCACATGCTTGAGTAAGGAAAAAATGTCCGATTGATCAGAGCTTGTCGATGGCAAGATTATGATAAAGGCTGGAAAAACTTAGCTCACTCTTGAAGATGGGCAAGGATGCCGGCATTTACTCAAGCTCGTTACATTGATCATTTTGCTATGAACAAACCAACAGATCCGAGCAGCTCGAAGCTGTGAATATGGTAAACATGACCGACTGATAAGATTGATAGTGATCACTGTTCCGGCAATCCTCCTCAGGTTGTCTCCAACCTGTATGGTTTGACACAACGGTACGACCATCTGACACGATCACCTTTGAGTCCATTCCGTGGCGGCTCGGGTTTAGGGTTTAAGGCCTTGTTTATAACGCAGCTTTTTGTGCAATTTAACCAGCAGGTTCCAGTTCTGGCCTCACTCACGGTGCTAATGTCAATTATTGTGAGAACCAACAAGTTCAATTGAATAATCCGTTTAAACCTTTAGTTGGACACATCAGTACTGAAAGATGCAGAGCCAAAGTCGCAAATTGTGATTTGTTGGATCCGGAGCCAGAGAGATTTCACTTTACTGGCACTCACGGATGGTCACTTCAGCAATTACAGCGCAAAATTTTTGCAGCCTTCAATTCAATTTCTGATTCAACGGAATCGGCGTCTATCAACAGAGTCGATTCTCGTCCGCCGGACCCGCATTTGTGACATCCATTCTTGACCGATCCGATCAGCTGCTATTTTTACAACTCGTGAACCCCGCTTCCGTTGAGACTTCGAGACATTCTTCAGAACAGGAACCTGTGCCTCGTAACGAAAATTTGAATGATGAAAGAAGAAATCAGTCTGATTACCTTTGCAAGACGTGATTAAGGCATCAACGAATAGGAAAAGTTTGCATTAAGCGTGACATTTGTCATCCGCATTGATATTTTGAAAGTGCTCTCACTGTACAGCACACAAGTCACTGCTCAAAAGGAAATCAGGCTTCTATAAAAAGATAAAAGATTCACAGTAACCTCAATGATGACTTTATCGAGTCTCAATCGAGACACGTCCGACCTTATCTTTACTATCCATCATTCGGATGTACACCCTCGTCCTCCCGAAGCTGTAGGAGCAAACTCACACCTGTAGTCACCGTCCAGTCGAATGTCAATTCAAAGTGCTGTGGAATCGCGATTCCGGCTACTCCTGCTCACGTCTTTCCACCCTAAATCCTGCATGGAAAGGCGACTAAAGGTGGAAGTTTTCGTAAGAAATCGAGCTCCCCGCTTCTACGTGACATCATCTGCTCGGGAGAGAACCATAATCTCCGAGACTAGACAAGCGGGCGCAACGAAGGGCCAGTCAGCACATACTTTCACCAGAAGATGAATTTTGCGCCTGCTCCCCGACGACCGAGAGGCGCAACGCGGCGCAAAAGTCAATTCCGAGCAGCGGGAAAGTAGAACGGATGTGTCGCGCACCGGAGCACCGGGCCCGAGGCCAGGCGAGGACCACTGGCTCTACGCTCGGCGGTCCACTGGGGCCCGTAATGGCGAGCGGTCCGAGGGGGCGTCCGCGCAGGGAGGGATACGGACGACCCTTGGTCTGCTGTGGCAGGGAGGCCATGCCAGGAGTTGACCGCAGCATCGCGGGCCGCCCGGCCTGTAGAAAACGGGCCCGCTATCTTCCCCCTCCGCCGGGAACCCCGAAGTCAGAGCACCTCATCGTCACATGTGACGCACGGCGTTGAAAGTGTCGCGCGCTTTCTGCAACGCAGACCGTCGATCTTCCGCCGATCTCATCTCGTGGGGCATCCCGGAGCCTCACGCGCTCCCTCGGGCTCACTCCGTCACTCGCTATCTCCTCCTTCCCCTCCTGAGCTGGCCCTTCATCCCCGGCAGCTCGCGCGAGCGAGGTACTATCTGATGTACAGAAGGTACCAGGTCAGGTGACCTCCAGGTGTACTTTCGGAATGTTTATTAACCCAACAACTCTCTGTCCTGTTTGACTGGAGCATGCAGCTCGGAATTGAGATGGAGAGAAATACTTTCAGAATTGGCCCACGTGCTCCACTCTTCAATTCAGTCTCTCTATCTTTGAGAAGGTAAACTGGATGTGGCACATTATATAGTATTTTGCAGGTTTGGCTGTTGATCTGTGAGTACTGTACTGTATGTATGTTCATACTCCGACCAGAAAGGTGGAGGTGGATCGGTTTTCACATTCCTTGTCAACCGAGAGTTTTGTCTTTCACCTGGGACTCGGGATCGGCCGGTCATCTAAGAGTGTGAGAACAGTGGGTACAGTACAGGACAGTGTGTCGATCTGGATGTGAGACGGCAGTGGGTCACGAAGACTGACTTTCGTGTCCTGCCTCGAGCTCGAGATGTAATCAAATGATTTCTCAGGGGGGTCAGGAATGAGACAAGGTCCTGAAGGAATCTGACCGGCATCGCAGCACTGCCTGTACCGGTGAACTGCGAGGTCTCATTGAGAAATGGTCGTCGTTGAAGCTCCCGACGAGACGAGAGGGGCGCCCTAGGGAGTGCGAGTGAGCGAGTGTGTGTGTGGGTGTGTCCTCAGCTCGTAGATGGACCACTGGAGCACTAGCTTATGGTCGACGGTCAGCCCGCCCGCCCGCCCGTGGATGCACTCATTGCTCAGGCCCGAATCAATCATTCCGAGCTGCGAACGCGTATTCTTAGGGGTCGTCGGGTCTTGGTCTTCCTCAAATAGGGCCCCGTGAGAGGTATGTAATCTCGGCCAGGGATCAAGTCTGCAGCAGCCCCCGCTGCTCCAACAGACGAGGCAGATAGAGAAAAAGCAGGTCTAGGGGAGGAGGTGGAGGTGGATAGTGTCATCATCGTCTGGAGTGATATTATCTCAGCAAAAGCTGTGGAGATTGTGAGCTTGTGGAGCTCGGACGAGCAGGAGTGAAGCGGATTAGGGCCCGAAAGGGGACGATTCGTCGAAGATAATAACGGACTCTTAGCTCTGAGAGAGACGCAGAAATTGAGAGACGAGTTCGAGTTTGCACTGCATGAAGGTTGGGGCTTTGCAGGAGTCCGATGGCTAGGACACGACCGACTCCCATGGGTCCGTCCGTGGTGCTAGTGGTGTTGGTGGTTTCGATTCTGGGCGGCTGTAGAGGAGAGCAGGCCGAGATTGGTGAGGGGTTGAAGGTGGATTTGGAGGCTCTCCAGGCGTTCAGGGAGTTGATAACGAGGGATCCGACCGAGGCATTGCGGGAGTGGGGGACGCAGAGCGATCCGTGTCGATGGAGCGGAATCGATTGCGATGTGGTCTTGAGCTCGGAATCGAACAAGCGAGAGATTAGAGTTGTGGGCTTAGAGTTGTGGGGTATGGAGCTCGAAGGATCTCTGGCTCGTGACATTGGACGGCTCACGGAGCTACGACGGCTCGTGATCGTGGGGAGCAAAATGTCAGGCCGAATTCCGCCGGAGGTCGGCAATTGCCAGAAGCTCGACACCATAGATTTGCGGGCCAATCGATTTTCGGGTCCCATCAGTTTCAGCCTCGCCCAATTCCCTCTGCTGCAGGTTCTGAAGCTGTCGGAGAACGAGCTCACTGGGACCATGGGCGCTCTATTCGTCGAGAGCTTCGACCCCATGGCTCACTTCGGAGACACGCACCAGGCCTCGGAGCTTTGCGCGCGCCTGGAAGTGCTGGACATCGCTAAGAATCGGCTCAGGGGCGAGCTGCCCATCGAAATCAGCAAGTGCGCGCAGCTGCAGGAGCTCAGCGTGAGCGAGAACTCCTTGGGCGGAGGAATCCCCAGCACGCTCGGCTCGCTGCGCAACCTGAGATCGCTGCAGCTCAACGGGAACCTGCTCGTCGGCCTCGTGCCCGAATCGCTGGCCTCGTGCCAGAAGCTCGACCTGCTGGATTTGTCGGAGAACATGCTCACGGGCCCCATCCCGCGGCAATTCGCGCAATTCGCAGGCGAGACCCGCTTCAATTTCTCCAGCAACGACCTCGCGGGCGCAATCCCGCAGGGCAAGTGGAAGGCGCAGCAGATGGCGCTGGCCGGCGCATTCGCCCACAACGCTAACCTCTGCGGATGGCCCCTCGCCAAGCCCTGCGCCCCTCCCGTCCTCGCCGTGACGACGGGCAGCAGCAGCGGTGGCGCCGTGCGCAATCGGAGATCCATGGCCGAGGGCGCGCCGGGCCCCGCCCCGTCGGGCTCGTCACCGGCGCCAGTGGCAAGCGCAGGCGCGCAGGATGCGCCGGCGCCGGCGCCGGCGCAGAGCAGCGAGAGCAACCACAGGGCGCGCAAGTGGGCGCTGGGGCTGGCGCTGGGCATAGTGGCGGGCGCCATCGCTGCGGCGCTGCTGGCCACGGTGCTGCGCCTGTGCGTGTTCTACATGCACAAGCCGCCATACCTGCAGGGCCCGATCATCTTCCACCCGAAGATCGAGCCCAAGATGCTGGCTTTCCTGGAGAAGGACGAGACCTTCACGGACGCGGACCTGGTGGGCAGCGGGGGCGCCGGCAAGGTGTACAAGGCGAAGCTGGAGACCGACGGCGGCGGCATGGAGGTGGCCGTCAAGACGGTGATCGTCAAGGAGGACGCCAAGGGGCTGTTCGGCAAGCGCCAAATCCAAGCCGAGCTCGAGACACTGGGCTGCATCCGCCATCGCAATTTGGTCACGCTGCTGGCCTACGTGCACCGCCCCGACTGTCACCTGCTGCTGTACCAGTTCATGAAGAATGGCTCGCTCTACGACGTGATGAAGCGCCTGGAGTCGGGCGACAACACCATGCCCTGGCCCATCCGCCACCGCATCGCAGTCGGCACCGCGCACGGGCTCTCGTATCTGCACTTCCACTGCGTGCCCAAAATCGTGCACCGCGACCTCAAGCCGTCCAACATCCTGCTCGACGAGAACTACACGGCGCATCTGGCCGACTTCGGCCTGGCCAAGGTGCTGCCTGGCGCCGACACCCACGTGACCACCGGCGTGGCCGGCACGGTCGGCTACATTGCGCCCGAGTACTCGCAGACGTGCCGCTTCACCGACAAGAGCGACGTGTACTCGTTCGGCGTGGTGCTGGCCAATCTGCTCACCGGCAAGGACCCCACGGACCAGTTTTTCCACACGGTGCCCGGCGGCACCATCGGCAGCTGGCTGCACCAGCTGCTGCAGAGCAACAGCGGCCGCGACGCAATCGACCCCAAGCTGCGCAACGACGAGTTCGACGAAGAGATTTTGCTGGCCATGAAAATCGCTGTCTTCTGCACCAGCGACAATCCGGCCGAGCGGCCGACCAGCAAGGACGTGCTCATCATGCTGAACCAGATCCGCGTTGCGGACGAGGATCCTTCTTCTCCGAACGCCGGTCCAGCTCCCCCGCCCATCGTGTAAACTGTCGATCGGTCGATCGGTCGATCAGTTCCACTCATGTACAGCAACGAGGACGAGCCTCCGCGCTTTTCTCTTTCATCTAGTCGAATATGGAGAAGGCAGCTTCCTCTGCACTGCAATGACGTCGACGTTGAGATCTTAGCAGCTCGTCTTGACTATCCCCAAGGCAGCTCGGACCATTGCTCGCAGAGTCAGTCTATAATGGTGGTGGTAGTCCGTGATTAATTTAAGTGAAGCAATGAAGAAGGGGGCTTTCTGAGGCAGTGATCGTAAATGTACATATATTTCTGAGATCGTGGTTTTGCTACGGGATTCATGCCGTTCACCACTTCATGGGTCCTCTGCTAGTTCTGTGTGTATGAATGACACTGTAAATGTTCTACGGCTTCCACATGAGTTTTCCATCTCGTTCTCGTCTCGTATGAATTTGAACTCCGCGCTCCAGATCTGAGCGACTGAACTTTCTGACGATTGGATCTCGTGCAACTCGAGGGAGGTTGTTCCAACTAGCCTCTTGACAATTTTTCTCACCAATGGTTCGGTTTGTGTGTCTGGAACTCGAGCTAGGGATTTTAATAAACAGCGTGGAGGGTACAGGTTATTGCACCATGGCCGAAGGCTTAGGGGAGAGTGGAAGTCTGCGCTAGAATGGATATTCATTCTAGCCCGGATACTGAGAACGAGGAAAGATTGCTAATTCTGGTCTCCATAGTCCTCCTCCGGTGGTACTACTGGGGAAAAGGTAATTTCTATTCAGTGCATATTATTCAATGCCCTTCCTTCACATAATCACACTCTCAGGAGTGAGATCCTGTTACAGAATAGTGTACGGATAATCGATAGTAAACCTCTCGAGGATGCAAAGCGGATGAGAACGAGACCAGAGGATTTTTGTTGTGAAGTCAATTACAAGAAATCCACGAAGAGAAAGGTAACTGCTTCAAGCTATCTAAGCGGGCAGGTTTGGTCTTCTGTAACTATTTACATTTTGTACAGTCTCTCTGACGGTGAGAAAACTTCTACAATAAAAAGTTCTGCAGTCTTCATCGTCATCTTTTTCTCGCAGGCCGTTTAATTTTAGTCCCGCAGCCAGGGCATGGTTCTCACCCTTTGAAGGCTCTGGTTGGAAAGCGTCAGTCAGCTGATCTTTAACTCCTCGTTTATTCTGGAAACCGTGTTTCTGCTAGTGTGCATAACACCACCATAATATCAGCAATCGAAGGCAAGTCTTGTGCAAAGATGCATCCATATATGTAAAGTACAGTCGCCATGGCTGATTTATAGGGGCTTGCTCCTGTATTCTTTCGGACAGTGTTTTCTGTGCGATACTAGCTGAGCTTGCCATTGTGTATGGTATTTCTCTTCTGAAGTCATTAACAAGTGAAAGTATTCTTGGAAACTGATCGTTGTGATTAAGCTCCTAAGCAAGCACGAGTATCGCAAGTTTGTGAATCATCAGTAGGATCTGGAGGTACCTGAGAAGATGATCCTGAGGTTGATCAAGTGAATAATCATCAACTCTATATACAAAATGATACAGTATTTGTGGGTAACCTTATATCTACGTGATAGACTTTCATTACATTGCGTTTCGATATCTCAGGAACTCATTATCACCGGTATGAGGACAAACTACGGTTTGAACCTACTCTTTTTGAGACAGATTCCACATGTTCGAATGAATAACTGTCCTGACAGCCCTTGACCAGATCTAGAATGAGTGATCTTTGTCAAAGTCAGGGACATCATCATCCGCATTTAGAGAATGCCTCATGGTCCTCATCTCCCAGAGTTTAAAGTCTGCCGACCCCTTTTATGAAATTACATCAAGATCGATCAGTGCAAATTCATGATCGTGTTTTATATCAAGCTTGTGACGCTTGTCCCGGAAAAGGAACCCAGAACCGCGCCATGCCACATACAAGATGCGAGTAATGAGAAGTCACGAAGCTCAAGGAACTCAAGCAGCAAAAAGCCAGCACTGTGATTCTAAATTTCTGGCGGAACATCGTTAGAAGTCGTGCAAGGAAATAAAGCAGAAATGGCGACTTCTCCTCGAACTCGTCCAACCACACCACGAAGTTCAAAAAACGTGCGCTTGAGTCACTCCGTACTGGCGAGCATCCTACTTATCACAGCCTAACCACCTTAAGATCATAATTCTTATGCAACTTTTCGCAAAATTTGTGATGAGGAATGGGATGGGCTAGAACTGAGTGGTATGGTCTCACTCATTGCTGCTTTTCTATTTCAACTCCGACCGAGGTATGATGTCACAATTTGGTCCCACCTCTATGCGTTCTGAGCCATCCAAGGATGCCAGTCGAGACTCGTCTTTTTCTCCTTCCGCTCCTCGTCTCCTTCAATGAACCTATCCAATGGGGAATCAAATGAGCACGCTAGTGAGCCTGAAGGTGAAGAAGAGAAGAGATATGCATTGAAGAAGCCTTACATTGTTTTCGGAATAGTGCTGCTCCACAAGGCTTCAAGCCTAAAGTCATTCTACCCTCGAAGAGATTAGATTACAATACTTGTATGAACCCAAGCTGCGCCGACTGCTCCTCCTGCGGTTGACTGTGTGGTAGTGCACAAGAGGTTCGAAAGCATGTTGAAAACCTTTCCTTCCATCTCATTGAACGATGGATGGATGACTTCAACTTTGATTAATCAGCTACACAGCTCAGAGAAACTACAGTAAGTGATCGATACAAGATAGGGGACCTGACCACTAGTTTTTTTACTGACCGAATCGCGTACACTGGTATCTGATCTTGACTTCTAGTCAAGATCAGAACTTGACTAGAAGTCAAGATCAGATCCCTGTCGTTCTTACGAGAACGAGAGGGAAAATATCCTCGAAGTCACTCTGGCCCTTGGCATGCAGGACATCTTTCCGACCATCCTGTGAACAAAAATCTTCAGCTGACAATTAACAAAAGCGCGTGGCAGCCCAATCAGGTCCCCTAGGGTTTGGTTCAGTGCGACACTGATCGAGTCTGAAGTTGTTCGGAAAGTCCTCTGCTATTGTTTGGAAATCAGGATCTGCAGAGGAAAAAACGAGATCGTTTTGATTTGGTAAATTATAAATCGAACTTGAAGGATGGCTGCAGCATCGGAAAAGAGGACAAACAGGGATCAATTTTCTATAGAATCTGTAGAGTCTACAATCATCACTTTTCAGAACAAACCGTCAGCTTTTGAGTCACAGTTGATCTCGTGATGACGTGAGGGTGGTGCTAGCCCTTTTCAAGCACGAAGAGGCCGTTCGATTGGGAGCTTCTCCGTATTATGTGGGAGGATTCGTCAGACGAGTTAGCAGTCAACTTGAGCTAGCTATGACTGATTACTATGCGCCAGCCGCCCCTGGTCATGGTTTGTGGACCATCAGACTTTAGTCAATGAGGCAATGAACTCTCCCAATGAAGTTCTGAGCTCTACTGAAATAATTGAGTCAGCAATCTGCCTTCAGAGCATAAGTTTACTCCTTGTGCGAGATTGCAAGTAATAGAATGAAGATAACATCTGGGCTCGCCTGGTAGATTATTGTCCAGCAGGTTTATTTTAAGACATAACAAATCGGCCACAAATAACATGCGCTTTCAAGGAGCACTCCAATGTTTCTTCTGCTTTTTCTTCTCTGGACCAGAATTTCTAAGTCCCACTCTGTTTACCGAGTCGACGAGAAGATATTGGTTTAACCTACATTTACGAGTCGACGAGAAGATATTGGATTCAACGAATACGGGCTTTTCTAATGGTTCGAGTCAATTTCTACGAACTAAACTCGCCATGTATACCTTTTAGAGCTAGAAAACACTAAGCCCTGCAATGAGGCTACTTTCTCTGCAGTGATCATGCCAGTCCCTCTCACAATCGAGCAAATTTGCCTAAATTTTCTGTCTGAAATTTTTTTGTCCGAGAACATTTTGGTCCGGTGGATCTAGAGGCTTGTGGGTTACTCGAGTAGAAAGGGCCTAACCCAGAAATTTAGACGGCTCATTATCGCAGATGAACACCGAATATCTTGATGCCATTCGAGTCATACCCAACAGGTCCGTGTAGCTGGTTGTTCAAGAGCTCAGGATTCTCCCCAGCAGGCAATGACAATCACTCGGATATCTGCTCCAAGTATTAAGCCTGTACATGGAAACCCTCAGAAAGACCCAATCTAAGGCAGCAAGACTTGAGCTTGACTGCGATTTCAGTGGTATGAGGGACACGGAACTTCTCTATGAGAGCCGGAAAATCCTGACGTGGATGACGGACTGGAAGCTGCAACTATTTTCAAGCAACCGTCGTTCATGAGCAGTATGAGAGCTTGAATGCGAAAGGCCATCAGAGATACGCTCAAGAGAAAATCATCAACAGAGAAACTGAAATCGAGATACGAGTGGCAGCTGATTTCAATACTTTTATTCACAAACTGGAACCGTGCAAAGCAACACTAAGAAAAGGAAAGGGCCCAATCTGAAGAGTCATAACCACGGTGAAAGAATCACTACTTCCGGGATTTCTGCGGAATTCATGTCTTCCATCCTACCAGACTCCAGCTGCCTGCCTCTGTCTCGTCAACTATGCATGATGCGTTCGACTGACATACTTCCAACAGTTACGTGCTCAGCACCTTCGACGATTCTACGAACTGTGCCGTGTACTACAGTACATGTAGAACAAACAACTCCGATCTTGAAGGAGCTCGTGGAAACCAACTGCCATTGGCCAGTTGTCCTGCTGATTCAAGCAAGGTAGGCCAAGTAAAGCGTTTAAGTGAGATCATGTTTGGTCCACGCTTCTGCTTTGTGTACAATGAAGATAATGGATTTCTTGTTGGCTTTACTTCTCTTTTTAAACGTCTGATTCTGGTCTTTGTTATAAATAGTTTCTTTCAATTTGTATTGTATATGAATGAGTTAAAATCATTTGCAATCATCTAATTTGTAATCACATTTTATAATTAATCAATTAACGTGATGACAATATCATTTGTATAAATTTGAAAGATTGATATATTTTAATCATACTGTCTCTTTTGTTTTGATAGTGGTGTCTTTGAGCCTGGTGACAGCTTCTTCTAGTCATTGTGTACATTTTTATAAATATGATGTAATTTTTCTTTCAAAAAATATTTTATTAACTTATGATTAACAATGTTGAAATAATCTATTGAAATTGTTCAAGAAAATATTACACCATGTATATATTTTTAAATTTCATCATATTACTTATTACTTGACATAGTGCATTTATTGTATATATATATATATATATATATATCATGCTATATATCGTGTAGGTTGTTATAAAGCACTTAGTTTTATATCCAATCTAACTCAGATAATTAGATTGTTTGGATATCATAGATGTAATATAACATGTTTGCTGTCGTGATGCCACTTGGTTTCATACTTGACATGAATATTTGTCATTTTTTGTTATATAAATCGGTGTCCCTTGGTTATAAAAACATGTCGCACACTGTGAGTGCATCTCGAACCACACGCTGAATAACTAAGTCGATATCCACGTTTCCCTGACCCGGCAGGATCACGCGCCATGGAATGATTCTCTCGGGAATGAAACGAAGACATGGATGAAACTTGCGAAACACATGTTTCTGCTGTAGGAACAGGAAAACCACAGGCCGAACATTTTCAGGCCCAGGGTGCGAAAAGCCCAAAACGCCAAATAACGAGGCTGGTGAAGACTGCTGTACCAATCCGACCACAATTTTCCTTCAGTACGTCGCACTATAGTCGTGCAGATTTTAAAATCGTAATACTTGGCTACTTTGAGAGATGCTCCCGACACCATCTGAAGTTCTAAGCTTTTGTAGAAGATGTTAGCTAGACTGATTTCTTCAAAAAGGCCATAGTTAGATGTGTCTTCTCTACACGACGAAGACAGTGATTGCCATTTGGAACGTCTTCACCAATTATAGATAAAAGAGTTTTATTGGTATAGATAAGCAGTGGACTAAAAGATTAGAGTCGGGAAACCTCCACCTTTTCATTTCCGCTGAGGGGAAATTATGTCTCGAGCCTCTGGACGCGTGGGTTGATGATCTACGACGATGAACAGCACTCGATATGAGCTCGTGGCATAGGCGTAAGCCTCGGCAAAGTAAGATAACATTTTAGGGTTACAAGGTAAAAGTTAAAGATTTGGCTAAGTAAAGGTAGAGTCAAATGGGTTACTCGGTAATTACCAGGTAACACTCCTACCCGCGAAAAAAGGCTAGGGTTTACCCTAAACCCTACCCGTGGACATTCTCAGAATTATTCAAAATGTAATTTTGATCCAGTAAAAACCAATGCAGATTTAAGTCAAATTGGTAATTCAGACCGAAAGCATTATTGTATAGAAACTAGCGAGAGCACAAAGTGTGGGTAGATAAAGAGTTAAAGGTTAATGTGTTACACATGACGAATTCCGACATAGATGATTTGGAGAGTTTTCATTCCATCACGGATCTTTACTAAACATGTAAATTACCCTGTTAACTTTACCTTTTACTCGTTAGGGTAGAGATAATAAGGTAATTTCCGCGTAACCCTGATGTAAACATAACTTTTAAACATTTAAGAATTCGTATCAGGTAATTACCGTAAGGGTAAAGGTAGTCAATAATGACACGAGTAACGTGAAAGCCCATGGCTTACTCGGTTACGTTACCGAGTCGAGGTCTACATAGGCAATAGGGACAATAATCAGGTATTAGCAATTCGCGCTGGCAGTTGGAGAGAAACAAATGCATGAAAATTGTTGTTTTGTTATGCGAGTGGGACAAAGAAGCTACACTTTTCCTCCTATATGAGACAATATCTTCACGTCCTATTGCTATGTTACTCTGTCCCAGCACTCTCTGAACGTAGAAGTATGGTGAACAAGGAGAGGACAAATTCCCTCGGATAATTCATATTTTTCCACGCAAAGTTTGGGCTTTCATTCGTCTCGATTTAGAGTAAAGTATTTCCATCAAAACATTACACAATGTTAGAATTAACTCCGTTTCTTTACATTAGTTAAGATTGTATTATGAAATTTTCCATATATTTTTACCTTTTTAATAAATAATACTGTGATAAAAATACATTATATATACTGGATTACTACGCCTCGAATTTCTTTAAAAAACAAAAATCCGACAAGGTTTATGAATGGTTTTGAAGTTTTGTTTTAAGCCGCTGTTTTCGTTGTGATTCAATTTTATTTCTTTCCTATATTGATATTTTGTGCTCGAATTGAAGGTCTTCTCATCAAAAGAACGTGAATCAATTTTGAAATCTTCCATTACATCTTATCTAAATGATTGAAAATTGACCTACTGTACAAAATTAATTGAATCATATCTTGTTCATTTACATATCTAGTTTCAACAGTTAAGCTCACATCACTATCTTAGTTACATTTATTAGCAAAAATAATGAAGATAAAATGATTGTTCAATCTTTTTTTATATATAAAAAATATATTCTTTGATATATCATTTTCTGATCATCTCGATGAAAAAATTCAAAATTTATTTTATATTATAGTAATTTAATATTAAATTTTGCCCCATTAATCATATATTATAGTCACATGCACATGTTTGAACCAAATCTTTGCTCATTGTGTTGGTGTATGTGCTTTATGATAGTTGTAATTGATTAAATCACTTCATATAATCTAATTTCAATATTTGTCGCAAATTTTATGACATTTTCATATTTTTCGTTGTCTTGTAACTTATGGTTTGTATGTATTTCATGATTTATAATCATACAATCTTCATTGGTATTTTGAAACATGAAACATATTATGTTATGAAAAAAGGTTATATAATCATCAGATTCTTTTATATTAAATCAGTAACTTATGGAAGATGTATCGAAAGTGTCAAGATGCACAGTACATAGTAATAACTACCATGAGATCAGCACACTAAGTATAGTACCAAAATCTAAACTTCCTTCATTACAAGTAGTTTTGAGACATATCTTCCAATTTTACCTGAAGCAAATGCATAAAAAAATCAATATAACTCTTCATAAAATCCAAAATATTCTTAACAACAAAACATACATATAAATTCAACTTGATGTAAACAAGAAATAATATCAATTTTATTGTAAAAATTATTATGATATTAACCCAAGATAACATTCATTTTTCCATCTCATTGATTTATGTATATTGTAAAAAATGTTTTACACGGCTACTTACAATTACAGCGCCAAATTACAATTTATTCAATAAAAATTAATGGTAAAATATATATTCATGTAGAAGAATTATATGCATAAATTCAACACTTAAGTGTGATAGTAATTCAAATGCAGCCAGAATTCTAAAGTATCCAAGAGAAAATACGACGGTAGAATTCAATTCTTCAAGCGTGAAAAACGACAACTTAACTGAATTTAACGATAGTTTGATTTCATGTAGGCTGATTGTGAATTTGCACTCGAATCTAACCGAAATTTCCTGGCCTTGGAAAACGGCCATAGAAGATCTGGAACATCGAACTCTTGAAAATTACCGGAAGAAGAACGCTGAACGTTTGTTATTCTCATGTCTGTCGATTGCAACCTCACCACGACTGTCGTCAAAAGAATCCGAATTCTTGCACCGAGTTCAACGTCGACTGTCATCGGAATCAGAGTCCTGATCGGTCTCTTTCCTCGTTTCTGACAGCAAGGGATATTCAAGGGACGGGATTGGAGAGACAAAGGTTCTCGGATCAGAACCATTGACGAAATCCTTTTCTCCTCTGCTGTCGATTCAGGTGGGTTTGTGTGTTTCTCAGCTCGCTCCAAATGCCATCTAAGATCCAGAGCTTGAGGTTCTCCCCCAGCGAAGCGCAGGTTAAAACTCAGTGCCTTTTGTGCCTTTCTCGCCAGCTGCTCCTGGTCCGTAACCGTCCTTCCCGTGTTGAGCGTCCAGGCGTTTCATGCTCTCCACTCGATCCGTCTAGGCCATGGTTCCCAGCTGTGTTTATAACATTCAGGCAAGCTTCACATTGCTCGCTTTCCTTGCGATTGCAGTTTTGCAAGTTTTTGAATCCCATTTTGCGACCGAGCCGTTTGGGTTAAAGCTGGAGCTCCTCTGCTCTTGGGGCTGCAGATTTCTCAGCTTCTTTACTACTTCGGATCATCGTAAATTATCAGGCTTTCTCCACTTTCTCAAACTTGTGTGGCAAGTACTATGTTTCAGTCTTCCACTTGAGTGCACACGCACAGTTCATTGCTTCTGTAGCAATTCTGAACGATATATGTGCACATCTTCTGCCGGGCATACCGCTCAAAGATTTTTGTGCTCAACTAGCTGACGACCGAGAGAGTTTCTCTGAACTGTTGCTGCTCCATCATGGCCTCTACCATCCAAATGGATTTTATCCCAAAAATTCTTACTGACAAACTCCTTGCTTTCATCATATGGAAACACACATCGATTGGTCATCAATTTGATTTAAACCTGCACTTTGATCGCTTCGTTTCTGCCTACTCATCTACGCATGTACCTCATACATTCCTGCCGAGTAATGTACTAACTCCTTGTTCATAGTTCACCAACTGGAATGTCTGAAGTGACCTGCTGAGTGCCAAAGGATGTGTGATATTGACAAGAGTCGGATGATATCATTAAATCCGTGTTCGTCGTGCATATAAAACTGATGGGTAGCCGAAGATTGAATTCGGATTATTCCCCTCCGGTGAAGAACTTAACGAAAGACTTCACCTCCTCTTCATGTCTGTGTCTCTGGAAGATGGTGCTGTGGATCGATTTAGCGTTGTAAGTTTTGTATCACGTTTCTGTTGCACTGTAATGCTTATCGTCACTGTGATATTCGTCACCAATTTATCTGCTTACTGCTTGCAGCACTTAGCAGATAAATCGGTTATTGATCAGATGACCAATTTACCTGCGAACTGTGTTTGGTTACTGACTGCAACATTCTTTATCCTCATCGGAAGTACCTCGTAAGTCACGGTTCCCTCTCTTTCCACGAGTTAATCAGGAAAATCCTGTGAAAAAAACACATATACATGATAATACACTCATTAAGCAACATACTCATGTATGTTACTTAATGAGTCAACAGACAGTGATATACACGTCCTCTGTAGTTGAACTCCGAGTGTGTTTCAAAGGTTCTTTCAGAGAGTTTCGGATGTTCATGTCGAGGTGTACACGACAGTACCTTGCGCTCCTCCTCTGTCACCACCCGTGCTAAACAGATGCGATCACCATAAATTTGAACTTCTGTCCGCAACTACAATCCAGGTCGGTAAGCATTGCAGGCGGACATGTGGACGGAACATCCGACTAAAGTAGTAGACATGAGCAGTTTGATTTATTGCTATGATACTTTGACAATTTCAATGAGAATAAATTACTTGAATGATCTATAAGTTTCTGTATAAAAAAAAGTCAGGATTGGGTGATGACGGGAACCGATCTTGCTCCTCAAGCAGACAAGTGTCCTGCCATCCTGTATAGTAGTGAGTCTCAATCGGTCCGCTTTTGGTCAAATAATTTGCCATATTGTGGCATCTAATAATCCTAAGCCTCAATTGTAGCTCTACTGCAAATATCCGCTCTCCAACATTTGACAATCAGCTCTCTTACAACCACTTGGAAAACTTGAAAGAAAGCACAACCTCAAAAGTGTTGTATGTGACTGCCAAGACCTCGGGGAAGATGACAAGTTTCAAAGTTCGAATGGTCGGTCTCCTGCAAGAGGTACGTTAAAAATCCATTATTCACCGTCAACGACATGGAAGTACTTGGCATCTCTTTCACGGCTAGATCTTCCAAATCAGCTTGGCCTGGAGAGGGTAGGGGAAAGCAGATCGTTGATGCTTGCCAACTGTATGAAAGACCAGTGACGGGGCTTACCTCCTAAACTCCAGCTGGTGAGCAGAAGAGACTTAAGGAATTGTCGGAGCAGCTGGTGCCACAGGTACCGGAGGAATTGGAGCAACCGGAGGAACTGGAACTGGCATTACAGGTGATACTGGAGGCAGCGTAGGGCCAGGTACGGGAGCTACTGGCGGGATTGGACCAACAGCTGGTGCAGGTGGAGTAACGGGAGTGGGAGTGGGAGGTGCCGGTACTTCAATGTAATTTGGATCGAAAATTCTGTTGAATGTTGTCGCAATCCTAACAGCAGCTTGTTTCAGTCTAGTCTCAATGATGGTCAATCTTGAGTAATAGTAGTCATCTGCAAATAAGGCACTTCAGGTTAATTCCAGCACAACAGATTTTGTATTTGAGAATGAAACAAGTGGCTCCCCTGTCTGATTTCTTCCCTTCGTTAATTGCTGAACTTTTAACAGGGAGTTATATGTACTCATGCTTGCAGACTAATTGAGTCGGTTAAATATACTTTACCCAACAATATCTGGGAAGGGGTGACGTCTGCGTAGGCCCATTTACAGGCCAATTCGATGCTTTCGGTTGCATATCTGCTCAAACAAAGACATAACCTCAATTAGATAAAATCCTTTACAAATTGTTCTTTCTCTTTCATAAGACGTTTGGGACCACAGCACGAACATAGAAAGCTTTTTCAATAGTGAGAGACACTTACAGGTCGGGACAGGATTTTGCGCCTCCTGGACATGGACCCCACAAGGCAACATCTGCAGTCTGTGCATACCAACATCAGTCAGACGGAATGGAGATTGTAACATCTCTATCACCTAGAGAATCAGCCAATCCTAGGAGTGAGATCATTATCTTGATTTCAGGACAAGTATAAGAAGGCAATGGATCGGAAGACATGACTACACCAGGCATCCATACTGTCGAAGTTAATCTATGTAAACTTCTCAACGTACTGTAAGATTGGCATATATGGCCAAGGACATGTTGCCAAGAATATCCGTTAGCGTCTCATTGAAAGTCGGCGTACTCTTGTTGAAGTACCGCTCCTCAGTTTCATGAATGATCACGGAGTCCCAAACCTGTTCAAGATACAATTCCACGCATTTAATAATTTAGGCCTTATCAATTATCAATTAGAGTGCAATCAGGAGCGGTTACTGCTTTTACATGCTTCCTTCCTAAAACCATATCTAAGCACAAGGAAATTGCATTGAGTCAACAGAGTTCAATGGCAAAAGACATCAAAATGACATATGTTCTGTGTCGTCTTCTAAAACAAGCTGTGTCTTCAATATTATAACATCTATCTTTGGAAGCTCATCGATACTTCGTTAACTTCAGTATTGAGAGTGAAATCAAGGTAGATCTAGTGCAACATCTGAAACATCGAAATGATGGAACTCGGAAAAACCTCGAGACTGAAAGACCTTACTGCTACAGAGTGAGGTAACAGCAAAAGCAGAAGTAGATAGCGAAGCAACTGCAAGGAGTAGGATGGGGCACGCAAGCTTGAAGATCCACAGCCAACAAATAGATTCATAGAGTAGGAATTAGCTATCAAGTCGGAACACACCGCATTACGACCAATATTGAGAGTTAAAAGAGAGACAAGGTGATTGTTTTACACTGGACCATTTCCAAGACGATACTCATTTCCGATCTCACCAGAACCTCTAGTACACACCAAAACCAAGAGATTTGTACCTCAAAGAGACTAGTGCTACTGCCGTTCATAGTATTCAGCCAGTAGACGCGAATGGTATCACCACCTTCATCTCCAGCAAATCCTACTCGCAGAGGCTGCATGAGATTAGACCAGTTATATCAGTAGTTGACCGGGGGCAATTCGGTGTTCCTTAATTTGAAGGGCGATACACAATATAAACCCATCATCCCTCTAGCAGCCTCCAATGCTAAAATCAGTCAAAGGATCACACCAGAGTCATCTTCTTTCAAGAGACGATGCCAGAGGGTTACAACTGACCTGATGAATATCACCCATGATATTGGCCAAGAAAAGCATTGCCTCGGTTTTGTTATCTGGACACCAAGAGTCAATCTTAGTAAATGTAAGCGCATATGCGGCGATGCAGGTCACCTAATCTTTGTACTCAGAGTTAGACTGGCTGCTTTTAAATACCAGAATTGCAGGTCCGGAGCTCGAAATGAGGATCCCCATGTAACGCCTTAAAAAGGGCCAAGTGATGGAGGAGAACATCAATCTCTAAGTACACTGACTCTGCTCCTAAATAGAGAATATCACTCCACTGGCAAATATAATGAGTAGATTCAGAATCTGCCAACTTACGAGTATCTGAAGGAGTGATAAGTTGAGTCGTGTAATTGTTGATGGCTCCAGAAGCGCACATGTTTGGTTGTCCAAACATGCCTCGACAATCGCCTGCCACGAATAACAATGCAGACTTCCACTCATGAGAATTTGTGTCTTAGCGTTAGAGAACATTCTCACAGTTCATATCATCACTTTACATTAACTAGTTGTGAAGGGACAGAGAAAATATCGGCAGAAGAGTATGACATCCGATAAGTATATGCAGGGCTACGTACAAGAAGGGTTTATTTTCTATAGGAGCCCATTACGGCCCTGCTTGCCTTCTTTGACAACTACGGATAGAAGAGTAGGGACCTCATATACACACCCAGAAACTAGGATCGGCATCACCAGGGTTCAAACCCCAGTGCCGTGCTTTGACGCAGGATCAGCATTTGCTTCAGACTGATATGAGATGCGCTTGAACAACAAACTATTTACAGGAGCATAATGGAAATGCTGAAAATCAAAGATTGATTTCAGTGAAAAGCAACTCTACTCTAGTAACAACTCATCTGCCTCCTTTACTGGAAAACTTAACATGAAATTGTGATCATACTTCAAAGGAAATAAGAGTATAGGAATTGCTAATAAGAGCTCATCATTAATTGAAATGGATAAGAAGGTAGATTGATTTAAGAGACTGCAAATTTTCACAGCCAAGCACCTATCAGATTTGTACAGAGGGTTGTAATCTGATACAGAGAATCAGATTTCAACCCTCCGCTTTTAATTCTGATTCACAGCTCGGTCCGGTTCCACAATTCCATCTGTAATACCTAAACCCCGTCGCTCAGTCCACATTCCATCCCAGATCTTGTGAGAGATTTGTCAAAACAATTTCTACTGGGAAATTCTGCTCCATTGTTTCCTTTACCTCCAGCTCCATAGAGACCAAATCCTCAATTCTGTTGAATCCAAAGTCACGTTCTCGCTAGTTTTCTTAACACAATTCGCATTGATCAGGTCAGGCATGAGTTAAATGTCTTACGAGTGTAGTCATAGGTACAAGCTTTGTCGGGAGTGTTTATAAAGTGAAGAGGCGGACTCCAGCTGTACTGCGGTAGATATTGAAACTCGTCTCCCCAGGTACACAACGTTGAAAAATTGTGTGGAAATTCAGAATTGAGAAGACTGTCGACTTTTGCTGCAGCTGCGGCCGTTAGAAGTGGCTGCAACCAAACAAGAAATGATCGTCTCAGATTACCTCGCTAGGGCCATCCGTATAGACACAGCTGATCATGATCTATTTGCATACTCGGCAGACACGGACTGAAGTGTGTCTGACAGTGTGCACCGCCATCCACACATTGTTCCATACCATATCAAGTGACCCAACCAATGAAGGAGATCAGAGACCTGCAGAGGAAAGTAATAACGAAATTTCATCGGCCGATATACTGTACGAATGGGGAGCACCTCGAAAGAAAACGATATCGAAGCCGAGACAAGGTGGGCCGATACCAGTGCAATCGGACCCCAAATTGCTGATTGATCAGAAGTGACATATCTTGTAATGAGGGATTAACTTTGTAAAATACATCAGCTATCAAAGATACAAAGGAGAAATGCAATTGCAGAAACAAGCAGGTAGCTACCCCATACCAGATGGCAGAATTTTGCTAATTTAAATCCACTTCCCCAAAGCGGGGGTGGAACGATCTCTCGGTTCGGACTAATTTCTCGCACTAGCTCAAGCCAATCAGATATGATCATTGCAATGCCAAACGAGCCTCCAGGCTTTCACACCCATGAGTGCTCGCTGAGATCCCGGGGGAAACGTAACATTCGCTAAAAGCCACACATGACGTGAGAAGCATGTGAAACAACATCCATTCCCAGAGAGTCTCCCGTGGGAGAAAAGGCGATAACATTGATTAGACTGCGCATGCAGAGGAAACAGAACAGAGAAAAAAGTGGGAAAAAAAGCGCATTTCACCTGAAAGGCGAACACAGTGGGCACATAGAAGAGAAAAGACAAACTGGAAAACTGCAGTGTTCATCTCACGACAGATGCAGGGAAAGATCCGACCGATCTCCGGTGGCCCAGACTACACAGTTGTAGCCACTCTGGTGTGAACGAGCAACAACATTGTGCAACAAAGCAAAGACTCGTGTGCGAGACTACCGGCTCCGTTTCTCAAGCTCAGACAGAGACGGCCCAGACCACGTGACGCAGCGCAAGGCAAGGAAAGCCCGGAAAGCCCGTCGCCCATCGAAACTACCGACTGTCTTTCTTTCTTTCTTTCACTCACTCACCCTGGCGAGGTTGCAGATGATAGCGTGTCCGTCGTAGTTCCAAGCAGAGGCAAACGGAGCCGCGACGGCAAGAACGAGAACTCCATACACCACCAATGCAGCAGCACTAGAAGCAGCAGCACCAGCTGGTGAGGCGGCCATTTCGTCGTCCGCTTCCGCTTCCGCTCCAGCTGAGCCCAAAAACCAACGACCCTCTCTCACTCACTCTCTATCTCTCTCTCTCCTCTACACTCTGAACCTGTCGCTCATTTCCGTATGGCCTCCGTCACCTGCTCTCTCTGTGGCTGAACCCAAATCAGCCGAGCGAGCAATGGAAGCAGGAGCAGGACGGTGCAGCTCAGCTCAGCTCAGACAATCGATCAATCACAGACTGCCTTTAAGGTCGACAAAGGTTCATGAGTAGAGTATGTCAATGCCAGCCCACGAAGGCAGTCCAGAGTCCAGAGTCCAGCTGCAGCAGCAACAGCAGCAGAGGAAAGAGTGTAATAATGAGGTGCGAGGAGCCGCAGCAAGAGACACAGGAGAACGCGGTCAGCTGGTGGTGAGCTCAGGAGGGAAGGAGGGAGGGAGGGATGCGGAAGTCGCAGCTGGCTCCAACAGCCCTGCAGCAGCAGCAGCAGACGACCGACAGCGGGAACAGTGGGGGCGAGTGCGGGGTGGAGAAGGGGGAAGGGGGAGGGCGAAGGGGAGGAGCCTGAACCCACATGCGCCTTCAGAATCAGATACTCAGACTTCTGCATCGGAACGAACACAACGAACACGCGCAGCAGCGGCCGCTGTCATGATCGAAGCGTCGTCCATCTGCGCCGTCAGTGCGCTCTGCGGGCATGCATCGACGGACTGCGGAGGGTCGAGCACTGACTGCGCGCAGCAGAGCGTCTGAGCGGCATTTGTCGACGAGACGTCGACCGTGTCGCCGTGCCCTGTGCCATGCAGGCGCCCATTCCACGTACCTGCGTACGGTTCCCGTCCGCGACAGCCGGAGGATGTCATCGTCATTATCACATGCCCTCGCACGTGAGAATCCGTTCGAGCTTCTCACCAAACCCAACTCCCTCCCTCCCTGCCCTCCCCACCATCCCTCCCTCGATCGACCATCTTTTGGTTTTTCTTGCTCCTCCGAAAGCAAAAGTTCATTTTTCATAGACTGCCAGGAATGCAGAGTACGGTGGATAACATCCCCGGCAGTTCGTTCGATCTCAGATTCATAGATGCATTCATTCATTCATGTAAACGCGGTCAGCTCGGCTCTACGTGCTGCCGACTAGCGAGTCTAGGCTCTGCTCTTGTCGAGTCCACGTTCTCGTGAGGAAGTGGCGTCTGGCATCAGGTTTCGTGTTTTGTTTTGTTCGGTTTTGTTTGTTTACAGCTCCGCCTACTCTGAGTAGGCTCTTGGAGCTGGACTTGTGTGGGTGAAGAGATATTGCACATGACAGAACCGCTGCCTCTGGTGGTCATTGAACTGAGAGAAACAGGTCGATAATGATTGTGGCCAGATCATGTGCTAGATCGAATGTATGGTGAACAGAATCATCTGGATAATTCAGGGCTCGCAGACCCCTGAATACTTCAAGGTAGAACTGTCCTATGGTTCCTTGCTATGAGATGTCCTTTCCATGTTTCACTACCCTAGGCTTTGTAGAAACAGATTTATCAGGGTACTGAGTACATCGACTCCTGGTAATAATCGCTGACCCCGATGTGTGTAGATTTTGTTTCGTCTACTGCATTTAGGTCTGCATTAGTCCTGGCAAGCACCTTTGAGACGGTCCACCATTCTCATTCATATTCAGCTACTCACGAGAACACGAAACACGATTTCCAAGTGAATACAGGTTTGCTATGATGATCAGAACCGTGACCATCTTCATGTAACCTTCAGCGCTCGGAACGATTCTGTTTCCGCCTCAGGGTCGACTTCCTTCACGTTTTGGTCTTTCAGACGCCACTGAAGATGGGACGCTGAATACTTTCAATTCCAGGTGAGAAAAGACAGTCAGATTCCAATTGGAGAGAAAAATTTACACTGTCTCATCGGAGAGAAAATCTCTACAATAACCTCGTTCTCAAGAAACTTTGCTCAACTTTTTCAAGCCTGCTGAATCATACTCCTGATGGCAAGATTGCAGTCGTCTTGAGACACCAGCACCCAGGGTTCTCACCTTGGTGTGGCTACAAGGAGGTCGGTGTATTTTTTGAAGAGTAGAAGACTTTCAAAATAAGAAGCTCGATCGTGATCCACTTCAGTTAGAAAAGCTTTTCGATCTCAGCAAGTTTTTCCTCTCTTTCTTTTCTATCATCTTCTAACACTTCGCGGCCCAACCACATTGCTGGATCTGTACAGTTGTGTCCTCCCTGTATTATTGTGGCTAAACACAGTTTTCAAATCCTTCCATGATTTACTGTGATTAGGTAGATGTGATTTGGTTGTGTAGTACGCAGTGCTTCGCCTCCCTATGAGCCAGTTGAAGATTATACTCTTTTGTAAATCATTACTTCTTGGATGTAAATATCACCAGTTTTTAATGAACCCTGCTCTGAGTTACAATGAGTTTTTCTTCAGATTCTCTTAAATTTATCTTAGTAAAAACTTCTTATATTGTAAATAGAAAGAACATTGCCTAATCTTCATGTATGGATGTGGAGTGTAACAAGCAATGTATCTAAGTTTAGTATTAAAGATAAAAGGTATGCAAGTACAAAGGTAGTTAACTACTGCTTGTTAGTTATAAATAAAGTGGAGATTACTCCACGTGAAAAGAAATAGATATCAAATTGTTTTGTTGTAGAGTATTTCTACATGTCACGTTAACCATTTGTATGTTATATTTTATGATTTACAACATAATATTTTTCTTTTTGCTGTTATTTTGCATGCAGTCAATGATCTATGTACATTTCTAAACATTAGCCTCCTGCGTCAATACGCATCCGTTAAGAATGTATAATTTTACTGAAAATTTTAGTCTCAAGATTTTTCAGTTGAAGATGTCATGAATCATCATTTGAAATAAGTTTTGCAATTTCTTGCATTTGGATTTGACTAAAATCGCCCGATCTTGCTCTAAAATGATTTGAACAATTTTAAAGCTCATGGAATATATCGTTAACTTCAATTTCAGCTTCAGATTAATTTCAACATATCCTCAATGTTCTACTGTAAAACCTACTATAAAGGTATTATAAGCCCTAAAATACAACTTCATTTGCTAAACCCATATTGAGGTCTTCAAATTTTTACTCTTGTTTAGTTTGTGTGTGTACATATATCTATATATATATAGAGGCTGTGATAGTTCATCATCACATCATATGATTTGGATAGTAGTTGTTCTCCTTAGTTTCAAGATGATTTCACATTGCTGATACTCATTAAACGTTTTCAGTTTGGTTTCGCTACAATTTTCTTTGATTTAGTAAACTTTTTCAGAGTGAAAACAATAGCTTACAGGATGAACGATTCAAAGTACTCAATTACGGGCTTAAAACTCACAATATTTGCAGGTTCAAACTGTAGACTTAATTTGGTCTACAACTTTCAAATATTCGTGAATTATAATGTTATTCAATGAAGTGTAATTCATAATCAATGAGACTACACGATTTCATATGATCATTTCAGTATTGCAAAATGTCGATTGATAATTACAATCAAATTTTGAAGTTTAAAGTTATCTTGAAAGTTTTCTTTTTCTTCTTATAATTTTTTTTCAAAGTTCTACAGGAATATAAATTCTCACCTCAAACACTTATTAATTTTTTTTTAATGAGTACCATGTTGTTTTTCAAATCAACATGTAATAAACATATCAATTAGAGATGTGTGAACATATGTATATATTAAGTTAACATATTTTTTTCATATTTCATTAAAAAATGTATAATATAATTTTAATAATGTTGCACACATTCTTATGAAATTTTATGTTAAATATAATTTTTTAAGCAGAATAAAACCAACTTATGTCAAACAAAAATCAAAAGCATTGCTTTTTAATAAAGCAATAATTTATTTAATATTTTCATATACAAATAAAAATTATTGTGATATTTTTCATGAATTCATGATGTCAATCAAAAAAATTTCATCTTTTTATTCATTTTATTTTCACACATTGATAAAAAAAACCATTTACGTTTTCACATGTTTAAATGTCATGAGATAAAGATTTTAAAATTTTATTTAAATTGATGAATGAAAATTCGATGTAGTTGTATTCACATATGAGTTCTATGAAATCATCATTTAAATTTTTTAACATCTTTCAATTTTCATGTTTAATATCATTAAAATAAAATTTCAGTCAAAATATTATATTGTGTTGAAAATTCTATATATCACTAGAACTTATCATTAAAATTGATTCTTGATATCTGAATTGTAATAACAAAAATCTTAGTTATAAATAAAAAAGACTTGAATTGAATATATATTCATTTAAATTTGAATAAATTATTTTATTGATTATTTTTTATTAAGATTTTGATAATTTTTAAACAAAATCTTGATAAAATTGTATGCTGTATTTAATTCATTTTTTGTAATTTATCCATTTCAAATAAAAATGATAAATAAAAACAAAGATGTTATAAATTTTCTATCGAACTTTTGTATAGTAATTAACATTACATACATTAATTTTTATATATTTTGGCAACACATGCATGTAAAATTGATACTTTTTTTAAATTATGTGATGCATGTTATTTTATTAATAAAAATTTAAATCAATGCCATTTCAACTTGTATATATCATTAAGAAAGTTCAGATATCAAATGAAAAAAAATACTACATCTTAAATGTTAAATTTCATGATTTTATATCATATTTGTAACAAATGGATTTTGAATGAACAAATCATCAAATCACCTTAGAGTTTAAAGATTTTAAATAATATGTTCACACTACAATCTATATTAAGTAACATCCAAATGAATAAGTTACAAGTCAAATATAAAATCTATAATTTTAGGAGGTTGATAAATGGACATCACCTTTTTGATATCTAGACATCATCCCATACATATACCTGGAGGAGGAGGGAGGGGCAGAATAGCAAATGAGGATCCGTGCTGGAACGACGACTTTCTCTCGGAGTGCCGGGGGCTGCTGGTGACGAAGACGATGTGGGGCATGCAGTGCTCCGATCGACGATTGTCCTCTTTCATGAGAAGAACAAAATTCCCAAGCGAGGGACAGGGACTCGTGTCGGTCGCAGAGGCTCCGTTGCAGAAACGACTTAACATGGGGGTAGGAGCATGGGGTGAAAAGAAGAGTTTGTGGGGCATGTTTGACGGGTGGGGTCAAGGGAGGTTTCTACAACTTTCACATATCGCCTCTGCATTGGACCCTAGGTTAGCGGGAGTATGAGGCAAACTTTAGAGGCAGCCTCGTGGGCCCTACCTACGGCCTAACTCTCCCCATCAAATGCGTGGCGCAGTCACGAAAAGGAGGGGGTGATGTCCATATATCAAAAAGGTGATGTCTATTTATCAGCCCCTAATTTTAAGATAAACGTTTTACTTTTCATCTATAACATATAGATTACTGTTTAAAAGATCACACTTAATGCTTTTTGTATAATTTATAATACTTTGTACACAATGTGTATGCAAGTTATATTATTTCGAAAGACGGTCTTGCTTTTCTAAGAAGTGGCAGTAACTTTGCATTCGGATCTACAATTAGATTGTGATAACAAATTTATGAGTACAAAATTTTCACGCATCTAGGAAAAATGCCAAAGAATGAAAGTTTATAATGCTGCACTCTTTGCACAATTGTGCAAGCAAACAAGAACAAAATTACTTTAACCTATATAAATTGGGAGTTTGATCTTGGGAAAAATGACTTGCTTAATAATGGAGGTAATGTTACAAATTTTTCATATGCAACTCACACAAAAATATTGTTTTATATTGGTTCTAGGAAATGTGATCACATTGGTCACACTAGAGAGTATTTTTATATTTTATCACTATCAAAAGGATTTTTTTATTATGAAAATTGATCAATAATGTAGAATTAAAGTAATTGTATTCGTTATAAATCAAATGTTTGATGGAGTTTAACTAATTTTGATTCAAGTCAAATTCATACATAAAAATAATAATCTTATGTTCCATGTTAGATTCAAAAGTCTTGAATGGATATAAAAGCTGAAATACAATCTAGTAGATAATTAGAAAAAAATGCTTTAATTTAAGCTTTCAACTATTAAATATAAAATTGATGCTTTTGAGAAAAAAAAGTATGTCATTAATTTTATAGAACAAGACTACAAGCAAGATGAGCATATACGTGTCAGATCTAGAAAAATTGCATTTGAAAAGATGTGAAGTAGATTTTCAAGTATTGCAGTAATCAAATATCATAATCTTTAGTTTGATGATGTAATGAACAATATCAAATCCTTGTCATGACATATTGATGTTGATTATGAACAATACATGATTTTTTTTTTCAAATTAATGTGTTTACACTTGTTGATGATTGCATAAGATTAAGATATATTTTGCAGAAAAATGTATTGAGTCAACATTAGGATCAAAATTTATAACAAAATGAGATTTATCAAAGTATGCTATATGGTTGAAGAGATTATCACTGAGATAAGATCATGATTTCATGTTGTTGTACATTTTTGTGAGTAAAATTTATTGAAGTTATAAGGTCGGAAAAGTTAGATTTTGCTGGAAAGTAAAATTGCACCAAAATATTTTTTTTGTGCAATCCATTCTAATCTTCATTGATGAATCAACTACTTTTTGGCGACGACTATAATTATATGTTACGTTTTTGTGTTGAATGTGTTGTCATTACACATTTGAAACTGATTAAAGATTAAAATGATTGAAATCAATAAGTATGATTTAAATGATTGAAAAAAATTCATAAAATCAATATAAAGAAAAAAATTTTATTGATTATATTATACTTATCCTAATTGAAATTCTTTTAAATATGAAATTCAAATATACAAATTATATCAAATTATTTGATCAATTTATCTCATTATGTAGAAGATTTTTCTTTTAAACTTCAAAGAATTTATTAGATTAATTACCAAAAAAAATTGTAAAAATAAATCATTCATTTGCTTTATATACATGAAAAACACATGAGACATTGATAAATATATATGATGCAAATGTATTTATAACATATAAATCAATTACCTATAGAGAAATAATTAGTGATAATTAACAACTTTATGTGATCTTGAATGAAGATTTTTATACAAATATATGAATATAAATTTAATTTTGAAATTTCGATTTTTGACTATGATAGAAATTGTCTCTTAAAAATCAATTATGATAGTTTTGAAACAATTTGATCAAGTAATAAATTATACTCTCAAGTAGTTATTTACTTAAAAAGATTGAGAGTATGACAATGTGTTGCATTCATGGATGAATAATCATGAACAAATGATGTATATTTATCCTATTTAATCAATATTTGATGAAGCTAATCAGAAAGAGAGTAATCAGTCATGCCGATTGAGACTAAGATGAATGTAAACAACATATATCATACACGTTCATAATGGGATTAAGAGTAATAATAAATTTTCTAATGATTTCAAAGTTCATGAAATATGATCATCCAACATCCCAATAAACAAATTATTTTCCATGAATATAAATCCGCCGTCTATATCACAATATAGTAGTTTATGATATGAAAAGATAAACATTGAATTATGTTGTTTAATTCTTTTTATGTATATCTTTCTCAAATTTTGTGCTTATAAGAGGTGTTGTCAAAGGTGCCCGCGATGAAGTAGGTAGAATATCTAGGGTGCGTGGTCTTAACTTCGCACGACGCCGTCCAGTATCAAGTTGTGTATGGATTTTCAGATTAATAATATCTGGATTAGAGAGATTCTTATAAATCAACGTCAAAATATTAAAAGAATAAGTGAAAATAAATACCATTCATGAAAGTACTTATCAGGAATGTTGTGGTGTTCCGCATATGAATTCCATACAAATACAGGAACTTATGAATAGTATGGAAGAACAAATACATCCGATTTTTTCTTCACACGCGCATTGCAGTAATGCTTTTTCGAATAAAGACGGTGTGTTAAGTACTTTTAGTTCCCACCATTGATGATGATGCAAAGAGGAGGATGACTTTGTTTGTCAAGTTGTGTGACCTGAAGTTTAGATCATCTTGCAAACTGGAGGACTCGAATCGATGAGTGGATGCAACGAGGAAAAGCAATGTGTTGGGATGGTCTTTCACAAGACAAGGGTGTATTATGGCGCTGGTATGGTACCCTGCAAGAGGAAAGATATTTCAAGTGACATTCTCCAACAATAATCATCCGCATATTTTTTTTCCTTATTTAATTCAACCACCATGATGGAAGAACGAAGAAACGAGAACGGGGATCATCACAAACTGCAGCGCACTTCCACTGCGTGGACTCTATCGCACTCCGTTACAAATACAAGACGTACGGATACTATACTGTGGAACTTGGTCAGGGTTACGGATACCGCGTTTCGTACAGTAGGAGCAGATGCATGATCGCCTCGGTTGACTGCGCGGAGAAGTAAACCAGGTCCGGGATCCGGACGTGGTTGACATCACAGTCGAGGCCACGCCGTCTCATGAAGCCAAACGGGACGACTCGAAGCTTCTCTCTCTGGAGCTTTCACTTCCGCAACTTTTACTGTCGAATTTGTCGATCTCGAATTCGACAGTGAAAGTTGCGGAACTCTGCGGCGATTTGATGGCTCATTATTCGGTCCTGAGCTCATTCCGGAAGGGCGGATTCATCTGACCCATGCCAATTTTAGCACCGCCGATTCGTGGGCGGTCTCGTACATTTTTCGTGGACAGCTTTTATCTATTTCCAGTTTTGCAGCAAGATTCTGCCCGAACGTGATGGAATCGGGGTCCTGTGGCGAGCGGGTCCCGGCATAGAGCGCAGGTACCGCACTCTTATCGGTCCCAAAATGTCTTGGCCGACCTATTTGTGTTCCTCGCCGCGGAAGCTTACATGCGGGGCGTTCAGTTGGGCCTCATAGCTGTCAAATTGCAAGCCCCTGCGACCAGCCAGCCAGCCAGCCACGGTAACCAAACCCTTAGGCATTTCCCTACCGATGGAGAAATGCTCGCCCGAAATCTTCCACAAGGTCGAGACACATGGCCATCGGATGATGATCTCCGATTGCCCACTACGGTCCTGAGAAATGGAATTGCCATGCAATATTACCAGGCCGATCATCGAAGAAGGCTCCCTCTTGAAGAAACAGGAGTACCACTGCTTGGATTTCTCTCTGTAGATAAGAGGAAATCGCATTACAGAATAGATTCTCACTCAAGAAAGGGGATTTCCTGAGAAACAAACACAGTGCGCAAAGACGTGGACCGTCGACGAGGGGGCGAGGGAGCAAACAAAATCCACGATGCAGTCACAGTCACGATTCGTGTTGTCCTTGTCTTCTTGCTTTTCTATTTTTACGTCTCGGTCGTGCCGATTGTTCTCGAGTCCGATTCCAGTTAAAGTTAGGCAATCTAGTAAACTGCATCGAAGTTGAGATTTAGGGTAAACCCAAGAGGGATCGCTGGAAAGTGCACTGTGACGTAATGGTGCAATTGCCGACCTTCTCTGGACGTTTGCCCCCGTACCGAAATGAGAAGAGAACGTCATCAACCGCACTGCATACGAAGGCTCGGGCGAGGTCCGATTTGAAGCGCTTTGCCGAAGCAAAGCAAATTCGGATAAGGCACTTTTCCCGTTGGCTCGAGCGGGAGCTGGAGGTTGCAATTTGCTTCGAGAAGTTTGTCGTTCAGTAGCGCCGCGGGCACTTGTGGCTATGGTTAAACTGCATGCTGAGACCACTGTCGGTCAACTTTAACAAGGCATCATAATTGAGGGCGAATGGATTAAGCGAATGCGGCCAAGGAGATGAAAGCCGATCTCGATCCGGGGAGCAAGCAGGGCCAGAATAGATAGACTCGGATCCGCAACGAACATAATGTTGGGGTTTTGTCACGGTGACATTATCTGCCTGTGCGTCTCGGTCAAGCGGTCTCGACTGGCACCCGCAACTTGACACCCTTTGCCATAACCTTTTGACGAGATTCATGATCCTCAAGACCGACGCGCTTGCAGCTTCTCGCTCTCTCTCGTCTGGTTTCCTTTCTTCGCAACATCGGGAGGGCATCCCGTTCTCCTCGACCGTATCCCTTGCGAACAAGCGTCGAAGCCTGATAAAGCGACGAGCAGCTCATTTAGTGCAGCCTGCGAGTGGGTGGCCGGCATCTGGGAGGAAGTCAGCGCGGTGGAATTGACTCTCTCTCGCGAATTGATGGACGATTTAATGTCTTGGCTTCTCGTCTAGAGCCAAGTTGGAACGAATGATTCCGGCGATTTAATGCTGCCTCAGTCAACGAAAAGGTACATTCTCGCTCTCCGGATGCCGAGCCGTTGACCGTGGCCCGATCTAATCATACGCGATACTGTACGAGGATCTGATCTTCAACGAGGCCAGCTGCTGCGTTGTATACTGCGCTGTGATTGTGCTGTGCAGGCTTGACGACGTAAAGCGAGGTGGTTTCCTTCATCGAGTCAGGTATGGTGAGGCGTGTGAGATGGCCACAAGGATTAGAATGCCCCATCCCATCGGGAAACTGGGGCAAGTAATTCTGCGTCCCCGTCAGATTAATAACATTGGCTAGGTTGCACAGAAGAAATTTTTCATATTTCCTATGTCATTTTGGTATAACCAGCTCAAAAGCTGTATAAATGAAGTATATAAACTTTCACTATTTATACGAAAAATTATTAATACATGATACACATAATCAAGAAAAATAAAAAGTTGTTAGCAAAAATAATTTGGGCATTGATAAAATCGTGCGTAAAATTGTACGATAAAATCGTACAATACAAAATTCTATGAGAGAAATTTTTCAGGACGTGATGACAGAGTAAGAATTCAAATTAAAATTGGACGCAGAATAGAAAAACTGCTTGTAATATAGCTAAAAGATAGAAATCCCATGAGGCTTGGGAAGATGAGTGAGGCGAGGTCCCCGCAGTTGCAGGGAGCTTTTCCAGTAAAGTCACACGACTGATCCGTGACCAGCTTCCCGTGCGCCACCCACGGGTGCAAATTGCAATTACTCTTTGTCCAATCATTTGGATGGTGGCGTCCACCTTCGAATCCTCGTCTGCAAGCCAAAGGAAGGTCTTCAGTCCCACTGGAACGTGTTTGTTGCTCTCGTCAAACGAGTTTTTGGATGGTTTGCTTTTCATGTCCTTTCGACTTGCAAATCTCACTGGCCGTCACTGAGCTGGAAATTCCCGTCTAGTCAGTGAAAGTTGTTTGTGTAAGGAAGACCGAGGATGGACCAGCTCGTTTGCAGACAACAATTGGAGATTTTTGTCGTTTGTTCCATCGGTCGAGTGCATGATCCCATTACACCCTGCATTTCTGTTTTGGCGATGCAGATGGCGACAATCGTGATGGGCTTCCGACGTGGTCTACATGATTTCTCTGCTGGTTGCTTCGAATCCCTTTGTTGCTGACTGGTGAACAGGTGAACATAGATAATCATAACACATAATCATATACTTATGTTGATAAATTGCAAATGAATGTATAGTATATGGCGACACTGAGGGAAAATGGATTCTCACAAGGTGAATATGATTATCCAAAACCCAGTAGATCTTCATGCGCCAGGTACTTTCATTTTAGATATTGTAACCATATAAAAGATCACTTATCATGAGCCTTGTATGGAACCTGTAAATTCATAGAATACTCCATCTCCAGAATCCTTCATGCGACAGAGCTTTTGATAGATAGAAGTGTAGAACACAGTTTTGACAAATAGATTTTCAAGAATCGATGTCTGCATTTCAGGAGAAGATGTCAACACACTTCTGCGAGCAATACATGAACATTTGGACCTTAAAGAAATTCCACAATTAGTCCACAAAACTCAAATGTTGAAGTGAAACATCTGAACATGCTGTTGCAAATGCTTGCTATTCATTCGTAGTGTGTTCTATGGAATTTTGTGCTGTTTTCCACTGGCACTCATTCGAGCAAGCCGAGTAAATCTCTCCATCTACTTCGTGCAATACTTCGGGTTAAACAAGGATGGCGTTGTTGCTCGAACCCTTGTGGAACCTTTATCGCAACCACTCCAATCCCTTATGACAAGACCACAGGTCCAAATAGTGGCAGTGTTCTGTTTATCCTAAATCACATGAAATGTGATGAACCCGGTAAAAATGCTCTCTATGGAGGATTTCTTCGTGCTTTTGTTAAGGGAATAAATTTGAAGTAAATTCCAGAAGATCCTGTGTAGATTTTTTTTGCAAGAATTGAGACAATGGACAAATGTTCCAAAATGAAACAAAAAACTTTTGCACGAAGATTACACTCACCTTTATAGAATTCGCCTTCTTCTTATCTCTCCTCTATAAGCTTTATCGAAACTTCACTAATGAAATAGACACAGGCATAACCGAGGTTCTTCTATAAGATATAGTCAAAACGCAAGAAAATAACTGCATGTGGGATAAAGACGGACTTGCAAACGAGATCATAGCTATTTTGGAATATCCCCTCGCGAGCTCGAGCAAAAGGTATTGCAGTTGAAGGCTAGCCTACGTAAGCACTCATCTCCAGGGAATTCAGAGTAGGCATGTACATCCACATGTCTACCAGATGTCCAGATTTCGAACACGAGGTATGCTAAATAAAAGGACAGTACCTTTAAAATCCCGTCTCAACAGGTTCAATCACAATTCACGTTTCTGCCTTTACCTTCCTTGCCTGATAGCAGTTCACAGATATTTTAGAACAGGTGACCCCCGGACTGAAACCAGAAAGTCATGTTCTGAGAGATCCTTCATCATCCACGAAACTCACTTCACATACTGTACGCCCCCCATAAAAAGTATGAAATACTGTGCCACTTAGTACAATAATGATTGACACTCATCGAGAATGATAAAAGGCTGATGAGTACGTAGAATGCAACTTCTCACACGAAACAAGATTTCCTCCAACAGCCAGACAAAGCGACTGTGAATCACTTGGACCAGTAGTGGAGATTTTGTATGCAAGTTCTCGAAAGAGTCAAATAATTCGATAAAGTTCGGATGGTGAAAACTGTACGGGGGAGCCATGGGAAGAAAGTAGATTTCTAGAGGATCGGTCGAAAAAGCACACGAAGTACACACAAGTGCACGTGTTCCGTCAGTTCCACTCGAAAGTTACACAGAAACTACAGGAAGTACACTTCAGACTCGTCTCCTCTTTTTTATGCCCTTAATTCCAGGAAACATCAGCAAGACAGGGCATCCAAGAGAGCGAGGGGTTCCGCAAAAAGCCTAATCTAAGCTACATGAACTTCCAGAAAAGTTGTTTCGGGTTCTCACTCATATATCCCATTTATATAGGACATTGCTGGCTGTCCATGGATGCTTGCGATTGTAAGTTTATAAAGTTCCCTCGGAATTATAGCAAATCACCCGTTCTTATTCTCGGATTTTATAATTCTCTCTAAAAAGATTATTATGATTATTATTTAGCTGAAGCATCTCGGTACCTAGGCAAAATATTATTTTTCCAGTTCTCGTGGTCTCCTTGGTCTCTCCCAAGGTGAAATTATTGGCATGTGACTGAGACTCGTGACTGGCGGCGGTTATTTTGTAGGTCCTGGAGTTCTAGACGAAGGGTTTGTGACAATAGGAACGTCGGACTTTGCTGAAGTCAATTGTAAGAATATTTCTCGAACGCAGATGGTGGCCATAAAACACAAACCCGCCGTAAAATCCACCCCATTCCCAATAGACTAAACGATCGGCCAAGCTTCATATCACTCATCAAGTTCGATCCGTACAAGACTCGATGGGATCCGCCCACAAATGTCTTCTGTAACGAAACCAAGAGAAATACGCCCGAAAAGCCACGCATTTCGGTCCAGCTGGCGGTCGATCCTGGTAAAAAAGGAAACCCGTCGCACCGTTTTTTTTTTTTGGCAAGTCATTCCCACATTCCCGGAAAGTGGACCGCATGTCACCGAGACGAGGTGCCGGTGCTATGGACCCGAGCCTCCAGAAACAGCTCCCGGACCTCCTGCGGCGTCGGCCAACAATAGTCTGTTATCGGGAATTGCGCTCAGTTCTCGAGCCGAGAGGGCATCTCGGTCCGTGACTCTAGCCGTTCACGAGTCCCGTCGCGTCCCGTTCGGCCTCGGGCGGCGGCGGCAGCAGAAAATCACGCGCGCCATTGCAGACGGCGGACCCGCCTCTTTGACGGAACGGCAGGGGCCACGAGACGGAGAGAGACAGAGAGAGACGGGAGTCAACAGAATTGGACCGCGCTTCCGTTGCGCCCCTGTCCGCGCCAGCACGCAGTAACGGAAGGGGAGGGAAGGGGAGAGGCTGCTTCCGCCCGCCCGTTCGTCCGTAGCGCTGAGAGGCACCGTATGGGCTGTTCGGGAAGGCGTACGGTGGTCGAGCTGTTACTGCGCTGCGACCGGCGGGCGCTTTAACGCGACGCGGTGCGCAGGAGGACTTTCTCTACACCGTAAGACCGAGCGCCTGCGCAGTCGTCCAGCTCGGCCGGGTGGCTGAATATTCTTGTCTCCGCAGGATTTGACCGCTCCACCGCTTTCCAATTTCTCCCCGTCCCCGAGCCTCGGATTTATACGTCCGGTGCCGGACCTGGGCCCTCAAGTATTTATACCCACTATTAGATTCGCAATCGTCCATCTTCCACTTGGAGCTGAAAGCGAATGCGCGATTGAATGCCAGAGAAAGCGAACAGAGAGCGAGAGAGAAGAGAAGAGATTTCCTCGACATTGGGAGGCAGTCGTCCGAGGGTGAGATTCAGCGCAGCAGAAGAATCGCTCGCAAGGTGTGGATTGGAATCTCGAGTGGCGGATCTCGAGTTCCTCGAGCCGGACGGGCGATTGATTGGTCGATTGGTCGAAGGATTGATTGATTGATTGGTCGATTGATTCTGGGCGGTTTGAGGGAGGCAGGGCCCGTGCTCGTTCGTGGGGGCGAGTACGGCAGGCAGAGGAGTGGATTGGGGAGCGATCGAGGAGTGGGCAGAGGAGGAGGAATTGTGATTTCGGGCGGAGGGCATGGAAACGACTCTGCGGTGTCTGACGAGGTCGTTTTCGGGGGCGGGCAAGGTGCCGCACCCGGACTGGAGCAACCTCGATGCGTTCGTGCTGGAGCAAATTATGCTGAAGCTGCCGGAGGCGTCCGTGGTTAGGGCCTCGAATGTGTGCTCGCGGTGGCACGCGGTGGCGCGCGACGCATTGTTCACCGAGTTCTACGTGAGCCAGAATGGCTCGTCGAGGGCGTGCCGCTTCAGCGTCAGTGGCTCGAAGCACTGCTTCCAGCAGACGCAGGCCGGGCGCTACGACATTCTGTCGGCGCGCGAATTCTACCAGGGCCCCGTGGTCTCGTGCAAGGATGGCGAAATCAGCTGCCTCGAAGGCGCCGGCGGCCTCTTCTACGCCTTCACGGGCGCGCACCAGACGACGGTGTACTACAAGCTCAGCATGCTGCAGAAGGAGTGGCTCGTCACGCCCGAGATGCACTTCCGGATGCACGATCCAATTGTGGGCGTCGTGAAGCAGGGATGCAGCGGCGCGCACAAGCTCGTCTTCGCCGGAGGCATCGCTGACGTGCAGGAGGACGACGACGATCTCGCAGTGCAGGTGTTCGACTCCGCCTCGAGGACCTGGACGCGCGGCAGCCCGCTGCCGTATCAATTCCGCGGGTGCACCTCGTCGCTCTTCATGAATCCCGCCGTGTACCGGGGCCGATTCTTCGCCTACGATACGTACGCGAGCTTCGTGTCGGAGCTCGATCTGGCCACCTTGGGCTGGAGCGCGGTGGACGTGGTGCGCCGGCCCCCGGAGCTCAAGAGGGCCTTCCTCATGGGCGACGAGAAGAAGGGCATGAGCCTCGTGGGCCTGCAGAATTCCGGCGTGCGCGACCTCACCTTCCACGTCTGGAATGTGGACCCTCAGACATTGCAGCTGCAGGAGCGCACGCAGAGCACCATCATCCCCAATGCCCGCCCTGCGCCGCCCTCCACTCTCCGGCGCTACTGCGACTGGTCGCTCGACCATTTCGGCAGCGCCGTCGGCGTCGTGCTGCTGCTTATCGCGCACGCCATCGTCCTCTGCTACGGCTGGACAACCCGCACCGGCGCCCAGCTGCAGGGCTTGATTCTGGGCCTGCGCCTGCCCTCTCTGCGCGCTCTGGCCGGCATCGCGAGCAAGGACGCCGGCAGCTCCGCTCTCGACTCGGGCGCCGGTCGTCGATTCCAGCGCATGCCGTCGTTCCTCGTCACGTGAAGCGGCGCTTCTGCCTCCAATTCTTCTCAGGCGCAAATTCTTCTGCCTGCTTTGTACATTTCGCACGCGGTCGACTCTGTAAATGAATTTAACCTCACTTTCCAGCCCCCCTAGGGCGGCTGAAGCTCGGAGATAGATATCAGATGTCACACACACGGTTCGGCATGTTTTGGTAGAACAGGCACACGCTCTTCGCACTCACCGTTTTGCCACTCAGTTCAGGGGACTCTGCTCAACATGAGAGCACGATCAATTCCCCTTAGTTTCGAATCAATACATCATGTGTTTCTTTTCTCAGCAGATGTGTAAACACGGAATTTCTCCCCGTGTGCAAATTTTGTTGTAGCCTCGTGCTTCTGTTCTTGGATTGTTCTGAAAGTTGTTCTTCTGTCCGTTTCCTCGTGCTTCTATTGTTGAAGTCTTTAAAAATCTCTTTTCTGTCTGTTTCCTCGTGCTTCTAAAAAATTGGTTTAAAATGGTATTACTGCGGGCGCAAACCCGTTTCGATCAATCATCCGTGAACCTTGTATTCTGGTTCGTCTCGTTATGGAAATTTGGGACCCGCCCCACGACTCCCTGCATGCTCCGGCCTGGGCAAAAGTTCGCTGTGGATAGTTTTTTAAGGGCCGAAAGTAACCAATTTTTAACCGGTAAGTTTGAATTCCCCTTTATTGCACGATAGAATTTCTCTGGTTAGCTCTCGATTGAACTACTGACAGCGCCGGTGAACCTCAGCCGGTAATTATCGAAAGGAGTGAAAAGCCGGAGCTCGAAGTAGCAAGATGAACACACACTCATCTCTGGACTGGCAGCTCGGACCACGACCATCCAAGGAATACCAGTAAAAACGCTGCAGAGTCCCACAAAAAACGGGAGACACCGAACGGACTTTTGCCTGTACAATGCACCAATCTTTATTGGATTCGAGGCATAAACGACAGTTAAGAATGTTCATTCAATAAATGTCGGCTTTCGTTTGTCCGATGTCGCTGCTGATGATAAGCCTTTTGCTCCCTTGTCACGCCTTTTTACTCCTTTTTACCGAGATACCTCGACGATGAAAAAGCTCGTCACGCAGTAAGATCTAAAGCAGTTAAGACAAACGATGAACTAGAGACATTACGATACGAGCACCGTCTGATTGATCGCCACCTCGATGAGAAGCATGCAAACGGCGATTGCTGCGACGAGTAATTGTCCATCCTATGAAAGGGAAGTTATCCACTGATTGGCAAGTAGATGATGATTCTTGTATTGTAGCACTCGATTTTGAAAAAGGTCTTTCGTACCTACACAACTTTTAGGTTACTTAATATCACACTTTATTCAAAGCCGGAATACTAGTGAACATGGATACAGTAGCAAACGTTTTGGAGAACATGCTTCTGACGTAGCGGTGCGAGTTCATGAACCCCGATTATACCCAAAAGGACGGTCGAGCACTATAAAGTTGTCAAGTGGAGACATTCAGTGAACTCAGTTTCAGTGAGCCTACGTGAAGCTCGGACGAAACTTCAAACAGACAAATTGATTCATACAAAGGCTACAAGAAAGTGATCCATTACAGTAATCATCAATCATGAGCATGCATCCCTCGCACTACGTACTGTTTCAGGTGCTGTTCAGGTCTGATTCTGTTGCTTCGTCTGTACATGCATTGGCAACCTGCTCCGCCAAACTCCTACAGAGAAATGGGCAAAAGTGTTAAGACCACCAGCAGAAAGTCCCAAATGATGAAAACGGAGTGACTAAACGTCCCGATACGAAGTTCTCGAATCATATACAGGTTCTACAATTATTCGCTGGTACCAACAGCAAGCGGTCGTTCGGGCTGATCTCCTCACGGAGAGCTGCACTGTTGTTCTGCCATGATAGAAAGTAGATGCAAAATTTGTTGAGACAGATGGATATACTCTACTATAGTCAGCACGTAGCAGAACATATCCTTTGGATGATTCTGCGAGCTACGTATGGAATCCTGAAAGTGTGTAAGATATGGTCCAATATCTACTGCCACCTCCTTAAACTAAGAGTCATCCGCCATTTGGTCAGTCCCATGTGCCCTCGGGTCCTATGTGGACTCTACAAGCTCATTCTGTTATCCATTCGATTACATGTTCTGGTCTCTACAATCTCGAGTTAATCTTGCAGTCGACACAGTTAGTCGGATCTGACACAAAGTAAACAGTAAGAAAGGACTGTTTCGAGAACATTCTCCGTCCTCCTGTAATTCGAAACGATACCTGTCTGGTGTGATGATCGAAGGACATTGGTCTTCCTGCAGAAATTTCATTGTCGAAGGTACGTCCATAGATTCAGCTGAGACGCAACTGGGAGAATCCTCTCGTCATTTCTGGTTGCGGCGAGACCTCCTTGCTTACCAGAGGTATCCTGCCCAGCCTGGTGAATCTTAAAACCACAATATCTGTAAGTCCAATAGCTGCGACTCTCAGATTATGTTCTCAGAGTATAAACAAAAACAACACGCCGTGGGCTTCGTCAGTCTCTGAGAGTCGAGGATCCAGCCAAACATGTCTTAGCAGCACAAATCGAGGGTTGCGCTCGTGTAGGGACTAGGGACGCAGCGTCATTCATGGACATCGTTACTGTAACTTACTGTAATCCAGCGTGTTCGGATAAGTTCGTCGTATGACATTGAATTCCCAGAAATTGGTCTTACCACCAGTGAAAACGGGCAAGAGTCCAAGACAAGCTAACGGAAAATGTCTGAACTTATGATAACTTTAATATGCCTGGAGGATTTTCAATTTCAGTAAACAAGTGACTGAACAGAGATTCCTTCGAATCCCTCGAATCCGGATCATCTAAGTGGATGATTCCTGTTGAAACTCTCTTCGGTACAAAATCCCATCAACGATCCAACTCAAGTACAAGCTGCAGAAGTGAGACCATGCAGATACCACCGCTTCTCTAGAAGTCTTACCTGTGCTTGTAAATCGGTGCGAATCCGAAAAGTTGATGATTTGCTATCAAGCTTGATCCGCGCGCAAGAGATTTAGAAACAGGGACCTGCGCCAACTGTACGCAAAATAGTCGTTGGAGTATACGCAACAGTTTTATCGTAGAACACGTGGGTCTGATAAATGACCAGTTCGACTGTTCGATGAACTGCAATCGAGACGCACGAGCAAGAGAGAAAAAGAGAAAGAAAGAAAGAAAGAAGCAAACCGTGGATAGAGGAGCATCCGTCCAACGAGAAAACCTTGAGCGACAATAATGGCAGACTTAGACGATACGAGGTCTTGTCTGGAAAAAAAGGCACTATCTTTGTCGACTGCACAGAGACTCATGGTGTCCATGCACATATAGACAGATCTGCATCTGCTTTTCATACATGTACAAATGGACATTCTTGAAGTTACAAAAGTTCACTTCGGAGAAATTCTCTTTCCTGCAGATCTTTGCATTTCTGTCTGCAATTCATAATTTTATCTGCAATTTCCCGTCCCTAGTTAGATGCTTTCTATCCATTGCCTTATCTTCCTTTTCTTACCCAGATAGAAGTAAGACGTGCGGTTCTTAGTTTAATCTTTGGCATACAGCTCGACGCTGTAGGGTTAGAATCTATCCCCTCCTCGTGCTACTTTGCAGTTTCTATCAGAGAGAACCCCTTTTGATAAAGACTTTGCTCCATGTACTTTTCGTTCTCTTCATATTCACCAACACTATTATTAAAAGGGTGTGTACAGTAACTTTATAATAACCCTTCGCGCTTACCATGCATACTTTGCGCAGTCTATCAGTCGCTTAGAAATAGTGTCCCTCCCGGTTGACCACGATTAAAAACACTTCATTTCTCCGTCCCAGAAAAATTAAAGCGAGTAAATCTAGCGATGGCTTCTGGTACTTCACATTTCGGTTTCCATGTTTTCTGTGTTTCGAGCCCCAGATTTCTTCAGTGCCTCAAGAAAAGACAAAGGTCGATGGTCTTCTTCCATTTCAGTGACTGAACTCAGCCTCTCGCCTCGTTGACGTGAGCTCGTATCAAGCTCAATGAACTGAAAAGCATATCTATAAAGATCAAAATGATAAGCGGAAAAAAGACCAGAAGACAAAACCAGAGAGCGTGACATCACTCGTACGTACCTACTACTGCATGGAGTCGATCGAGAACGCGATTGCAACTCTGGGAAGCTGGACGCACGAAGGAGCAGGAGCAGCAGGAGCAACCGGGTAGCAACACATGAAGTCTGGTACGGTGGAGAAATGTACACTGTAATTGCCCTCTCGCTGTGCGAGGTTACTAAACTTAACTAGCGTCAAGCAGAGGAGAAAGCAGAGCATGAAACTCGGATTGAAAAGCCTGAAATGCAACGGGGGCTGGTAAGCCCTGAAGCTCCAAAAACCAAATAGTTGGAGCAAGAGTATGGTCTGCGTGTTCTCAGCTCGAGCCAGGATGTAATTTGGGCTTAAGTTAGGTGCTCAACAGGTACAGAACAAACTGCCGATCGGATAACCCTCTTGAATTTCAGAGAAAAAAGGATTAAATGGATTGAAGAAATCCGAAGAGGATTATTCAGATCTTTAAATATCGAGTATTTTGACCAACCGATATCCAGCATGCATTGTGCTTGCGTCGACCACTTTTGAGTCTAGATTAATGGAGCCAATTATTCCTATATTTGTCAATATGCCAAATTTCAGGGTTAAACCGATAAGAAATTCGGCCAGTAAAAATCAAATATCTATTACCTGCTTATTTTAACCTACCACTTGACTATTTAGAAACTACGTATAACAGCCCCGCCATAGCCACTGCGTTCCTTCCACACCAAAAAGGTCAAGGCCACGAGTGACGTGGAAAACCTTCAGGACTTCATTTGGTGAAATCAGAGTTTTCCATGTCCAGTGATGTCGAGCCAAATCATCGCCTCCCCACGTCGGATGATGCCACATCGTCCAGAAGCACTCGCCGCAAGGCCTTCGAGAAACTGCCACGCAGCCTTTTTGTCAATACTTGGTACCCTCGCTGAAACTATGCTGTGTATTATGTTTGTACGTTCACAAGTTTAGTATCATACTTCGAGGGAAATGACCACAAGTTGCTTAATTTCGTTAAAACGTGACCATATTTTATTCACATTAAGGTGAAAGAGAGTGAGGCACTTGAAGTGGTTTTCTCGTCAGTGACGCATGGCCCTGTGAACTACCTGCCATCTTCACTATCCCATCTCAGAAGCTATACATCTCGTAAATACTGAAGTTCTTCATCCGTCTCTTCCGGTGTGACTTTACAGATCTGATGATATTCAGAATTTTTCCACCTTGGTCTGGAAGTAAATTTGAATTCTATGTTATGTACACATATTAGGCTATACAGTCAGACTGGGTGAGCATTACGTGGCATGTCATGTGGACGTCGTCAATCGTACGTGGCATGCCATGTCGGTGACGTCCGCATGCCGTGGTCGGGCGCAAGAGTGAGAGAGAGGGCAGTGCAGCGCGCACCGATCGGTGTCGGAGGAGAGAGAGAGAGAGAGAGAGAGAGAGAGAGGGAGGGGGGGGAGAGGGAGGGCGTGTGAGAGAGGGCGTGTGAGAATTGGTGCGACGCGAGCAAGCGAAATTGTCGGAATGGCACGAGAAATTGGGGACGCGTCGATGGCAATGGTGATCGGCGGGCTGGGGAAGAAAATTCTTCGATTTGCGGTGGTTGCAGAGCGTGATGGAGGCAGCCGCAATAGAAGCTCCACGCTGACAATTTTAGTGTTCGAGTTTGGTCGAGGCGAGTCTGGCGAGCTGTACACACTATTTTTCGATTGTCTTGACGAGTCCGGATCACTGGACCTCGTATATAATGTCCCTCCCGCCGACGCAACCTCATCATTACAGTTTGGCTCCTTTAGTCTCTCGTAGCCTGATCTGAGCTCTTCGGAGCCCTTCTCGGTCTCCAGATTCTGCAGCTTCTCACTTCCGAGCCTATCACCTCCTCTTCGTTCGGTCCAAAGGTGAGCTCTCTTCAGTTCAGTCTCAGTTGGCCTAACTCTACTCCTGCAGTTCCGGCTGCAAATCAAACACCAAGGATCGCGCAGATCTCTCGCTACACAGTGCCTGGTAATGCGTCTCTTTTATTGTTCGAACGTGGAAAGAAAGCGCCTCTGAGGATCTCGGTCTGTAATATTGTGCAGGATAAAAAATTTGTTCGAGATGGTGATGATCAAGCCCGATCACCAGATGGTAAGTACTCGAAGACGTGAAGAGTTTGTGCATGCAGCAGATGTCACATTTAGTGTTCGATTGAGCTCGATTGAGCTCGATTCGCCCGTGCAGACGAAGCTAACCATTCGACGATGTTGTGCTGCAGGTGGCTCAGGAGGAGCTGGAGTTTCAGAACCAGGTGAGGGAGATCAAGCAATGGTGGGGCAGCGAGCGATTCCAGCACACCACACGGCCATACACGGCCGAGAGCGTGGCCAAGCTGAGGGGGAGCCTGCCGCAGCATTACGCCTCGAGCGAGCAGGCGAAGAAGCTGTACGCTTTGCTGCGCAGGCACCAGGCCAACAAGACATGCTCGAGGACCTTCGGAGCGCTGGACCCGGTGCAGGTCGCGCAGATGGGCAAGTACCTGGACTCGATTTACGTGTCGGGATGGCAGTGCGCGTCGACGGCCTCGACCTCGAATGAACCGGGCCCCGATCTGGCCGACTACCCCATGGACACGGTGCCCAACAAGGTGGAGCACCTCTTTTTCGCGCAGTGCTTCCATGACCGCAAGCAGAGGGAGGCTCGCCTGAACATGAGCAAGGAGCAGCGCCTGGCCACCCCCTACGTCGACTACTTGGCGCCCCTGATCGCCGATGGCGACACGGGCTTCGGTGCCACCACCGCCACCGTGAAGCTGATGAAGATGTTCGTCGAGCGGGGCGCCGCCGGCGTGCACATGGAGGATCAGTCGTCCACGACGAAGAAGTGCGGGCACATGGGAGGCAAGGTGCTCGTCCCGACGCAGGAGCACATCAACCGCCTCATCGCCGCTCGACTGCAATTCGACGTCATGGGCGTGGAGCAGGTGCTCGTGGCGAGAACTGACTCCGAGGCAGCGTCGCTGCTCATGTCCAACATCGATGCGCGCGACCACCCCTTCATCCTCGGCGCCAGCAACCCCGCCGTCAAGGGCAAGTCGCTCGTCCAGGTTGTCCAGGCCGCAGCCGCCAAGGGCGCCACCGGCGCTCAGCTCCAGGCCCTCGAGAGCGAGTGGAAGGCGCAAGCTCGCGTCTGCCTCTTCTCGGACCTCGTGGCCGAGAAGATCCAGGCCCTCGCCATCTCGAGCCAGGAGAAATCCTCCCGCACGGCGCAATGGCTCGCCAAGGTCGGCGACCTCTCCCACGACCAAGCTCGTGAGCTCGCTGCATCTCTCGGCGTGACCGACGTTTTCTGGTGCTGGGATCTGCCCAGGACCCGCGAGGGTTACTACCGATACTTGGGTGGCACCAAGGCCGCCATCGCCAGGGGCATTGCCTTCGCCCCGTACGCCGATCTGATCTGGATGGAGACTGCCAAGCCCGACTACAAGCAGGCGAAGGAATTCGCTCTGGGAGTGAAGGCCAAGTACCCTCACCAGATGCTGGCGTACAACCAGTCGCCCTCGTTCAACTGGGACGCTGCCAACATGACCGACAAGGAGTTCGAGGAGTACATCCCCAAGCTCGCCGAGCTCGGATTCGTATGGCAGTTCATCACCCTGGCTGGATTCCACGCCGATGCTCTGATCACAGACAAATTCGCTCGTGCCTACGCTCAGGAAGGTATGCTCGCCTACGTGCGTGACATCCAGAGACAGGAGCGTGTGCATGGAGTTGAGACCCTCGCCCATCAAACCTGGTCTGGTGCCAGCTACTACGACCAGATTTTGCAGACCGTCAGCGGCGGGTACTCTTCCACTGCCGCCATGGGACATGGTAAGAAAGACAGCCGACCTTCGTTATGACAGTACGTAAATAAATGCAGTGGATTTTTGAAATTGAGTGCTGATTGTGGGGAAGATTGGAAACTCATTGCGTGGGGTTTTGGTTGTGAATCAGGTGTGACGGAGGATCAGTTCAAGCAGGGTCCCAAGAACGCGAAGTTGTAGAGTGGCCGAAGCTTTTGGTTTCGGTGGGGCGATCTATTCTACCAGATGTGTATAGAATGAGCGACGAGTTATGACATTGAGGATGCTGACTCTACTAATATGCTCCTCATTGATATCGAATAATGTTTACATTTTTGCACCGGGATTATTTTCGAGGCGGCTTATTCGCTACTTCTTCACCATAAGACCCAGTGGTGGAGGCGGAGATTAGGTTGTAAGGAGGAGGAGTATGCACGAATATTTGTCACGACCTTCGGCGGGTTTTGGAGCATTCAAGAATTCATTGCAGTATATTACTGTATTATTGTAAAAGTCCCATTCTGTTACAGCACCATTGCTGAACAGTATTTATAAAATTACTAGCACAATGATCATCTATCTCGCTGCAGGAGTTAAATGTTGTAACATTATGTTTGATATACTTGGGTCATTATTCTTGTGTTGGAATATGAAAATTTTGATGGTTTGAGCTGAATATGACGAGCAGTGAGGTAAGGTTTGGAATTTGCCTCTTAAAAGTAATGACAGATGATGAAACTCGTTTTTGCAGAAGACTGATAATATCAGTAGAATGAAAATATATAATGAATACTGTTAAGGTGGAAAATGAAAGAGTAATGAATGAGAAATAAGTTTAAAACAGGTCAAGAAAACAAGTGAAGACAGTTCTTTACTTAAAAACTGAGTAAATATTTGTTAGCTATGAAATATTGACGTGTACACAACTTCTCGCCACTATCGTTCAACGTACAAGAATAATTTGAGACCAGATTATCCGTTTATCTGGAAAAAAAAGGGTGGAAATATTATTCTTCTGTAACGCCCAACTTGGTTGCGTAATACAGTAGCATGTTAACTTGCACGATTCACAATCTCTTCAGTGTACAACCTCGAATACAAACGGAAAAAAAAGTTTCGGTTGCTTCTGTCGTTAGACGTCGTTGTGATGCATTGTGAAAAAATCGACAACGTCTTGCAGGCCATATGTATGCATGTGATTCTGAGAAACTTGGCTTTCTAATCTATTCTGCCACTCAGCCATTTCTCTGTCAACACGCACTTGTTGGTCGATCGGATAGGGCACTTTTCTGAGCCCTGGACAGACTGCCTGATTACAAAATTCGAGAGGGAACTTTGGAGGTTTTATCTATCTGCTGTGAGTATACGAAAACGCATCTCGTAATTTGCTAGACATCCATAGATTCCAGAAAATGAGCCTTCCTGAACGCAGCTGGCCGAGGTATTGAGTTGATCTTGGATCCGCATTTTTTAGCGTAATTGTCCACAGAACTTGTATTGTCAAGCTCTCAAGCTTCAACAAGAGCTTAGACGCTGCCCGATTTCTTGTTCCACCAATCATAATCTGATAGTAACACGTGCATGGAAAAGTTTTTCACCCAACGATTTCACATCTTCTGGCAGATTCAAAGTTTGGATGATTTCCGATGTGCACTGTTGCTCATGCGTCCTCTTTCACGAGACTCGTGGAAGCTCCAGATGAGGACCTACTTAATTACACCTCCGAAGATGTAATAAAGAAATGTAGAATATGTTCACCGTGTCTAATTTCTCTTGTATATTTTGTGTTTATATGCTTTATTGTTTATATCTACGGGTAACGTGTAATAGTTTCTCGGGTACAGGTGTCGTATAACCATTATGAAACATTTTATTTGAATGTGCATTACTAGGTTCCATCAAGGAGTGAAGCATGAAATATCCTTTGCGCCTGTATTCATATTTTTCTTTCTCATATTTCCCACGCATTTCCTTAAGCATATATAATATGTTACACATGCTCGTAGTGTAACACAATTGGCATTCATTGAGATAGCTTGGCCTTCATGAGATCAGCATATAGAAAGCTTGATAAAGCAGTTATAGTACATTGGCATTTCTCATGATATTCTTGTATTCCAAAAAGCTATTCGACTACATAGATGAGACATGGCTCAAACCTGATGTTGATAGACTCATAATATGACAAAGTGGATTGAGAAGAAATGGTTGACTTGAAGTTAGCATTAATCATATATATAAATGATGTGTTGATTGGTGGTTCATTTCTAAAAATGATTCATTCTCAAGAGGGTTACATCCACTTGGAATCTCGAGCGCGATAGTATATTCTCAGTGTATTTTTAATACACAAACTTTGGGATATATATATCCCATCACAATAGACACTCTTAGTTAAATATAGCTAGGACCCGAGGTTACTTCTTAACATAAGTTAACTTCAACAATCTTACTTCTTAATTCGTTAAATAAACAGTAATTCTAAACTATGTTATTATTCCGCAGGAAGTTCTAGACAAAATCCCAACACAAAGTCCACTCTTTACACAAAACTTAACTAGAATTAAGTTGTAGCCATAACAATATAGAATTATAACACAAAGAGTTAAATAAAAATTTGCTAGCATAGAGAAAACAAAATTGTTTAAAGTTAATTCCGGTTAAAGAGTAACCTTAGTTCTAGCTATTTATGGCTAGGTTGGTCGCCCGTGTTGGATATATATATATATATATATATCCATGGTCTGTTTATTAGCAGACATAATGTTCACTACAATCGTACGATGCTTTTTCCCCTTGGACTCAGCCCTTGAGGATGAATCATGTTATACGCTTGTTTCTCTCTTGTAGGTTGTTAGCTTGAATGTTTTGTCAGTGATGAATCTCAGGTTTTATATAAACAATTGGTGTTAGATCCGATTTTGGTGTTTGTCATAGAAGTTTGCCAGTTTTTGAAGTTTGTGACAATTTTTTCAAAATCTAGTTGAAAGTTTTTGAGTCAAACTTTGCTGGCAGACATTTAATGATAGTTTGAATTGAAAGTTTCTGACAAGTTTTTTCTCCAGGAGTACTGATAGCTTTTTCTCAACTTGATTTGTCTTCAAGTTCAAGAAGTTTTGACCAATATAGTTTTTCAAAAACTTTTAGTGCAGTTTTTTCACAAAACTGTCAATAAAGTTTTCACTAGAGCTTCGAGTTCATTGTTTTGAAAGTTTTATAGCTTCTGTTCTCGAGAAACTTCTTCTGCAGGTTTGTAGTCAAGACATGTTTTTTTATTTCGCTGTAAGTGATATCAAAAGTACTTTAGTCTCGTTGAATATACAATACTCAAAGTTTTTTCTTCTCTTTTAGACAAACTTCTTGTGAAGGTTTGTAGTCGAGAAAGCTTTTTTACTTTGCTGTGAGTGATATTAGAAGTACTTTCATCTCGTTGAATCTACAATATTCGAAGTATTTTCTTCTCTTCTAGACAAACTTCTCGTGACGGTTCGTAATCGATAGAGCTTTTTTACTTTGCAGTGAGTGATATTAGAAGTACTTTTGTCTTGTTCAATCGACAATACTTGAAGTTTTTTGAGCCAGGTGACAATGACGAGGCTGAAGTGTCGAGCTGCTAATATTCTGATAAATCAGTTTGCATCAAATGATTTTTCGTGGAAAGAGTTGCTCTGTAATACCGAATATTGTACGTGTGAAATAGATTTAGAAGTAACCAAAGAATTAATCATGATCAACTTAGTTATGACTAAGTCTAGCTAGTTATAATTAAGTTTATCAAGTTACAAGTGTGTTTTCCTATAATGTCTATACTTGGCGGAATAACTAGAGAAGTGTTAAAAGATTTGAGTAAGCACTTTTATTTTGTCTCATACAAAAATCTAGATTCCAAGAGAAAAGACTTTTAACTTCATGTTTAGTTTTGATTGGTTTGACTAAATAATGTAACCTCATTGGTTTGACTAAATTTAATGTTGACTTAGTGGCAAATGGAGTTTCTAGAAGTTGGAAATACACAAATGACATGTCCTCAATCTAGGTATTAATAAACATCTAGAAGTTTTAGGAAGTCAATAACATGTTGCCACGTATTGGTTACTAGTCAAACTTACTATAATTTATCTTTGTAAAAGTAAATTAAATAAAAATTATCATTTGTTACTATTGTAAGTTCTCAAGTAGTATATATGGAGAGGTATGGAATATGCTCTCAAGCAAACTTGGAAAGTTCATGTGTAAAGATTTGTTTCATATATGTAAGAATGACGTTTTTCAACATCTTGGAATGTCAATGTTTGTGTGAATTTGAGTATTGAATTGAGAGAAAGTGTGAAAGAATGTTTATAATATGAGTATAAGGATGAATCTTAGACTTCTAGAACCATGATGAATTATTGCAAAGTCATTTGAGGTAAACCTGAGTGAGAGTGAGCCCAGAGGTTGCAGCTATGAATACTAAGGGCTTCTTTAAGCAATACACAATAATAGCTCACGGTGATTACTACTTGGGAGTAGCTGGCCGATGCAATCAAATTCTAGATGGTTCCAACAAATTCTCCTGATCCTGGTGGATTTAGAGTGTGAATTTTGCTCGTGATCTGATCTGATCTTTGGTTAGACAAATTTGCAACTTTCTACGTGATCATTTCACCTTTCGTACTTTGCTGAAAGAAAATGTGTGCTACACATACTCGACCTCAAGTTGTAATTAATACGCAATATGTGATAGTTTAGTGTATATTATCAACTAAAGCGTGATGTGGCACGTCTAAATACGAAGGGAAAGCACCAGGAGCTAATATTCACCGGATGCAACGATGATATTGTTTTGGAATAGAAATATTTTTTTTCCAGTGTTGGTGATGGAACGGTTGGTGGTTGCATTAGAAAGATTATATGCGGCAATCGCCTAGTTGTTTATATGCTTCAATAGGATGTTTGCCTGCATGGTTCATTTGACAGATGTTTGAGATGGTGTGTGTTTGAGTCTAAGCTTGGGTATTCAATCAAGAGAAGCTAGTGGAGGGCTGATGTGAATGTTGTATAAAGAATTGGCTCAAGCAAGAAGGCCGAGAAATGCTCAGCAGATCAAAGATCCTCCCCTCCAAGCAGGTGGAGGCATGGAGCACAAACGCATGAAGGGCAGGGCCACCTTCCACCTTCCTTGAGCAAGCGGCATGATCAACTCTCCTTGAGCGGTAGTACGAAATGTAGAAAACTGCAAAATATGCAAAATCATGAGCAAACACTGTTCGAGCGAGTCACGATTGATGAAAAACTCTTATGATTGAGCTAGTCAAGATTGAAGGTAAACTCAATCCATGTAATGCATTGATCAAAGTTATTATTTTGGAGAATTTCACACCACAATGTGCTACTATGCAGGTTGTGCATCACAAGTAAATTTTGCTAGCATAGTTTCTTCAGTTATCTCTTCATACAATTACTCTATCATGGCTACGGCTTAGGTCTAGTTAATTTGCGTTTAAAGAGAGTCCTTGTAATAAGTCTCTTTTCAAAACTTTCCGTGGAATAATTATATAAATTACAAGGTTTATGTTCCCTCTATGGTAGCAAGTATTTAATTGAGTCTTTATGTTATTATTCTAGCTTGTTATGATTATGGCTTAGTTATAATTAACTCTTGTGTAAAGAGAATACCTTGTGTTAGATTTCTGTCTAGAATTTCACACGAAATAATAATATATGTTACAGAGGTTACTATTTACTTAACAAGAGTTAAATGGAATATTGTTGAGTTTAATTCATATTATGGAATAAAATGAAATTTTAGCTATTTATAGCTAGATTGGTCGCATGTGTTAGCTATATATATCCAGATCCAGATTTTGTGTATTACCAGACTAAACATTCAGTACAATGTCACGATGTTCTTCGCCATGGACGTAACCTATGAAAATGAACCACGTTATGCGCTTGTCTCTATTTTATTAGTTGTTAGTTTGAATTTTTTGTCACTGATGATTCTCAAGTTTTATGTTCACAAATCCATCTTTAACATAGATTCATGACTTTTTAAATTATATAAATTATGATAGATGTTTGTTTGTTAGTATTTTCACCAATCTAAAAGAATCTAAATAAAATTGTATTATTTACCCAAGAAAAAGAACCAGTGCTTTCTTACATATTAAGTAAACTAACCTATAGTTGTAGGCTTTGATGATAAATATTCAGAAGATTTTCAATCTCCAAATAAATTAATTGATGGTTTTACTTTCGGAGTGGGAGATGCTTTATTATCTTGGTTTAGCAAGAAGCCCGTTATATTTAACATCTCATTAATTCATGGTTTGTTCTTTTCCTAAATTTAGACTTGAATATGCCTTTCAGTAGCAACCAAATTCACAAGGCATGAGCAAAGGAAAAGAATCTTGATCTTTCACGGATTGTTTCGTATATTTGACAGTAATTATCATATATCATAATGATTATGTCAAAGTATTTAAAAAATTATATATGCAGTGCAATATTTTCCGATTTTATGATTTTCAGTATATTATCAATTACTAAATCAACTATACACTTTTGAGAGATTTGGATTCTCACAATACCTCCATATGTCATACTTAAATTCAATATCTTCGACATATTGTTATATGTATTTTTTGGGTGTACAACATTCAATGGATTTTAATAGTAGAAGTGGAAACAAATGGAAAAATAAGAAAGTAAATCAAGTCAAAGTACTACAATGCAGTAGAAAAAAATATTATTATACCATTACTGAGTCAGTACGTTAAGTGAAGAAGAAACAAGAATAATAAAAGAATTTTCTGCAGTGTGATTTTGTTTGATCTAGACAAAGGTATTGTGACATTGTTGAAATGAAATAACAGCTGTAATAATAAGTCTTACAACATGAATTTCATTTCATGTTATATAAAATTGAAGCATCCTGCATTACAAATAGGGGAAGTCTATGAATTAATTATTAATATCTAACCATCTACCCCCCTGCCGCCTCGCACGGCAGAGTAATCATGGGCACATTGTGAATTCAGTGATGTCAAAAGTTGCAAGATGGACTCAACAGTTTCACACTATAGATGGTGCAGTACATAATTTGTGGAAATTGGGTGCAGTACTAATTAAATGAAGGCGAAAATCACATAGTGAGGTAAGGAAAGATAGAAGTGAGTTCGATGCACTACGAGCGTGGCTGGAAAAAGCTAGATGTTCGGATAAGTGAGAATATTTCACCGGATTGCAATCGATTGTTACGCTGTGTTCGCTCTATTACGTCATGAAAAGTTTTGAAAACCAGCTGATGAAAATTCTCTCAGAGTACCCACACTGAATGTGCGCAAATAATGTCGTAACTTCATGATACAGAGTAGTTAGCTTGAAATTAATAATACTTGCGCGGAGTCGGACTATGACCAGACTGTATGCGGAGAAAGAGTTAATCAAGCTAAAAAGAATTAGTCGGTACTAACTGAATTTCTGTGGATGTGTACTGTTTAGAGTATTTTGTGCAATCTGCACTCAACGGCTGTCTACTTCAGATCTGTAAAGTTGACAACTAAAGAGTTAGTTCTCTTTTTAGTTGACAACTAAAAAGCGAGTTCTCCCTGTTGATACAAGCTTTCTCAATTGCACAGTACAACTCTAATCAAGTCTGACAAATTTACCTCTCGATACGTCCAAATTCAACAAGTACAATTGCTCGCTTACGCATGGAACACAAGAAAAGTAACAAATTCCCACTTCAAACTAAATAAACGATATCCTAAACTCAACAAACTGCTGACACTCGGATGAACTCAGAACTGTCTTGAAGGTATGATTGTTGATGGCCATGAGTTAGATCGTTCTCCAAAGTAGCAGAATGCGTACTTATTATAACATTTGTAGTTTTATTTTCACCAACTCTTACAATACAATCCTCTTCAATCTTCACTTTCAGGAAAGTAGTCACCACCTTCATAAATTGGAGCACATGCTAACGGACCTAGAACAAAACGTGACTAGAACTGACGAGACAGAAGAATGACAAGTAAAAAAATAAGTGGTCACAAACCCCTGAAGTAAGGATTACAAGAAAATTTGACTCTTCTTCCAGTTGGCTGGAAAGAGCTTTGATGAAACCACCTACTCTTTACAAAAATTCAAATGAATTCTCTCCTAGTGACAAGATTCACAACTTAGACCTTCAGCCTGAATGTAGTAGATCGGATAATGTCATCGTCAGCATTCAACTTCTTTTGGAGCGCCGATTGACTCTCTGGCTTTGTGACGTAAGTGAACAGCAAATAGATTCCATCCAGATACCTGTTCGACGCACCACCCATATTTTTGGTCTTAATGTTGTAGGCCAGGGGCTGCATTCCTCTGTTGAACATTTCCACGTCCAAACCTCCGCCAGCAATGATCGCCTACAGACAGAGAAAATTACTCAGTCCCAATTACTGTAACATTTGGACTCTGGAAGGATTTCACTCTGTTGTGAAATTCTTGACACACAACAGAAGGAGAACTCTGAATTGCTTCGACTCACTCAAGTACAATCAGCTATTCAGCAGAGAAAGTAAAACCCCAAAAAAAAGAGCTTTGAACTCCCCACAATGCGAGATACGTCGCAAGGACACAACAAAGAGCTTGAGAAAGAAAGAGAGGAAGATTCCAGGAACAGGTGAGTTCAAAGTACCTCCTCATAACGCTGGGTGAGCTCCAGGCGCTGCTCCTCCGAAATGTCAGGGCGAAGCACGGCCATGGTCTCGTATCGTTGCAAGCCAGGGGGATATTCGCGGAGCTCTCTCTGACCTAGTCCCATCATCTCATCGATACCATCGGAATCCTCTTCCTCGACTGTTCCTGTCAAGTAATCCTGCATTGCTACGGCCTTAACAGACAAAACCGCTCCATAAGGCCTCTGCAGTCTCAAACCGGCGTTCTTGACCACACTCTTGACCACAGGGGACGCAACGAACACCGCCGAGGAGCCATAACCAGCAGCAGCACTTCTAGTGCAGCTAAATCCACTGAGCACGGCTCCCTGCGCCACACCTTGCACTGCCAGAGCCATCGCGCCCTGCTCCTCGTGCCCTGTGCTTCAAAACCCTTCTACTTTCTTGTTCACCTCTACCACCGATGACCTCTTCCGCTGCAGCGAATTCCACGAGGAATGAATTTCGTAACGAAATTGAATATCGAGCCGGTTGTTCCGAGAATCTGTACAGAACTCGAGCGCAGCTGGGCTGTGCGGCGAGGCTGGAGGGAGTGAGAGGAAGAAGAAGTGACCCAGAGAGGGAGGGGCGCAAGGAGAGGGCCTGGGGACGAGATCAGACGAAGATAGTGCAGACAGAGGAAGATAGAGAAGCGGATGAGGAGTGGTGGGTGTCGGACGCACGCACCAACATCATCCGCGGCTACGCCCGTGCCATCACATCGCTCTTTGCCTTTGTCCCCCTTTGTCCCGCCGAGCGACCACGTACGAACCTACGTCTATCCTCTTTCCCCACTTCTGTACGTAGTCCTCGTTTCTCGTCAGTGAAGTTTGTTGAATGTAATATTTCTTTCTCTGTTTCCTGTTTTATGCACCCCATGGAATTAAAAGAGGAACTTTCTAGCACGTATCTCTAGAAAATATCTCTGAAACTCTGCGTTTTCTTATTTACAGAGGTTTAAAATTTTCTAAACCTTTCCTGATATAATTTCAAATCTAATTAAAAATTAATAATATTATTTGAAAGTTCTGTGGTAGATGCCAAATATTTTTAACAAATACAAAAAATTACATAATATATATGTATAAAATAATTCAAAGTAAAAATAAAAAAACACATCTAATTCTGATGTATTTTTTTACTGATCAGTTCAGCTAAATTTCTAGTGAAAATCTCCGAAGGTCAACAAGATTTTTGTAGGTTGTAATAGTGACTTAATACAATATTTTCTTCCTCCATTCCAAACAGAGCGAATTAGTGAGGGTTACAAAGTCATGTTCAAATATCTTTGCAAATATCACAAGTAGTTATTTGTTATAGTTTTACCCCAACCAGCGAACAATCATGTCAAAAAAGGACCGAATGTATGAGACGTCGCAATCTATTCCTAGCCTTATCCGCTGCACAGTACACTACGCAGCCCACGTACAGGAACAATTACTTGGAGTAGCCCCATGCGACGTGAGTCGAACTCGACAGAACTCAAATGGGCCTTGGCCAGTACCGCCCGTTGTAAATTTCCATGCTCTGAGCACAAACAGCGAGCCGAGGTGGAGAGAAAGGCCAAGTTGATGTAGCATGTCCAGTCACCATAGACGTAGGATTCATCGAGCTGAAATTCAGGCTTCAAATCTTCCACAAGACGCTTCCTAGTATGGCATCGTGCGCGTTCACCAGTCTGCAGAATGGACTCGAATATTTATTTATTAACTTGTTTATAGGTATCTAGGTAGAAACCCAAGGGCATTACCACACCAATAATCGAAAATGGAATGCTGGTGTAAGCCACATCCATTAATAAACATAAAACCATGATCCGATTTATTTAGTTGAATTTCCCTGATATTTGTTGTTTTTGTTAAGGATTGAAGTTTTGGACGTATTCTTTATTGGAGAATGAATACGAAATTTAAAATTGTAGTAACAAGAATATTAGGCCTTTAATGGGCTGGATTTTGACAGCCAGGTAACTGGATCCCTGAAAAATTAAGGGAAGATAACTAGAGTCCTTGAAGGAGCCAGGGGATGCAGGATGGCTAAGTAATCAAATGAAAGGGACCTATTATCAATACAGCCGACAGGATAGGAAGACCCATCATTTCATAAAAATGAATATAAAAGGACTTAAAGATAAAAAAAACATTTAGTAAGAGTAAGACAACAAGATTGTATTACCTACTATACCAATCAATATTTATACATGTGTTCTGTAAACATATGACCTAAGAAGTGTGAAAAAGATATCACTGTTTGCAAATGAGATGTTTTCTAAACTTTTCGGATTTAGTTTTTTTTATTACTGATTGTATAAACTAATACTGCAATTACATACAATGCTAAAAACTAATTTGCCCCAGAACGTTGTTACTTTACTAAGGGCATGTTACTACCCAAAGTAGTAAGGTTCCCATTTTTACCAACTTATCCTGTGCTAGATTTCGGGATTCAATATTTATCTTTTCCATGCCCCATGCAAAGCTGAGAAATCGGACGAATAATGTATCACTCATCTACTTTGCACCCCAAAGATCATGAAATCGACATTACATGTCTAACATGCCACTCTCCAGTGAAACTTGCTACCCATGAAGCAAAAGCTCGTGACTGGCATCCGCATCACACTCTCCTTACTTTCCACGTCGAGTCGCAATCCTACTTAGCAGGCCATGAGCATTGTGGCAATCCTCAACCGATGCAAGCAGGCTCATGTCCCATATGTAGCTCATCAGGCTCGAGGTCGGGATAGTCACTCACATCCTCCCAGACAAATGCATGCTCTGCACATGTAAGTTCTCAGGAAATGAACCCTGATATATCAATATCTTAGGATATGTTGCTCATCAGGGCAAAGACAACACGTGCATTCTCATAACTGCCGTTTGTTGCAATGGTTTACTTTGAGCATACATAGACAGTTACTTTACTATAGTTCAGGTCAATTCTAGATCGCTTTCCCCAACTATACCCCGACTAAGGATAGCCTTCGTCGATTTTTTACCATCGAAAAAAAATCCAAATGCTCCACGTATGAGATATTTAGCTAAATTTGTACCTTTTTTCTGTATTATAATATATTAATATATATATATATCAATAACTCTTTGCATAAATAAGTCTCGAATAGTCCCCTCTAACGTTTCGTACAGCAAGATGTTCTTATTCGAGAAAATGTGTATAAGCATCACAGATCTAAATATATATTTTTCAGTAACAAAGAATTACATTCTATGTCCTAAAATAAATAAATAATTCATTTACACCTATAATATTATCCAATATTATTTCATCCATGTACTCATCATTTTTCTAAGGCAAACGGAATGTGAATGTGGAACTCACGTAATCTGAAAGCTATAGTATTTTACGACATAACTATCTCTAACTAGCTCTTCCAATATGACATATGAAGAAGTTGGGGGCATAGTGATCCAAATAGGAGCAGAAACCACAGCGTCACTATAAGAACTTGGCCATGTATACAGTTCGACATATCTGAGCCCTCCAGATCGTACGAACTCATTTCTTATCTGTAATGGTGCAGATGTATTGCTTAGACCATGACATTCGGGTGAGAAATTTTAGTCGCAACCTATTATATCTTAAATAAATTTCGCGATTATGTGAATAAAACTATTTTAGAATCTTTGAAACTGGAAAGTGTAATACGAAAATTCTTAGTGTTTATGTTCTAGAATGATTTGATAATATTATTCAACAAGGTGATACGAGAGGCGACAAGATTATAACCTTTAAATCTTCAATCTTAAAAGTTTTTACAAGTCCTAATGTTTATTCTACTTTTGTGTGAGAAGTCTCGGTCTATTCATATGCCTAGTGAATGTTGTACCTCTGCTGATAGTAACTCCAGTGCATTAGACTGTTGATCCAATGTTTGATGGACTGAAATTTACGTGTTGAGGTCAGATTTGCATCTGAATCTCTGAGATGTCACAACTGCACCACATTCAACTGCAACGCTGCTTGCTCTCCATGCATGCGCTCCAATATTCGGTCAAGCACTATACATACGCAACTACTCTCACCTCCTTGCTTGCCTGCCAGGCTAGGTGCAAGTTCTCTGGCTCCCTATTTTGGCAATGCACCAAGATTTTGTAGCCGGCCATGGAGCCCGAGTTGCAGAATCACAACGATTAAGTCATGTATTTCAGATCACAAGAAAGTATTCAGCGCATATCTCATCCTGTTGAGCTCCTGACATCAAGCAGGCACAAGCCCGAGCCTCATCTGCACGCGAGGTGAAGAAAATAGAGAAGCTAGCAAATGATAGGAAATTACTCCACACAGAAATACTAACCATCAATTTGGACATCTGAACTAGCAATTATCATCAAACCAAGATCAGAAGAGGATTCCCTTGGCTGATTCACAGCCCGAGAATAGCAGCACGACTTTTTATCATTTCTGTCGGAGGTGTGCTACAGGTTTCGAATCACAGTGATTAATATTGCACAAAATAGCTGGAGATCTTCCTCCCAGATATTGATATCACAAACAACAACCTTAGAGCACGCCATTCGTGTAGCAGTGAAATCTTGGAGTGCCAAAAACTGAAGTAAGGGCGGAACTCGGTCATGTGACAGTGGTTCGGTTTTGAAAGGAGAGCTTTCCCATCGTTTCTCGAAAAAGCATGCGGCAACCATGCGGAAAAACTGAATGCCATCGACAGCAATTACAATACCTTCAGAAAATATTTCTCATTACGAACGGAGATCCATGACGTTAGATATCAAATTGAAATTAGTTATTGCTATCTTGCATTGCTTCTATTTAAAATTTCTCTAAAGTCTTTTTATTCATTTTGACTCATAACAAGAATATGATTGTCTATACTTAGTTTGAGATAATGATTTTTGTTGCAAAGGTGATGATTACCACTACTATGTGTTATATAATTTCAGAAATTTATCACACATTATTCATCACACAAATGTTCAATCATTCCTTGTGACATTGTTACCAACTCAGCACATAAAATCACAACATATCACATCTCCAATTATGTGGATATGAAAAATCTGTGTCTATACTCTTTCAGTTCATGACGTACATTGCGTTATTTAAAATCACTTTGATAAACTTGTTAGGTATCATCATATCAGATTACTGTATATATAGATTTCTTTTCCATTTCGTAAACTTTAATGACAAAACGTTTTTTTCATATATAGCATTAGCTAAGTTAATTTAAAATAGAAAAAAAGCTAGGATTTTCTTGTATTTATATAATATATAGATCTTTTAACTTATATGATTTTGGTATTCATGTGTTTTGTGATATATTTCTATAACAGTATCAACACTCATTTTTTTGTTTTATCTCATACTTGTATGACCTTGTATATGTTTTTCCATACTTAATTAGAGTAAAATATTTCTATCTCTATTTCTAAAATCTATTGAAATTTTTATCTTATTTTTGTAACTTTTGCAATGTTTTCTTGTAAGTAGAAGCTTATATTTGTGACTAAAGAATATAATTTCTCATTCATTGACTCATTTGTAATGAGTCAATGAATGAGAAAGTTAATATATTGTAATTAAAAGTTATACATGAAAAACTAGAAATGGATCAATTTATTACCTTCTGTAATCAAGTAATCATCAAATATTAAAATAACCTCATACATAAATAAGCTCAATGCCAAAAAAAAATTTAAAAAAGTATTGCATTCTATGTAAGATTTAAACTTATCAATACAACTTAGAACTAAATCACTGATTGATTAACACAGTAATATATATAAGAATATTCGATTTGTTTTGTTTTTTTATCTAGAGTATGCTTTGGTATCAAATATAAAAGTAAAATAAAATCATAGTTACTATTTTCAAACTTGTTTAACAAGAAACATCAACAACTCTGAAAAACTTATGGATGACACTTATTAAAATCTTTACGTCTTTAGATCTGAGTATTCAAAAATTCAAAATTTACATGAAATTTTATCATGATTTGAATATTAAAATATTTTCGAAAAACTCATAATCATGAATTTTTTATGAAATCTTTAAAAGAAAAAGATGGTTCAAAGATTTTAATATAGATACAAATTTCATATTTGTAGTGTCTATTACTGAAAATTATACATTCATAAAGTAAATTAAATGCAATATATTCAAACTATCACCATGTAAAAGAGAGGTTTATGTTAATAAATTAAACCTTATTTTAGGATAAGTTAATATGTAGTTATAAAACTCTAATGAATAAAAATAAATTAAATTTTCAATAAAATTATACAAATATTAATATCATATCAACTATATATTTTTATATTTACATTATTAAATTTATTGGAATTCCATGAGATATAGGAAAAACTTAATATAAAGATTAAAATTCAAAAGAAAATTTATTAATAAATATGAGCTTATATATACAAGAAATTAGAATTGTTACTTTGTCTGAAACAGACAGATATTCATCTTTAGAGAAAATATCTCATATTCATCACAAAATTATCACATTAGTGAAAACTATTCCAAAGCACACTAATTTTTCCGTAAAAATTACGAATTCTTTTGAAGACTGTGACATGTAAAAGTTTATATAAAAATGGTAAAAATCAAAGCAGAGCATAGAGTATATAAACTACAAGTTCAATATAGGTCTAAGCTACAATAGCAGCACACTGGGGGTTTATATGAGATTGCACTTTAAAGATATACGGGTTTACAACAGAGAGTATATGAAAAATCCATCACCTGATGTGATTGTTTCACTATGGAAATCACTAATTTTGATCTTTACGGAGAAAAGCAAACATCAAAGATACAGAAACAAGGAGACCACATTTCTCTCATTTAATTGAGCATGTACAGTAAAGCTTGACTGGGCAACGCACAGTAGTGAAGGCAGACCTCACTGGCCGTAGTCGCAGTCAACGACCCAGTCAGGCAGCAAGGATGTCATCGCCGTGGCGACTGTCGTCAGTGGAATCTCGGATCTGGGCACGGAGATGGGGATTCGCTCGAAGTCCACGAGCGACTGTCCCCAGATTCATCTCTTGCGACGACACTTTCTGCTCAGAGACGAGGGAGGGCGGGGAGGCAAGAGTGGCCTCGTTGACCTCTTCTTCCACACACCCACATCCCGTCTCACACTCCCTCTCTCGATCGCTCTGTACTGGTAGACGCTGAAACACAAACGAGAATCTCTGCGGCGAAGCATGACACCGTCGATTGCCCTCTCGATTTGCCGAGAGGTTTGTCAGCAAGGATTCAGACCCTGATCTATGTGACTGGCGCTTCTAGCAGCAGGGATAATATCGTAGCGCTGCATTTCATGATCTGATTGGAGCTGATCGGAAGGAATGGTGACCATAACAGAGATCGAGAGCGAAGATGAATTTGAGAAGGAGCCTTTGGTGGCAGAGGCGTCTGAACCTCCGACCTCTGCCTCCGAGTCGGTCGACCCTCCTTCTGATCAGGACGCAACAGGATTTCAAAAATACCAAGAAATGTGGGATCCCTTGACCTGGGGTGCCATGATTTTGGCTGTACTGATGGCAATGGTGATTGTCAGGCTTTCCACCCCCACCGTCATGAAACCTGTGAGAACCTGACCCCTGTTTCCAACACCTCCGGGAGTGTAGTGTGACTCGAGAATGTGATGACAACCCTATAATTTTTCATCTTGTCATGAGTGCGAATTTCCTTTAACAAGTTTGAACATCTGAAGGTAGACTACCGTGAGCTTCTAGTGTCCAAAATTGAGCAGTTCCAAGCTGCTTGTAGGAGAATGCTGCGGTAGTTTCCTGAAGCATGAGCTGGTTTTTCAGAAGCTTTGGAACTCGGAAGAGTTGGCTAAATACAATGGGTCCGACCCGAAGCTCCCCATCCTTCTCGGAATCATGGGGTACGCCCTGAAATATAATACTTGTGGACATTAAATGCTCTTGAAGTCCAGGGTGGTCTATTTTTGCATGAGATTTTCACACTGACTGATCTAGTTTGTTTATCAATCTATTTCTGCATGGACTTTTGCTGGGAAGTCATAGCTACCATAATGTGCATGAACATTTTTGAGATGTGAAGAATCTGCCCTTGAACCATTGTTAATGTCTCAGTTGCCTGGTGAGATGTCCACATTGTAATTCCTGGTGCTGTTCTGTGTGTTTGTGTGCCCCTGCAAGGTCAGAAGTGTTTTTGATGTGTCCAAAGGCAGGAACCACTATGGACCGGAAGGGAGTTATTCACATTTCTCCGGAAGGTTAGTGTCGAACCGAATACCCTCGCATAGTTTTACTGGCAAGCTCTTCAATGGTTCATGGAATTCGTTGTATTGCTGCTACAGAGAACTTTGTAAAACAAAAGTGTTCAACGGCTTCGCTGTATCTGGGACAGTTCAAATGTTTTGGTACATGTAATCGACACTGACGTGTGCGGGCTGTGTTTTATAGCCTGCTCCCTGAGTTACTTCAGTAGGGTTTGGAAAATTTCGAACCACCAGATGTGGATGTAAGAAGCTTCACTTTCTTCTGGACGTTGACTTATGCAACATACTTTCTTCGTTTTTGCAGAGATGCAAGTCGGGCATTCGTTTCTGGCAATTTCACTGGTTGGTGATTTACTTGATATGGCTCAAAAGTTAATGGAAGAATGGAAGAAATGAAAAGTGATGTCGCGTGGTCAATGGTCGCCATTAAATTTTGGTTCTTCACGTTGTTGTCTGTTTCATCCAGGTGATGGCTTAAGTGACTCGTTAGAAGGTCTGTCTGCTCTCCAGGTACACACTGGTGAAATTTGAGAATAAGACCATCTGGATTTGCAGTTTCAGTCTCATGGAAGGCTTTGAAGTTTACGATACATGCACGCATCTTCAGCTTTCGTTATGATGGCAAAATCCACTGAAACATTACCTAATAGTATTTCAATGGCTAACAAGTGATCCCCCTCTTCTGCAGGTTAAGAGCATTATGGATTGGCATAAATTTTTCGAGAATAGCACGAAGTATACGTAAGTCCACCGTATCTTCCTACCCTATCGTACCTTATCTCACTTCACTTTTGCCTTCTTGCTGAAGAAACTAATCCAGTCGTTGAGTTTGTTTCTCGGCAGATACGTTGGAAAACTAGTTGGGAGATTCTATGACGAATCTGGTCTGCCTACGAAGGAGTTTGTCAGAGCAACTCGACTGGCTTCACGTGGCGAGCGACTCGTCAAGGAGCAGAAAGAAGATGAAAGTCGTTTTCCGTCGTGCAATTCGCGTTGGAATCCTCAACAAGGTGGTGAGGTATGTAACTCTTCGTGACTTCTGAGAGTCCTTCTAGGCTGTCAACAGAATTTCCCTTGACTCCAGCCCTATGATTACGCCTCAAAACTGACTCTCTAGGTGTTGCAGGTTTGGTGCACAACTGGGTATCCACGTATTGCTGAGAGGATCTCGGATGGTCTTTACAAAGGTGCAGTGGAGACTCGCTGCGCTTGCTTTGAGGAGGATGTCATGAACAAGAGGAAAGGACTTCGGGAGTACGATGGTTGTCCCCCTCTCTCACAGAGGTGTCAAAGTGCACCTCCACAAGCCTAGGAGCTAAGTCCCGGAGTGACCCTGAGGAGATTCATATTTGATAGCAGGGACAGTAGTATTCCACCTCTTCACGAAGAGATCTGTATATAAGTTGTTACCACCTACGAGATGCAGGTTACTTTCATGCCGACCTTCCACATGACCCATAGAATCACTCCCATTTGCTTCAGGAACTTGCTGGGAGAATTACCGAATGGAGCAAATCGTCGTCGAATCTCAAACTGCCTCCCAGCAGGTAGGAATATCCAAGTTCCTTACCTTTCCTGGACAAGAAGTGTACCCTTATCCCAAAACATAAATTGTCGTCTAAGTTCTTTACTCACAGGAAGTAAAGTAGCGTAGAACTTGTTTTCTCCCGAAAGCTTGTTGTCTCCATTGGAGTCAGCTATGTACTCTTAGACAAGCGAAACTTCTACAATCTATCTATGATTGCCCTGGCTTTGCTTGAACCTTTGTGCAACTTATCCGATGGTTTTGAAAGTAATCAGCTCAAGAAATGGGAGGCTACATGAACTAGTAGGCACTTAATTCTGGCCTTCTGGTGGAAAAGAGACGTGTATTCTTACAGGCTTTTTCAGATTAGATCTCAGTGTCTTCACTAAGAAATGTACGAGAAGATGGGTGTAAAAACGACGTCTCGACACTGAAGGGTTCAGTTGAATGAACGCCCTGGACAATTTTCTCTGATTGCAATTGTATGGACAATACCATCGAGGACTATGACGCCAAGTCCGAAATTGAGTAAATAACCGCAAACATAAGGAGAGGAAAGAAGAAAAACATGGCTAGAAATTCCAGTAAAACTCCGCCTCGTCGCATAATTTAGGAGAATTTAGGATCAAAACAGGAGACGAAAGAAAAATCGGATGAGAAGGGGGAGCCAATTATCCATATCCTTCTGAAGAAGAACAAAAACTCGAGCCTCCTTCGTGAAACAATGGGAGCTTTACAGCTGTTTCACAGAGAGCAGGCTACCTTGTGAAGGTGACATTCAAACTCTTGTGGTAGTAGAGCGATTGCCAACAGCACACACACGTCTTTACTATCACATGCTGCACTCTCCACGTCACGAAGAGTTCGTTTCGTTGAAGAGGCAAAAGGTCTGTTCCATAGCCATTATCTGGTTTGAGGTGGGTCCAAAACAGAATGTTTGTCTTCACCGTGAGTGCCTTCATCACTTCGAATATGCAGATGTGGCCTGTCTTAGATAGTCAAATTGGGTTGTTGATACGAGGGGCCACCTTCCATTTCTCAGTTCAGAATGGATGTGTAGGTCATATTACTGGTTTTGAGGATTTTTATATTATAAGAGCCCAAGGTTAGAAAGATTTCTATTTTTTTTTTCCTTAACCACCTCCTGTTGAAACTTTTTTATGCTCTTTTTTTTAGGAAATATAGTGCTAATCACTTGTGGAGGAGATGATTGGCCTTCGTGTAGTTGACATCTGTCATACTTTATGAGTTTTCGCATATCGTCACTTTAGAGTATAATAGTCATAAAGTAAGGCAAGATTGATAAACAATCATCACATGCCCATGCTTCGTTCCATTCATTGCTGGCATTTGCAAAGCTTCAGCAGTGGCCAGCTTTCCACATTAGGGCGCCGGCCTCATGTTCCCCTTCCAACCTCCTCATCAACTAGTTTGTGGGACTTCTGTAGTGCTCTTGTCGTGGGTCAGCCAATCATGAACATTGGCGAGAAGTCATACTGTTGTAGATATAATAGAAAGGGCACTGCAGACGAGTCAAACGCGTGTCCTTCAGACGTCAACATGGAAGAGATTGACTGAAGGAATCCCGAAGAGGATCGTGCACGATAACTCCGCAGAGATTTAACATTCGTAAATCTTGTAAGTTCGGGTTAGATGGACAGTGCAGGCCGTTTATGTGCATGAAGGTAGTTCTACATCTTTGAAGTAAGATTTGGTGGAGAGTTGGTCAGTTTTGACATTTCCTCATGTCACGAAATGTACCAAATATTTGTTATTGAGGCGAGCGCAGAATTTCTGTATGAAATAAGAAAATTCCTCCGATTGTGAGCAAACCATAGATGACAACGGCTTTACTTTCAAGCTGCACTTCGTTCAGTGTTCAGTATAATACATCATCTTGTGAACTCAAAGGACATGTTGAACGTTTCCTAAACATTTTCGTAACCTATCCGAAATAGATAGAAAGAGAATACATGAGCGCAATTGGCACACAGCCGTAACCTACACCCCCAAATAAGCTGAATCTGTCGACAACTTTGTCCTAGAAGTTGAAAAATTCATGCCCCTATGGGGCTCAAGATGTGATAACCTGAAAGGTAACTATGGTACAGGTCAAACGAGGTATGACATGAATGAAATGGAAGTAGCACCTTGCTAATTTTAGCTAGTAATTATGTACAAGATCACTGCAAAGAGATGAACAATTTGAGGGAGTTCAGGAGGCTGGGTGGCCAGTGTTTATTCTCTTGAACCCACTTGAGATTCGTGTAGCGAGGGTCCAGTAATGTTGCTATATTGAACTGCTTTTCTGCCGGCATCGCTGCGTGTTTGTCAACATACAAAGCTGCAGCCAGAGCTGCATGAATTTCTGCACGAAGGACAACAGACATGCACTCTAGATAAGCACACCGAAGCAAGAAATAAGAACAGGCACGCAGACAGTGTGGCAGTGAATGCAAACAGTGAACTACGGTGTACACATTGTGCTGGATCAGATAAAAGTCAATTTCGGCTGGAAGAAGCGCCCTCCGCATGCATGCACACTCATAGGAAGGTAGTACAGTAGACTTGAGCCTAAGAAATCGGGATGTGGTAAGAAGAACAGCAGGGCACTGAGGAGATACCAGCACCGATCTCGTTTGAAACGCATAAGACATAGTCCAAACTGGATCTGTAGTAGACTTGTAAATATATAGTGAGGACACAAGAAATAGGGACGAAAATTCTATGCCTCGATACAATCTCAATGAGAAGCTTGGTAGTACCAGTACCGGGTTCAGGTAAGATTAAGCGAAGATATTAGCTCCCAAGATTAGCTCACTTTGTATTCACGGTTTGCTGTATTCTTGACAGGGAGTTCGAAATAGTAAAAATGCAAGCATGGCTTATACAGCAGGTTTCGGTGATGGAATCTATGATTGCACTGATAATAAGTATAAATCAGTAAGAGGAACACTTATGGAATATTTGGCATGTATTACAGTTACTAAAACCTGGCGTCTACAGAGAAAGCACAGTTTTTCGGAGACAGGTGACAGGAGACTGGTTGGACACACGGGTCTCAGCCTCGCCGTGTAAACAAAAAATTAAAATACTCGTGGGCAGGTGATCACTTCTTACCTGGATAACCTCTGAGTGCGATAGATACGTCCTCCATCTCAGTTATCGCCTCGCTACGATCCCCAACCTCATAAAGCGTCACCGCATGCCCGACTCGGGCGTACTCAGCTAAAGCCAGGTCGCCTGCTGTTTGTTTGACCTGAAAAAAAAAATTAGGGATTCATCAGCACGATGGAACATGTGATTCTTGAAAGCTTAGTCTGGTCTTCTTGCTGTTCGTGGCTTCTAAATTTGGCAGTCAAAGACCCGATTCCACATCATCGTCGGACTCGCCACTGTAGGCTTTACTGCAGCTGTGAGTCGATGAATTCAATGGCTCCCTGAGAAATCTCCACAGCATGGCCGAGAGATTCGCCACTTGTCACACCTCCTCGGAGCTGTTCTTGCTGCAGAGTTGAACCTCCTCGAGGCCGGGAACAGGAAAATGCTCAACAGGAAACCGAATGAAAGATAAAGAGGAGAAGGATTTCTTCGAACCTCCTCGTAAAAATCGAGAGCCTTGCAAAATTCGCCTCGTGCCTGCGCGCTTTGACCCTTCTCCAGTAAATCGATCGCTGCGGTAACCCTCGCACGAAAAGCTTCGCTGTCTTGCATATCTTGGTTCGACACGTTTCCAGCACTAACAGGGGCCGCATTTCCGGCTACCCTCGGAGGAAAGAGACTTATGGCGTCTGCAGTAGGAGTGCACGAGAAGAAAATGGAGGTCAGTATGGAAGCCACAAGGCCCCGGAAGTAAAAACTCGTCGAGAATTCTCGAGGGAGATCGTGGACCCATCGGTCAAGAACACGCTGCGCGAAAAAAGCCTTCACACGAGGTGGCAGAAGAGCTTCGAGAGAGGACGTCGGTCGTCTGCCTGCATCATCCCCCGGGGCGAACGACACCCCGCAGCCGGTCGTCTCACGGGCGCAGCTCCGAATCAATCTCAAAAGCGGCCGCTTGATCTCCGCCGCTTTGACGGACCCTCGAAAAAACCTCAGCTCGTCAGGATTCGGAGACACCACCGAGCGCACCTGCCGCACACCATCCGCCGAGGCTCCACGACCAGAAGCCCTCGGCGAAGAATCTCTCACCCCCCGGCAGCGATTGCACACAATTCCCCCTGAACAACTGCTCGAAGCCACCAGCGAAAGCATTGCCTTCGATTACGAGCAGAAATTGACCCTCCCTTCCAATCTTCCCTTCCCAGCACCTTCGAAATGTGGCGAAATCCTCGCGAATTCGAAGACCGATCGAGCAGAATGGCTCAGAGTGAGCTCAGAATTCGAGCATCGCTCGAATTCTCAGAGTACGTGGGCAAGCGCGAGGGTGAAGCTAAGGTGGCCATGTGTTCGCTCTGCCGTCGTGTCTAATTGGAGCCGTCGCAGCCGTCGGAGCTCCAGCATGGATGGCGATGGAGCCGACCACGTCAGTCGGCCGTTTCCAGCCTTCGGTTGCTGACGGGACCATCTTGTGGTGAGCTCGCTCCGCTGGAAATTGTGCTTCGCTTACTCGGACCTTTCTGCGTACGACCATCGCTGCTCCCTGACGCACGTGCTGCATTTTTCTCATGGCCTTCTTCGTGCTGGAGGAAAAGAAAGTCTGTTCGCCTACTTGGCTACTGGAGAAATTATTTATTTTTGGTGGAGCCAAAATGCGTTTTTCGGATCCTCGCGCTTCGAGATTTATTGGCTAATACTCCTGCAGGAGCCTATGGTCATGTTCTGATCGTGTCATAAAGTTGTAGGTGGGGTTCGATGTTTTTTTTTATAAAGATGCGGGTATAAATTGTGTGCAAGCTAGGTCCAAATTTGTTATTAGAGGCATAGGAGATCGGCCCAATCTAAAGATGTATGAATGCTGGTTTTGGGTAAAGAAAATTATTATTTATTTTACAGTGATTGGAAACAATGGAAGTTCTTAGTTTGAGTATCATCGTTTGAATTATCTTAGCTATGGTTGTATGATAAATATAATAAAACAGAAATTTATGCCTTAAGAAGAAGATTATGAATTTCTAGTAGATATTATATCGCTGAGAGTAGTTATGTATCTTTTGTTTAGATTTATTTCATTTATAATATCAATTATCAGTAACAAGGCAGTTATCAACTATGTTGCACACCTGGAGCAATCTCATTTATATGAAGGAGAAAGTAACTCTAACTTCAAACATAAATATTGGATCAGAAAAAGAAAATAAAAATGGAAATGTGCATAACATCCTTATTTTCAACCCTATCTCAGAGCCAAACATGATAGAAAACACATGATAATGTTCGGAGATCGTAATCTGATCCTACAACATTCCTCGTACTGTAAATGTGACCAATTCGACTCAACTCACAACATCAAAAATTATAAGGAGTAATATAATAACCTCCCTTTCGGCAGCATGGAAGTTTTGACTCCGGACTATTCATAGGATTCGATTTAGTTCAACAGACCATCAGGGTTACTTGATTTGTAAGAGTTAACGAGGTGACAGGGCGGATGTCTTCTTGCAATGATCACGAATAGGCTTCCGTATTTTATTATTTTTAATCATTTGATTTTGTTTTTTGTTTTTTGGCTTTCGTATTTGAGACAGCAAGCAAGTTTGTGAACTTGACAAGCCCGTGAGACGACCCAAAGTTTGAGGCTCGTCCATCACCATCATGATGGTGATGGACGAGTTCCTTGCCCTTGTTGGAGATTAATAAAGTCCACAAACTTGTATGAAAGAAAGCAAGCAAGCTGGAAGGTGAGACATATGCTTAGCCGAAAGAGGATTAAGCTGATTCTTCCATTCAGGAGTTTCAATTCTCCATGTATCACATTCGCATCTTACGTGATGAAGGTGAAATTCATTTACATGGTAAAGAATGTCATTTCAGCTTTACCATGTATCACATTCGCATCAATCGTGGTCTCAAAGAAAGGTCTCTTACGTGGTAAGAGCAGGCTTAAAATAATGTACCGTAAATAGCATTAGCGAGTGCAAAAAGCGCAAAAGGGGAGATTATTGTCAACACTGATCTATTTAGTGCTCGACGTTTGGATCATTCGGTTCGATATGTTCGTATGTTGTACACGAATGAAAAAGTCGAGGATGCGGAGTTCTTTCAAATTTGTTCATCCTCGGGATAAGAGGATGGTGAGAAGACACGTTACGGTTACTTACAAGCCTCTCTGAATTTGTGCAGACAGAGTCGTTTGTGCTTATCGGCGGCATTGTTTGAAGCAGATAACGATTTGGGACAGATCGATGCAGTCTACTGATCGAAGTGATTCAAGCGTGAACAAGCTTGTTCTGTGTTTTGAAGTTGATAGCAAACAATGTTTTAACGGATGGAAACTGAACTTACACCAGTGTTGAAACAATATTATAACCATGTATCACTATCTAAAATTATGAATTATCAGATTTGAATAATTTACAAAATAAATGTACATCCAAATAAAGATACATTTTTTTCCCTATTAAGGAGTGCAATTTTTTCGAGATTATGATTATCTCGAAATTATTAACATAAATTACATTTTTAAAATTTATCATTCATGTTCAAAAATTTTGAATATTTTACTGAAAAATGTAGTTAATATTTTTAATTTATAAGTGATATTCTACATTCATAAGATTATATCAACATTAAAGTAGTCGATATTTTTAAATTTTTGAATATATTGATGATATGAGTTAATAAATTTTCTTCAATCATAAACATTTTTAGTGTACTTAGATTTATCTAGTTATCGACTGATAACGTGAGTCTTTATTTACGAGTATACATAATTTTTTTATTCTCAATCTGTATTATAACGATTTTATTTTTCTTAGTTTCGATGTTTTTTATGTCTGAATGATTTCCCGTAAGAACTACCGATTTATCTATCCCATTTTCTATTGTTACAAGCATATATGATATTTATAAAAAATTATACAATAAATCGAATATATTCTTCATCTTCATATTTATTCGTGAAAAATTTTATATACCAACGTAAAGCTTCAAAGAAACCGTAAATTTCAAGCAAGAACAAACTACTGAAACACAAGGTAAAGTCAATTTGGATGCAGATACCATAATGGTAATTGATCAAACTAAGTTGTTGAGTCTCTCTGTTCACCTAAACTGGCTAGTCTTAGAGATATGGAATAAATTTCCATATCCGTCATTCGATGTCTTTTCAAGCTAGGCTGGCAATCTAATCTGGAAGCTGATTTCTTATGCTAAATCGTTAAAATTTCCTGACGAGAACGACAAGCTATACGAAGCAACACCACACGCAACCAACCATTCAGATGTTAGATGAAAAAAAAAACACCTACAAATGGGACGCGAAAGTGATCTGAGCTCGAAGTCACTCCATCGTGAAAACGAGACTCAAAACTTTCCAGAAATTGTATGTTGTCATGGAACGGGATATTCTGCTAAAGCGGCCACACAATCTATGCGGCGAAAGACGGAAAGAAAGACCTAAGCTACGACGAAAGAGAAAAGTGCGATGGAACGAAACAAATCTGGACATCTCGAAAAGCTTGGGGCGAAATGATTCCCGAAAGGGAAATGGTCGTCCACCCATTCCTTCAGATGAAGCAGCAGCGGCGCCAAATTATATTTTAACAAGTGGCGGACGTGAGTCAACCGACGGGCGAATGACAGAGACATGCGCCGGATGGAGTTCGTCGCCGCGCCGGTGACGTCCGCCGAGGTCACCGAGTCAGCAACTCCAGATGTCCGCGGTTCCACATCCGCGATCTGCCCTGCCCTGCCCCTGCCCAGCCCTGCCCGGCGCCTGGCTTTACCGGGAGAGAATCAGCACTTACATGTTGCTTTGCGGTGAAGTTTGGGCGGATGATCTCGGAGCGACCGAAGGCCGGCGGTGAGGACGTCCACTGTCACCGGCAGTCCCGAGTCCCGGCCCGTCTGCCCGCCCGGGCCCCAAGAAACCACATGACGATGGGTCGGGTCGGGTCGGCCTTTACAGCCCAACCGACTCGATCTTAATGACGAAGGAGAGAGAAAGGCGCCGGGCGGAGGAACGATCCCGGTCCCGATTTCGCTGCAGGTGCCGGCCGGCCGACCTGCCTGACTGCCTGACTGCCTGCCTGCAGCAGCCGGGGTCGCCTGCTGGCCGCGACCCGCCGGGGCGTGCGAGCGTCTGGATTGAGGGCCCGCGGTTCCCCGGGAGCGTCGTAGCGTCTGATTGGCCAACAGTAGCGGGGGCTCGCGCCAAACGCGGAGAGTCTGCTGTGCTGTGCCCCAGTGCCTTCTTTTCAACCAAAGAGTCGGGACGGGAGGAGACGAGACGGTCGCAATGCTAGGCCGCGCTGGCCCGGGCAGCCCCGGGACAACGGGGCGAGGAAACTGGGGCAGCAGCACTGTGTTGTCGCTTGTGCCAGTTCGCCCGGATGCCGCCGGGCCGGGCCGGACCTCCCCGGCCCGTCCCGTTCTTGCTGCCTGGCTTGTCCGCGCCTAATCCATCGTCCTGGTGCTGGTGCTGGCGCTGCTTCGTCCCTTTGCTTGCGCTGCTGCTTTTCGTGAGTCGAGCTCGAGGCTGGCGAGAGAGCGAGCGAGCAGGCGACGAGACGAGACGAGACCAGGCGGTGGCGGGAGGAAGGCAGCAAGTTCTCAACCCAGTAATTGCAGTCTTTGTCGTTGCTTTGCGGAGAGAGAGAGACAGAGAGAGGAGGCGGTCGTTGTCAGATAAGAGATATGTGCGCTCTGCTGCTGTCGATGATGGGGACGTGGGTTCGTTTCGCGTGAGATGAGACCGAGACCGAGACAAGGAGCAGCAGTAGGAGGAGGCAGAAGAGTGCGAGCCGAACGAGACGACGATCGTTGTTGAGACGAGACGAGCGGACGAGAAGGATTGCGCTGACGACGAGGACAAAGCTGCCGTTGTTGATGTTGTTGTCATCGTCGTCGTTGTTGTCGTTGTCGTTGCGAGGAGGAGGAGGCAAATGAGTTGTTTGGTGTCGTAGGCAGAGGCAGGAGGGAGAGGGAGAGGGAGGACGAGGAAGAGGAAGAGCTGTTTGTAGTTTTCGGTGAAGCGGACAGGTCGGCTGCTTGCTGCTTGTTACGCGGCAGAGTGGCCACGGATTGCGGTGGAGCGTTTGCGCACAGGAGATTGTTGTTGCGTCGGTCGGCATGCTGGGGCGGGCGCCTCGGTAGCGGTGCACGAAGACATGTGCTTGCCGTCGACGACAGGCTTGTGCGGTTGTTTTCTGGGGGCGAGGAGCGAAGTTGTCTTCCGGAGGGCCGACTCTCGCTTGCATGCTGGGGACGAGCAATTATTGCCAGGAGGAGGAGTGCGGTTGTAGATGCCGGCAGGGCGCAAAAGTGTGTCTTTAATAATCGAGTGTTGTAGTCGTAGAGGAAGGCCGACGACGCGGGACGACTTTTCGTAGCATTTTTTGCCGACAACTCGAGAGAGCGCGACTTGCACGAAGTGCACGAGGCTTTTCGCTGGATTTCGACGATGCCCACGGCGAGGTTGTAGTCCGCTGACAATTGGTGGGCGAGGGCTCCTCGGCTCGTCGCTAGCTTTGATCTACTCTCGGCGTCTGCCTGCTGAGGCGCTGACGACGACGGCACGAAGGAAGGGCTGTTGTTACGTTTGCCGCCCATCGCCCCTCAGCATCATCGTCGTAGCGCCCTTCGGATCCTTGTTCGGAAGTCCATCGTCAACGGTGCCACTTACATTTGTGCAGTCGGAGGCTGTTTGAGGAGCTAGCGGCCGGGGTCACAAACGCAGATCTTCATGCCTCTAGAGCCTGCACTGCCTGGAGATTCCGGTAGGAATTGCCGCAGAGCACCCTGCATGGCTTCCGTAGCGTTCACCGATCACTGCGACCGCCTCCCGGACTCGCTGTTGTTGCTAATTCTCAACAAAGTGGCCGACATCAAGGCTCTGGGGCGATGCTGTGCCGTGTCGAGAAGATTCTACGCTCTGGCTCCGCTGGTGGACAACGTGGTGGTGAAAGTGGACTGCGTGATTTCTGGAGAGGAGAACAGCTTGAACGTCAAGGGCAGAGGTATACTGAGTATCGTTCGATTAGTCATGGGCAGCATCTTCAAGCCTATACAGGCTCTGCAGCACCTGCTGGGGCCGAAGAAGGCGATTCTCACCACCGAAGTATCTCACCACTCTCCCGGAGAAGTATTGAAGAACTTCAAAGAAATTCAAAATCTCAGAATAGAATTGCCAGGCGGCGAGCTTGGCATCGAAGAGGGCGTTCTGTTGAAGTGGAAGGCAGAGTTCGGAAGCACTTTGGAAAGTTGTGTAATTCTAGGCGCTGCCTCGTTAGTGAAGGGAACTGAGGTCGAAAAGAAGGGAGGCAAGTCCGATGGCTCCAATAAGCCATGGTGCTCGCAGGTTAGAACAGACGGAAGCAGGACCGGCGAAAGTTTGATCCCCACGCAGCCAGATGATAGCGGGAGTATCCCCGCATCCTTTTACACAGATGGAGGCCTGAAGCTAAGAGTAGTTTGGACCATCAGCTCTCTGATCGCCGCTTCAGCTCGACACTATCTTCTTCAACAAATCATTTCCGACCATCCTACTCTGGAAAGTTTGGTATTGACGGATGCCGACGGCCAGGGAATGCTCTGCATGAGCAAAGAGCAGCTGCGAGAGTTCCGGGACAAGCCCCTCGCTGCCTCTGCTTCTTCCAATAGGACTCAAGTTCCCGCATTGAACATGAAGCTATGGTATGCACCCTACTTAGAACTTCCAGGCGGGACAGGTTTGAAAGGAGCGACTTTGGTAGATATTAGGCCTAGCGACCAGCCTGCTCGCAAGGAGTCAGAAGCGTTTGTGGTCGGAGCATTTGAGGAGCCATATCGTACTGCTGCTAGCATTCTCGCCAAGCAGCGCACATATCTCTTGGAAATGAACTCGTTTTGAGTCTTCTTTTCCGAGTAAAAAACAGGTCCGTGTAATCAAGCAGGGGGCATTCGAGGAAGAAAGCTTAGGTCGCCTTTTTCCTCTCTTCTGGGGGCCTAACTTGTGTCCAGCCTTGCTGATCGTCGTCTCAGCTCTTGGCGGTGAACGGAGGAATCAGTGAAGTTCTGGTTGGGAAGGGGATGCTGGTAGAGGACTTGATACGTAGAGCAGGGCGACGTGATGCAGGCTGCTCCTTGCGGTAGAATTAAAGGTGAAAACTGGTGCTAGAAGGCCGTCGATCCCATCTCCGATCAAAGAAGAGATAGCAAGCTCTTCGGAAAGCAAGTGGACGTCGGTCTTGTTTGGGCGATTCATACCATGAAGGGCTTTGTTGCCGTGGTCACATAGATGCGGAGCGGGATGCTTGAAGTTTCTGTGACAGGCACATCACACTTTGGAAGACGAGACCTAACTCCCTTCTTGGTTTTCACTAGTTTCCAGACAAAGCCGTCGTATATTCACTAAAGTAAGACTTGTAAACAGCAGCGGAAGGTTTTGACAATGTTCTGGAAAGGCATTTTTTGGGTCTAGGGTTGGACTTTTACTTTCAAGCTAGTACGATACACGTAACGGGGAGAAACGCCGGTTAATCGGATTGATTACTTTGTGTCATGTAGATGGTGATCCTCTATGCCGCCGCAGCTGTTGCTGGTGGGGAGATCAAATGTAGCTCAGATGGGACAAGGCGATAGTCGTCACTTTTGTTGACATTGTAAATGTCTAAGCTTTTGATCATCTAATGTAAATTACTCTTTGAATCTTAATCAAGTCGGATGAGGTATTGTGTAGAATATACTGTTATATTATATATATTATAGTTTGATATCTAATGTTTTACGAAGGCTTTGAACTTGACAGTGAGAGATGTGTCCCCATTCTGCCCTAGTGTTTGTCAGTCATCATTCCCTTCTGTTATCTCCCAGGCTCTCACTGCTCATTGATTGTAGCTAAAATGGGCAAGCTATGTCGATTCTGAATTCTTGCCTGCAGTTAGATGCATCGGATGTGACAGTGATCGTTTTCTTCGCATAAACTGCTCAGAGGCCCACTCGTCCTCTTAGGGCTCCTTCCAGTCTACGTGCCACTAAAACACAGGTGCCAAGCGGAGTGATCCCCAACTTCTTCACTCCGGTCTGTGGAAGTGCAAGGAACGTCGAGAATGATGGCCTAAGAAGTTCACTGGTAGTTAGCATAGTATCGAAGATGAACGCTATCCCATCATCCGCCAGAGCATGTGATCGAACCAAGTAGCGTTCGGCCGTATCCACGGTGCATTGCGAACGTTGGTGGCCAGGCCACACGGGTCCTCCGGGATCCTCAGGTGCCGCCAGCCAGCCTCTTCATACAAAGGTTGTGTCCCCGACCGTCCGCTTATTCCCCTCCCCTTTCGTACCAGAACAGAAAGCTTCGTCGAATAACGTTCTCGACTGGGGAAGCTGTTTACGTTAGAGGCAGGTATTGGGTGATGTACACGGTTGAGATCTTGGGCTTGGATTTTCTCTTGTTTTTACAGTTACAGACAATTTTTCCACAAAAGCTGAATGTCCAATCACGGGAGCAAGTGACAGATGTCATTCACAGTCCGTCGTGTCTGGTGTGATGTTTGGAGTACATGAGGAACCCGTCCCCAAGTAGTAGCAGCAGCTCCTTGGCCCCATTCTAGGTTTTTCTCGCATTGACGGTTTGCGGTTATTGCGCCACCCCCACCCCTAAAACTGGAGTGCGAAGCAGAGAAGGCCACATGGAGATAAATGTTGGAGCTGAGTCCTCTCTGGCTTAGCAGTCCATAATGTTTGGTGAAGTTTGACGTCGCCATCGAATCTAAAGGTGCCATCTGATGTTCTCCAACGACATGGGACAACTCTACGCACGAGGTTCTATGGTTTGATTAATTAATTCTTCGAGGGTTAACATTTGGAACGAGGAGCGACGACGACGACGACGAGGAAAAGCGAACCGCAAGTCAGTCGAGTCGAGTCGTGGTGCACTGAGCATGACATGTGCTTCGCCGCGGTTTCTTCCAGCACGAAGCCAGTTCAATTCAACCCAATTCAATCCAATTCAATTGCAATAGAATGATTATCGATCAATTATTCCTCGGACTTTCGTTCCCAGACGGCCGAGGCAGGAACACGAACACGACCGATGGCCAGTTGGAGTGACGTCGCTTGATTCATAGAAGACCGTGTCATCGCACGTCACAGGCTTCGGAATCCACGGGAAGCACGGTTGCAACGAGAACACACAATCCAGGGCTACCGAGAACGAGAAGGTGCAGCGCAGGGGGGACGTATGGCCGCGGGTGCGCTGTCGCGAGAAGCCGTTTCCGGGCAAAGTTTCGTTTGTCGAGCGAGCGAGGGCCGAGAGATTCACTTCCTTGGGCTTCTGGAACTTCCGGGAGAATGGGAAATTTGTCCGCACTCGGGGACGCGCGGAAGAACGCCCCGCGAGGAGAGTGACGGTGACCGGGACAACGCGGGGGCCCGGTCGGCAGCGACATGGGGAGACCATAACTTGCCAATTAGACTGACCTCGGGTCCCGAAATATCGAAGCCTTAATGGGAACCCTAATCGCGCAGCGCCACGTCGCGGGTGTCAGCCCCGAAGGAGTCCGACGTCAGCACCCACATGCAATCTTGCGAGGTCGCCTGTAACTACCTGGCTGGCACGGTGGCCGCCTACGTGCGTCGTTCGGGCCAGCATCCCCACACCGACATCATCATCGACGGCGCGCCGTTCCTCGACGCTCGCTCGCCAAGATCCGTCCATCGTCGTCCGTCGACTGCCACCGAACTCCGTCCTCTCTGTTCGCAAAAGTCCCAGCTCCTTCCTTCCTTCCATCCATCCATCCTTCCGGGGCTCTGTTTCCAATAATTTAGTGCCGTCTCCAAGCTCTCGCAGTCGACGGTCGACGAAGTAGGTGACCCACATGAGCCACCACGTTCTCCACTAAATTGTCTACCTGATTGGTCCAAGTGCACATCAGACAAAAGGGATGTTAGAACACCACCGTCGTTTGTTTTTCTCGATAAGGATAAAAATGGCCCCCCCCCGCCCCCACAATTCACTATTGTGGCGTAGATGGATTAATTAAATGGGCTTGCGGTTGTCTTCTGCAACATTCTGCCCTGTAGAAAATCTTGCATAAATCTGATCCAGTTCGAGTCTGTGATATCGAAAATTAATTGTTTACGTTTCTGGATGATGAATGCATATTCTCACCATTCTGCCCCGTAGTAAATCTTGCATAAATCTGATCCAGTTCGAGTCTGTGATATCGAAAGTGAACTATTTATGTTTCTGGAAGTTGAATGAATTTTCTCACTATTCTGCCCTGTAGAAAATCTTGCATAAATCAGATCCAGTTCGAGTCTGTGGTATTGAAAACAACTGACTAATGTTTTTAGAAGTTAAATGAATATTTTCACCATGCATGTTGTACGCTCTCTTAAATGAATTACTAACTAGATCTGCGAGAAACCCTTCGGTGGACTCAAAGATTTTACGTTGCCAAGAAACACGACCGGATGGTTATGTAAATGCCGAAAGTATTAATTGTGGCAACTACCATCTGAGCACTAACATTGTAACGTTCAAGAACCATAATTCGATATCTGCACGAATGAATGTGTTTGGAAAGGAACTTCTTCTTTTCCTGCTTCTTTGAGCCTTTTTTATTACTGCTCAAATGCCCTTTTATCTTCGTATGCACGTGACGACGACATCGAATCAGCTCCCTTGGACCGCATGGTGCTGGCTAGATCACTCGTGCTGCCCGTGCTGCCTACAAAGTTGGAAGCATGGCGATGGATGGAGGAAGAAGATGATGATGAAGATGGTGCACAGTATCTTCTCCAGCTTCCCTCGCTGTACTGAGCCATCATCTGCTGCACTCTCTGGATCTGATTACAGTCTGATTACATTTAATGGCATGTGGAAAGATTGGTGGACTTATCTCGAAGGAATGCTTATCGAGAATTGTTAAGAGTCTATTGTCCAGCTTCCCTCGCTGTACTGAGCAATCATCTGCTGCCCTCTCTGGATCTGATTACATTTAATGTCATGTGGAAAGATTGGTGTACTTATCTCGAAGGAATGCTTATCGAGAACTGGTAAGTTGTGTCCAGCCGTAATATTAGCATGCCAGATGTAACTTATGTTCATAGCTATATTTGACGCATGCTCATGTGCGGGTGTCAATTGCTCTGCAACAATTCGGTGATGTTTCATGGTGTACGGACTGTTTATATATACAAGCATTTCCTCAACCCTGACTTATGGATTGAGCCATATATATTGTTATTTGTTGAGTTACACAAAGGAAGCTCAATGCTTTATCAAAAAACAATATCGACCGATCTCTTTACCTGAAGATGTAGTGATCAAGTGCAACACTTGTTCCAACTTATGGAATTCGTCTTATGATTCAAGATACATACAAAACTTTAAGAAAAATCAATTCCAAAAGATTAATAAAAGCTAATCTATTAGACTAAAATGAAATGAAAGAAAAATATAATGTAAATACCACTCTTGATTTTTATACCTGTCATGAAATCAGTCATTTTATTCAGTTGAGCTTTATGATGACGACTGCTATGTTTCCACTTCCGTGATTGGATGATAAGTGACATCTCCAGTGAACATCATTCTTGACGTGTCCATTGCAAAACATGAAGCTTTAACGCTCCTTTTTTGTTGTTGTGTCATCCCAATATCTTTCTATCAATGCTCTAGTGAAATTCGATACACTACAAGCCATGTTGATTTCAAGCTTCATCAATCATCATCGGAATATGATTGGGTTGTTGTCTACAATTTAGACTAATTATGGAATGGAATTGATTCTAATCTCATCACTCAGGCTCTAACTTCATATATCTTATAATACCCAAAGACCTCTGTACTGCTAACAAAAGTCAGCAGTACATAGATGTGTGGATGCAAAAACTTGACACTAGAATGAAGAGTTACAATGCAAAGATCGAACATCTTTCGCTTTAGCCTTCTTGTCAGTTGAATAAGAATGAGGATTTAGTAATTTAGATTGTGAATTCTATACCTGAATGATTCCGATAGTGATCCCCTCCCTGGTTCATTTGTTAAACTCGAGGCGACTTCTATTCATTTCAAAATTCATAATCTATCTTTAAACCAGGAGGTTAATGTCGGCAAAGATTTCTGTGAGAAGGAATGACTTAAGGTAGTTCATGACGAAATAGGTCATGGAATATGCGAGAATGTTCAAAATCACAGTTCTGCAGCTAATATTGGTTCCAGAGAGTTCCATACTACAATCAGTGATACATTTTACTTAGGAATCAAATTAGGATCCACAAAACATGAACAAGCTTATTGACATCGTTCAAAGCAAAGAGTTTGTAGAACTTGATTAAAATTTTTCTTTTTGATACATAGTATAAAATGATTTGGAGGATCGATGTGGACTAATCGAAATCAACATGTGTCCACGTTGTGTATTGATGTATGACATGTTGCAAGGTATTTATGCGAGACCATGCGTGATATGTATTCTCATATTATATAATATGGTTTTTATCTCTTTACCATTCCAATGCGTACTGACGCATTTCCAATGGTTATTGAGAATTAGCCCTCAGGCTTCATCATTGCACACCTTCGTGAGGTCTTTCCATCCTTTTTCACACTCTTGCCCCCCAAGTACGCCATTCGACCTCGAAAAGTTTTCTTCAAAGTAAAGTAACATAACATAACATCAAGTGGTGTCTTATCTCGTCCGTCGTCAAGCATATCGCTCTGCCTCAGAATCTGTCGCAAGCTCATTCTTCCCGTCATTTCGGCCTCGGCTTTTGGTCCAATCTCTCCGACAGCAGGCAAAGCAAGAACTGAGGAGAGAATAAAATCTGCCAGCGACGAGCGTATCGTTGACTTCACTCGAGACCGAGCTGTGAATCTAGTCCACATCCTGATGCTGTAGCGCTGACCTCGCGCAACTTACTCTCAGCAAACCAGAACCGAGAGAGCTTACTGCGTTCGTCTGCTCATGTCGTGTCTTTTAGGAGAAAGATGTCCGATCCTCTGGGTGATGAGGCACATGGAATATCCGCCCTTGCTTTACATGATGACTTCACCTGAAATATACAGTAGCTTGTGAAAAAAGCCTTACGTTGTGTTCCAAATACCAGATGGCGGTAAAGAATTTGCGTAGTGTCTGAGTACAATTGATGGTGAGAACCTATGATGACGAATACACAAGCATTCAATTTCAATATGTCATAACAATGAGTGCTGTCGATGAGTTTCAAAATTCCACGATGCAGGAATTTTAAGTGATATGCTTGCTGTGCAGTGTGTCCTTCTGGCTTCACCCGAACGTCAAGAACACACCACGACGATGACGTTGAAGTATGCAGACATAACTAATGATCTGCATTCGTTTCCTCATTACCTGATGTGGATATTGAAAAAGGGGCCATCATCGACAGCACACATTCACAGATCCACATAGATATACCCTGCCTTTATTCCATCACGCTTTATAGTTCATTCACGCGGAACAATGATGGTTGTTGAAACAGTACTGACACACGCATGTACCTTTGCGTGATGGGTGATCTAAACTCTGGTTTCGGAGACTGGTCTCACATCTTTCGCCCAAGGACAATGGACAGATGAGAAAAATGAAAGTGATCACTGATCTGGTTATACATGGGTGTGTGGATTACACATAACGAGAACCCACAATTTTTTAGAGTATACAACTGCTTGAATCAAGTTCTCATGTTCGTGTGAAAAGAAAGTCGGAAGAGATAAATCTTTCGACAACTAATGCTTTCACTGCTTCCGTGCCTTGTTTGTTCTGCATTGAAGTCTAGGGGGAGCCACGGTCTAAGACTGGTCTCAAATTTCTTTGGTCTTGTATCCTACACTGCATCCATAAGCACGTAGCCAGTGAGAACGAGAAACAAGCAACCAGGGTGATCGGTGTCAAAATCGCCCTTTACGACATTCCAATATGTACACGGCGCAGCAATACGATGTCCAATGTTTACAAAGAACAGCGCCTCCTTCCTAAGTACGCCATCATCCTAAATATTCCAAAGATTCGCCAAAATATGAATGAGGGGCTACAGGTTTTAACAGTCGCAAGGTGAGAACAAGATAACCCTATAATACATAAAAAGCCATCCATTCCAGTCTAGTGTTTTGAACACTAGCTGCTGAGAGATTAAGCGCACACATGAGATAGGTTTCTCCAGTATGGCACCTTTACCAAACTTAACATTGCCAGAACTTTCTACGCACGTAGCATAACGAAAAGAAGCGGAACTCAAAACAAATGCAAGTTCACAGATTTTTGCTCGAGAATTTACCTGTAAATCTCAACCACTACTTTTTCTTCCGCTTCTTGGTTCTTAAATTTCTTGGCACTGTTTTCTCTCGCCTAGACAGCTTTCGAGTTCTCTTCTCTGATTGTGGCCTCTTCGGCTTTTTGAACTTTGGCTTCTTCACCTTCAGAGCTGGTGCATCCATACCGGCACCGGAGGTCCTAACCTCTTTCTCTTCATCATCATCATCAGATTCCGGATTGATAGGAGTAATATTCACTACAGTCCTAGTTTCCCGCTCATCATAAGTTATCGTGTCTGCATCAATCACACAAGATCGTTAGTCTTCCATCCACACCCATCTTGAGTACAAACTGAATTTGATCATGTTCGTAGGCAACAATGTACAATTTCGTGCAAGACAAGGAGATTACGGGGGTTAAAAGGTGTCGCTTTCGCTTTCAGAATGTTCGTGAGGTTAACTCAAAAAGTTCACGCAATGTTGGTGCATCGAAAAACCTCAATTCTCCAAATGGTAACTCTCGACACATAAACTCTCCACAAGGGGTCTAGTTATTTTGAGATATTAAAACCTTGACGCATGACCAGTATGCTCGAATCAGTGAACATTTAATAAGTTCTTGAAGCTCAATGGTTGAAGGGTTTACTACCGGTTCAGCAGCTCTACCATTGCGTAATTTTGAAAACACAAAAGTCCGTGAGAAGTGAGAATGTCAACCCCGACATAAATGCAGCGCTTCCCGAGTGGATTGGTATATAATTAATGAGCTAAAATTTGTTCTGTCATATACTCCCCACACTACTGTCGATTACCAGGGAGTTATCCAGAAGGTAACGATAAGAAAGAGCGAACAATTCCCTTATTTTCCAAGTACATAAGAATTGGGAGAACGATGAGATTCACCCCTTACCCGCAATTGTTGTCTCGTTTGCTTCGACGTCTTCTTCCTCTTCTGCGTCGGCAGCACCGTTCTCCTCTCCTCCTTGGCCTTTCGAAGCTTCTTCTTTCGCTTCCTTCAACGCTTGGCGCCTCTGATATCAGTGATAGATGCGCACATCTGCTTGTAAGCAAATTCGATTTGATAAGCTGAGCAAGACGATTTCTGTAAAAACAAGAAACCCACGACTGATATTCTAGAGACTAGCGGAAGAGAACCACATTCGAGCTGTGGAAAATTGGCAACCGTAGAGTTTTCACAATCATGAAGACCAGAAAAATCACACCAGTAATACGCTGTTGTATACGAACCTCTTTCCGATCTTGGAGTCTTTTCTGCCTTTCTTTGATTTGATTTTGTTCAGCCGCAATTTGCCTCCTCTTATTCTTCCGTTTTCGAAACCCACTCAAAAACTCCCTAAATAACAGCACGTGTATATGAGCATTAGTATCGCACAGCAAATCAAGCAGCTATGGAAAGAGTGACGAAAAGAAAAGAAACAAGCGTACAGTATCAAACATACTTCCTGGCCTCGTCGTCGAACACCACGACCGAAGTCTTATTGTAACGCGCTCGCTTGGAGAGATGAAATTTCTGCACCTCGTCATCTCTCCCATCGTTGTCGTCGTCCATTTCTGCAGGCCTGCGAAATCAAGCCCGCAATCGTTCCCAGATTCAGAATTGAGGACCTCAAATCTTCAGCAGCCTAATTTCCGAGATCTCGCTGAGCAAAGTCCTGGACAATCTGCATCCTCAAACCCTAAACCCCCAACATTCAACCAAACGGACCTCTGTCTCCTTTGTACGACACATTCCATTCTGAGAACTCGTCAAGACTAAACTTTAACGTTCTGGTGAGCCATTCCTCTGTTTGTTATCTCTAACACATAACGAATACGTGCTATATCTCCCAAACTCAGTGTGATACTATTAGTCCTATACCTTTGTTCCGTTTCATCTTCTTACTATTTTTTATATTTTTTATTTACTTTGGCGCCAAGTTACTCATTAGAATACCCGAAATCCCATGATCATGGGAGAGATGTGCACTCTACTAACATTCCCTCCACCGACGTCTCACTACCATTCCAGTTAGATTGCATTGATTAAACATTAGACATTGTATCTATCCATCTCCCTTTGACTACTGCAGTGATCCATATACAATGTGTGCATCGATATCTCAAATTCAAACACCACGTTATGGATGCATATCATTTTCTTAGTTTCTAAGTCTACCAAATAGCTCACCCAATGGATGAATTGTTTTGTTGTGGACAATATGAACAAATGAGTAAGTTTGATTCTCGGCCAATTTTCCATTCTTTAGAAATCCAACAAACGATATATATGCTCACTAATTTGTCTTGCAACGTAATTCTAATCAATCGCACATGCTTGTATTGTTGAACAATAGTAATGTATCATCTCTCTTCATCATCATATGATGTAGGTTCATACACTCTAGTCTTACATGTGTTGTTATATAATAAAAATTAAGATTCTGCTCTAGTTTGGGATACCAAATTCTCATGATTCGTCTTATATACTTAGTGATGTGACTATAAATAGTTAGAGACCAATATGGGATCCAAAAGGTTAAAAGCTGACAAACACAATACAAGCGAAAACCAAAAACAAGGGAAACGATCCCAAAAATCAATCCGTAGCTAGTGCCAAGAGCACTAGAACAATAACTTATAATATAACAATCTAAATAAAAAAGAAACTAACTATAATAAAGAATAGAAATTCTCTACATCTATATTATGAGCAAGCCTAATGTCTTTATACATAAAACAAGTAACAAATTTATGCTCTTCATTCTCAATGTATCCATCGGCACATAATCTACAACTACGTTCACTCCTATCAATATTAAGCCAACGTACTTCCTCAATTTCAAGCCTATGAGATTTAGTTCTATGCCTAGCAATAATATGACGTAAGGACGTAGACATTATTGCAAGTAGTTAATACTGTTCACAATAAACAAGCATAGGATTCACATGAAGTTGATAAAATTGCATCTTGGTGCCGCGTTTGCTCCAAATAGTGTTCAAAAACTCTTCCTTTAGACGTTCACGTAATGCTATAGTAACCAATCGCGTTCCGTCACATTTCACCTCAAAGACCAAGTTATCACATCTGCTAACCATCCTTTGGCACGTATAGCACTCAAAGTTTGAGAAGTAATGCAAGAAGCATCAAGATATCTCACCGTTATGATGTAAGTGATAGTCAAGTATAGAGCTTCAGCCTCTAGAGGTAAACAACATGTTTCCTTCACCTCTTCCTTCTTAGATTGAGGTAGATCAAAAATTCTCACATTCTTTCTACGAGCAAATTCAATAGCCTTTTCAATCTCTTGTTTTCGACAGAAAGAGATATGAGCAGACTTGGTGGCTTCAGCATAAGATTTCATCTTCACCTCTAGACCTTCAACCACTTCATGCAATCTAGAAGTAGCAACAATGTGAGCTTGAGAACCAACTTTCTCATGAGTGTCCTCTACGTGTTCTGAAATATCAACCATGATCTTTTTAAAACTTCAACTCCCAAATTTCATATTTAGCAACAATTAAAGAAAAAAATGTGTACCTTGAATTTTGCACAGAGTACTTTCAACTCTTCCAAAACCGTTTGAAGAAGATTGAGTATCAAATTGTCTTGAGAAGCCATCATGTGAATGTTTTCAAAAAACTCGAGACTCCAATATGTCTCAACTTCGTTCTCCAAATTGTGTTCAGCCTTCAATTTTGCATGCTTGTGCTTCCTGCCCAGCTCCAAGCTCCCACAAAGTTTTAGGTCGAAAACACTCTCCACTCCGAAGTAAAGCCCCTACAAGATTCGGCTCTCTCCTCTCAAAAAGCTCAAACCTCCAAGACGTCTCAACTTTGTGCTCCGAATTGCGTTCAGTCTGAGATTTTGCAGGCTTGTGTGCCCTGCCCAACTTCAACTTTTCACAAAGTTTCAGGTCCAGTGCACACCTAATTTCTAAGAAATAGCTTCCCTAAAAATTGACTCTCCTGCTCTTACATCTTGAAACTTGAAACTCAAAATTAGACGCACTCTAACTTAAGAACTCTGTTTGATCTGAAAATTGAAAAGCTACAGCGCCCTGCCTTACCTCACAATGACACAAAATTTCAGTCCTCGTTCACAAAGCCCAAAGCTCCGGCCCCTGCAAGATTTGGCCATCCCCTCTCAAAAAGCTCAAACCTCCATGAGGTCTCAACTTTGTGCCTCCAATTGCGTTCGGTTTGAGATTTTGCACGCTTGTGCGCCCTGTTCAATTTCAACTTCTCACAAAGTTTCAGGTTGAATGCACATCCAAGCTTGAAGAAGTATCTCCCGGAAAAATTGACTCTCTTGACCTCAAATCTTGAAACTTGAAACTCAAAACTCAAAATTGAACGCACTCTATTTTTAAAACTTGGTTCAATTTAAAAATTGACAAGCTACAGCGCTTTGACTAACCTCACAATGTCGCAAAATTTCAGGCACGGTTCACACTTCAGGCCAAAGTTACGGTCCCTTCAAGATTTGGCCATCCACTATCAAAAAACTCAAATCTCCAAGACATTTCAACTTCGTGCTTTGAATTGCGTTTGATATGAGATTTTGCATGCTCGTGCGCCATGTTGAATTTCAACTTCCCACAAAGTTTCAAGTCCAGTGCACATCCAACCTCAAAGGAAGATCTCACGTAAAAATTGACTCTCTTGCGCTTAAATCTTAAAATTCAAAGCTCGAAACTCAAAATTGGACGCACTCTGTCTTTGATACTCCGTTCAATATGAAAATTGACAAGCTACAGCGCCTTGCATATTCTCACAATGGCACTAAATTTTAGGCCTGGTTCACATTCCAGCCCGGAGTTACGGCCCTTGCAAGATTTGGCCATACCATTTCAAAAAGCTCAAACCTCCAAGACGTCTCACTTTGTGCTCCAAATTTGTTTGGTCTAAGATTTTGCAAGCTCATGCGCTCTATCCAACTGTAACCATCTTTAGTTAGTTAGAACTAAAGTAGAGGTTACTCTAAATATTGATGTAGATACTTTAGTGTGCACTAGTCATAGCAACCACGTCAGCGATCCGCACACTTGGTAGGTACAGAGTGGATGTGTTAGTTGACAGTGCCACGTCAGCAATCCGTGTGCTTGTAGGTAAGGATTGAGTGTGTTAGTTAGTGTGTTAGTTGGGTGCGCCACGTCAGCGATCCGTGTGCTTGTTAGGGTTATCCGCCACGTCAGCCATCCACTATGAGTGGGTTGGATGGTGGGGATTAGATCTTATCACCTTGTACTTCTTGGTGAGAGCTATATAAGGGAGAGGAGAACCATTGTTGGGATCTCTCATCTTCAGAGTTTACGTTTCTATCTTCGAGTGAGCTTCTCTCTAAACCCTAGTGTTACACCAATTTCAACTTCCGAGATAGTTCCACATCCAGTGCACATCCAAGCTCAAAAAAACAACTCCCGTAAAAATCGACTCTCTTGCTTTCAAATTTTGAAACTCGAAGCTCGAAACTCAAAAGTGGACGCACTCTATCTATGGAACTCCGTTCTATTTGAAAATTGACAAGCTATAGCGTACAACATAATCTCACAATGGCAGTTAATTTCAAGCACCGTTTACACTCCAGTCCGAAGTTTCGGCTCTTGCAAGATCCAGCCATCCCCTCAAACTTCCAAGACGTATCAACTTTGTGCTCCAGATTGCGTTCGATTTGAGATTTTGCAGGATTGCGATATTTGTCCAACTTCAACTTTACATAAAGTTTCAAGTTTAGTGCAGACCCAAGCTCAAAGAAACAGCTCCTGTTAAAATTGACTCTCTTGCCCTCAAATCTTGAAACTCAAAGCTCAAAACTCAAAATTGGACGCACTCTGATTCTAGAACTCCGTTCGATTTGAAAATTAACACGCTAGAGCGTCATGCTTAATCTTACAATGGTACAAAATTTCAGGCTTGGTTCAAACTTGATCCCAAATTTACGGCACTTGCAATTTTTTGCCATACCTTCTCAAAAGGCTCAAACCTCAAAGACGTCTCAACTTTGTGCTTCAAATTACGTTCGGTCTTAGATTTTGCACGCTCGTTTGCCCAGTTTAACTTCAACTTTCCACAAAGTTTCAGGTCTAGTGCAGATCCAAGCTTGAAGAAACAGCCCCCAAAAAATTGATTCTCTTGATTTCAAATCTTGAAACTCGAATCTTAAAATTGAACGTACTTTGTCTTTGGAATTCCGTTCAATCTGAAAATTGACAAGCTATAGCGCTCTAGGTAATCTTACAATGGCACAAAATTTCAGACTCGTTCACACTCCAACCCGAAGTTACGACCCTTACAAGATTCAGCCATCCCCTCTCAAAAAGCTCAAATCTCCAAAACGTCTCAACTTTGTGATCCGGATTGCATTCAATTTGAGAGATTTTGCAAGCTCGCGCGCCCTGTCTAACTTCATACTTCTCGCAAAGTTTCAGGTCCAATGCACACCCAAGCTTAAAGAAACAACTTCAATAAAAATTGATTTTCTTGCTCTCAAATCTTGAAACTCAAAGCTCAAAACTCAAAATTGGACTCACTATGTTTTTGGAACTCTGTTCTATTTGAGAATTGACATGCTATAGCGCCTTGCTTAAACTCACAGTGGCCCAAAATTTCAGAACCGGTTCACACTCCAGCCCAGAGTTACAACTCTTGCAAGATCGAGCCATCCTCTCTCAAAAAGCTCAAACCTTCAATATGTCTCAACTTTGTGCTCCAAATTGCATTCGGTTTGAGATTTTGCACGCTAAGAAAATTGACAGGCTATAGCGGCCTGCCTAACCTTGCAATGCCACAAAATTTCAGGTCCGGTTCACACTCCATCCCGAAGTCACGGCCTTGCAAGATTCGGCTCTCCCCTCTCAAAAAGCTCAAACCTCAAAGACATCTCAATTTTGTGCTCCGAATTGCGTTAGGTTTGAGATTTTGCACGCTCGTGCGCCTTGTCCAACTTCAACTTTCCACAAAGTTTCAAGTCTAGTGAACACCCAACCTTAAAGATTCAGCTCCCGTAAAAATCAACTCTCTTGTTTTCAAATTTTGAAACTCGAAGTTCAAAACTCAAAATTGGACGCACTCTGTCATTGAACTCCGTTAAATCTGAAAATTGACAGGTCTGCCTAACCTCACAATGGGCGAAATATCAAGCCCGGTTCACGCTCCAGTCTGAAATTACGACCTCTACAAGATTTGGCTCTACATTCTCAAAAAACTCAAACCTCCAAGACATCTCAATTTTGTGGTCCAAATTGCGTTCCGTCTATGAACATCAACTTGAATTTTGTTTTATATTCAAAAGCTTTCATGACATTTTTTCTCATGTTATATATGGATTTAAATAAATGACAATGCTCATGTAGTTTTAATCCAATAATATAAAATATTCCATCTTAAAACTAAAAATTCATTACATGATGAGCACATACTCTAACTATTTTAATATAAATGATTTATCATTTGCACAATAATGATAGTTGTCATGTGTATATAAGTAACATCAGATCAGTGTTAATCTAAGTAGAGTTTATGTTAGTTTCACACTTGTCGTAAAGTATAGTTAAGTGGACTTGAAGAACTATGTGTTCTTCGAGTTGAGTCTTTCAGCAGTATGTTAACTTTTAGTAAGTTGGCTATGATGTTCCACAATATTGGTTTGTATTTTTTGAGTGTGTGTGTGAAATGGACTTGGTTTGATTTTCATGTGAGGTTTTGTGATTTACACAGGTAGGGTTGACACGAATTTTTTTTACTTGAAGAACTCATAACTCGTTTTTGTATTATGGATATTATGCTTTCTTGCTTGCTAGATTCAGGAGCTTGAAGAATGGACGTATTGACATCATGATAAGAAATTAGTGTTCACATAGAGAAAGCTTTAAATGGTTTTTGAATTACGAGTGGACGTGCGTCATTGTCAGTGTTATGTTTTTCCGGATTTGAAATACTGTTGTGATCAATCGCTGGAGAAGATCAATGAAGCGTGGAAGAGTGACATCGGAGAAATCCTATCACCTATTAATTGCAAGTTGAATTGAATTTATTGACCATAGAGGAGACCTCCTGAATTTGTATGGTTTGTTTGATATTGAATCATTGGTAGGCCCTATACGAATTGAAGATGTGATCTCGTTAGATTGTATAGGAGTAATTAAATACTCTGTCAATGTTATTGAATTGAATCGCGAGACACTCATCAGTTTAATTTTGGAACAATACAGTTTAGTGAATTGATTGCTGAAGCTTTATTCTAGCCTTGAAGTTGTGCAGACGTTACGAAAACTTTCTGGCTCGTGTGTACTAGATTGGTAGTAAGAAAAATACTTATTGCGCTTTGGAGAAGCGTTCCAACGAACTGCGTGAGGATGGTGTCGAGAAAGTTTACAGTATCAGGGATGCATATATGTTTTCTCTTAGGAGATTTGGATGGCGTTCTTTGGTGACAATGGAGATAAGATGTCATGAGCTGTGTCTGTGGTTTTTGATTTTTTAAAGTGAGTTGGTATTCGAGTACACATGACTATATACTCCAACGTGAGTGAAAATAAACTAGGCTCTACTGAGGATTAACTCGACTAGATTGAATCCTAATCCGATGTTAATTATAGATAACACGTATACACATGACAGTTGTCGTGCGAATGTATATTGTCATATAATTACATTGTTGACATGCTATACTCACAAACACATAATTTGTGGTATATTTATGTATGTGTAAATACTCGTTCCTATATATGTGTGTTTGTGAGTATAACATGTCAGCGATGTAGGTTGTATGACGATACATATGCGCACAACATTGTGTGTTAAAATTTTTCTTCACTACATCCAATTGATTTAAACTATCGCAATTTTCTAACATAAACACGATGAAATAGTTATGTCAATTGTTAATGTGAAAAATTCAAGTTGATAAATACTCGGAAACTAATTATTTGTTATTATTTATTCACAACATATGAAACACACAATTTAATTAAAATATGATAATGAAATGACATTTTAAATCTAATATTCATTATGTATATTCAATATTTTTACCTTACAATTTAATGGCTACGATCTTGTATTTTCATGGATTTACTAATTCAGATATTTACTTGAAATCCAATTTCTGAAACTCCAAAGTTTTTGTTAGACTAACATGCAAATTTGTAGTTTTTTTATTTTTCACAAATTAGAATTTCTTCAATTGTTTAGAAAAATAAAAATAATTATTTTATGACACCAAAGGTTTTTAATTTACAATCAATCAATATATCTTTAATAGATATATTGTGTTTTCAAATTTGCTAGAATTTCTGCAATTTTTAGCTTATGAATATTTACATTATATTAATTTAATTCTATTAAAAAATATCTTTAAGAAAAAATGTGACATTTAACTTTGTTTAGTATGATTAAGTTCAATTTTAACTTACAAGTTAATATTGAAATAAGAAGGTATGATAAGGAGATGTTTTCTAAATATTGATAAATCCAAAACTTTCATGCTATTTTCATGGCAATTGATAATGAAAATCCTCTAAATTTAAAAATAAATGTTTAATTTATCCCAAACAAAATACTAAGATATTTTTTTAGAATTTTTCAATATGATTTGAACTATTGTAATACATCAATCACTCAATCAAATAAATCAATACAATTGAATGGTACATGACTATTGAACAAGTCTTACGGAAAAAACTACAACTTGACACCATAGTCTTATATATATATATATATATGAAGATTGGCAAAATGCAACTTTTCCTCGTGCTGTCTTCAGCGATCGATTCTTTTAAATGGTTCTTCGAGGCAATACCACATCTCATACGCCATCAGTATGAGGTTGTGCATCGACGTACACGCCTTGTTGTACCCTCCTCTATACTTCCTCAATGCTTGATTCTAAATCAGCTCATCATTATTGTGAGACGATGACTGTAACTTTTAAAATCTTGCTGCTCTTTCCCGTGTGAGTTTGGAATAATTATCACAAATCAACCGGCTTTGATTAAACGTTGGTTTATCACGATCAAGTTAATTGATCATTCATCCTGATACAAAGTAAACCGAGGGCATTGCTGCATCGTCTACACCCATCACAGACCCGTCTGCGTCTGATGCTAGGCATAGCCTTTCTCCATACATGGGTTTTGGATTCTTCAGATTCAAGCCTTGAATACGGTGCAAGATACTCTAGACTTCGAACGTGGATTTCAAGTCCTGATCACTGGAGATACAGAATGTCAATATCGAAGTATTTGTTGACATAAACTCCAATCCTCAAAAGGATAAATCCAGATATCGAATTATTCAGATGAAATGTAACGGAAGATCAGAGGCATTATGACGTTAAAAGTATCACAGTAATACGGCTGTAAGGTACACATGTTCAACCGCAGTGTTTATGGAACATCTATGTTCTATCGATCAATATGCTCACTTGACAGCAGACAGCAACATTCTTCAATCTTCAGCGTAGATGTGGACTTCGATTCTCTTCTCAGACAATGTAATCAAACGCGGAATGCAATTCTGACGTTGAAAGAGTTGAGGTTAGACAAGAATGTAATGTATGTATCAATATATACATATATATATTTATATAAATATTACAAAGAAGAAGCCAACTTGGCTTCTTTTAAGTTTGCCTTGAGTCCTCACTTTCGGAGAATAGAATATTGAATCCGAGCCCAAGCAAGTTCGTGCTTAGTGAGCCAAGATCATCGGTGTCTATGTTGTAGATGCTGTAGTGGTCTGTACAAAATCTTCTCGTGATATGCGTCGATAAAGAATGATAAGTGGACGTGACGTTCCTAAATTGAATGCATACTCCTACTTCACGCTTCCTTTCATAGGTCTTCGTGGACTTTCGAGAAATTGTCTTGGCTTTCGAGTCCAATCCATGTTGGTGTGACCAGCACACCGCGATAACGTCCGTTCCGTGTATGAGCTAGCCCGTTAGTTTATGTTACGCAATCTAGCTCGAGCAGGCTTTGCTCGCTTATGTTCCTGGCATGTTTCCGTTTGAGCTACTCGTGAAGATGATGTAGGCACATATAACAGAGGATGAGAAAAGAGAAACCCAAGTGCCGCTCGGTACAAGTTCCATGGCTGCTGTCACTGACGATCTTTCACGACCTTCCGCCCACATACGAAGCCTTTCAGTTTCTGCAGCATACACTGCTCTTCCCTGCGCAACGATAGGATGCAATGAGGATGAGCTTCTTGGCTAAGCCTGTAGTCGGCTTCTCAGAGTTCCAGCTAGTAGAAATGAGTAACGAGGGAACTTGAAAGAGTATTCTTGAGAAGGATTTACATGTGCTCCATTACTTTGGCTAAAACTGCAAGTTGGAAGCTTCCAAATCGCCCCATTTCTTATATCTGACTACTCTGCGTTTAACTGATAGTTTGAGATAGAAAATGCTGACCTCTTCATCAAACCAGCGTCCCCGTCGGATCCAAGCCGTCACAATTGCCAAAACGATGCGTGTGGGAGTAAGATAGTTGACTGCCTTGCCTGTACCCGATACGAGACGCATATTTGGTACCAAAGCTCTTGCAACAGTTTCAGGTTGCTCACATATGAAGTTAAACATCTTCTTGTTTCTAAGAGAAGCACCACTGCACAGGCGACATAGAAAAGGAGGTTAATATTGAACATCTTTTTCACGCTATAAAGAGAACCCTCGACTCGAATGATCTATCTGATAACTACACCACCCACGTGTTTCGACGTTCACAAAGTAAACCTTGACATGCGTCAGAATATTGACTTTGCGGCTAATGTCGGGCTACAAACGTCGGTAATGCAGAGCTGTACATGATGGTTGAAAGGTTTTAGTTTTTGTCAATCAGCTCAAGCCATAAGGTTCTGTAACTGGGGAGAAGAAATTGTCTTCGACGCACGTGGTAAGTGATGAGTCATACCTTAGGAGCAAATCTGTGAGAACCATGCCAGGTGAAGCAGTATGTAGACCTACACGCGAGCCTTTGTTCTCCTCTAGCAAAGATGAGTTGAGCTGTCTTAAACCACATTTGGTTGCTCCGTATCTGATTAAAGCTTAAGTTGTCAGAATAATTACAGATTTTGTACTCAAATTCTTAAGTCGAGATAAAAGCACATTACAGCAGAAAAAAAGGCGACAAAGACTCACGCTGCAGTTAAGGGCGTGCTAGAACCTCCTGACCCAGCTCCATCCATGTTGAAAACATGCCCTCCTTTGGGCTGACTTTTCATCAACTTAATAGCTTCTCTGGTACATATCATCGATCCCAACATGTTCGTCGAAACAATCTGCATATAGACTCCTTGTTTAGTTTAAGAATTTAAGAGCAATTTTCGACTCCGCAAGTAGCATCTTCACTCTAACGCAATGAGAAAGCTTTTATGAGGACACTGAAAGTTTCAGCTAAACGAATCACATAATAAAAGTAATTGAAACCCTTTGAGCAATATTCTTGCAGCTTTTACTAACTGTTAACAACACATTCTTAAAATCATTGAAAAAAAAACGTGAACGGATGCAACATTCACCTGCTCTAACTCCTCTCCTGAAAACTCCAATAAGGGTCTGAACCCTTTGTTCACGCCAGCATTATTGATCTGCAACACGTCCGAATTGTAATATTAGCATTTGTGAAATACATAAACCTCATGCTTCAATTCATTCTTCGCAATTTCGGCCTTTTCAAAATCTTCCATGTATAGAGTTCAAGAACCTTAAACGAAATGTGAAGTCACATAAAACCAGGTCAACGCACCCATATGTTCACAGCTCCAAACTCTTCGACAGCGAAAGCAGCCAACGCTTTCACATCTTCGCTTTTGGATACATCACACGCGATCCCTACAACCCGAGGATCAGGTCTTTCAAGCCTAGGCAGTCCAAATAACTCCATCTGAGCTTCTTGAGTTGAAAGTGTGCCACTTTGCTCCTGTACCTCAGCGCGGAGCTCTTCTACGGTGCTGTTTACTGCTTCAGCGCTGGAAAATAATCATAACAGAAAATTGGCATCCACGCTTTAGACCTTGAAGTGAGGGTCAGCTGATCTTCTCTAAAGCATGGAACAGCCGTTGCTATGACCGTGTTCATGATTATAGATTGAACAACCATACGAAGAAGAAGAATGGCTAAACATTATTTGCTAGTACCTGCGAGAAGTTACCACAACGTTGTCTCCATGTCGCAAAAACTCTCGAGCTAGAGCTTTACCCAGTCCACGAGTACTGCAAGTACATACTTGGTCAGCGGAGCATTGCCAACATTTTTAATCCACATGCATATCATTACTAGAACTGACAGACGTTTCAAAATCCACACGTGAAGATGCTGACCTTCCAGTAATCACAACGGTCCGACGTCCAGCCTTGGCATGATTCTCGAGGACCTGACCTGCTCCGATCATAGAACCAACCACAACTCCTGCAAGCCAACTAAACCACAGCACCCCTTGCTCATGAGGACTACCACCTGCACGGCCAATTGACCTCATCATCAGATAACCGAGGATAAAGAAGTAGGTGATGAGCAAACGGTTCCGCAGTCGTGAAGTCGTAAAACTGTTGTTAGATTGTGAACATTAAGTGCTGTTGACATTTCAGTGACTCCATCCATCATGTGGGAGTTTGAGGGAAGGTTTTCCCGTGAACATAGACGACAGCAGGACTCCTAAGACCTTGACGTGTAACATGCAAGCGAATGATAGGCGAGAATACTGCAGAAAACACAGTCAATCGTTTCGTTCGTACCACGCGCCAAACCTTGTATGCTAGTCTACCTCTTTCAGAAAATACGTAGAAATGGGAAATGCTAAAAAAAATACGATTAACACCCAAGAGAAAACTTGTTTTACTGGAAGATTGCGAAATTCACCAGTCAATTCGAAGCCTGCTGCCAAGACAGCTCCTGTTCCGGTAGTAATGAAAACGTACTTTCCTAGTTGCCTCGAAAACTGCAGAATTCAGGATGAGCGAAAAATGTCGGATTAACGTTCTAGTAGCATAGTCGAAAGAGCCGAAGCAGTACATAATGAAATATGATTGACATAGTCAACTGCTGTGGGCAGCAAAACTGCGTCGGCACTTAATCAAGTCTGCCCAGCAAAACTAGCGTCGTCACCAGGAGCGGACTGTACAGTCAGCTGCATAACTATGACCCAAATGTCGGAAGTCCAGAACTTAGTACGTCTTGTAATTAGACACTAAAGATATTCTTAAGAAAAATTCTGACATGAACAACTTACAGCCATGAAGTCCGATTCGGCCCTCCGCCAAGTGTCAGCAAGTTTCTTCCTCAACGGACCAGCTGGAGATGGGTCAGTGCCATCAAGCAGACGGTATGGTTTCGGTAGTAGATCAATTTTCTTCTCCTTCTGGGCAGCTGCTGCATTGTCTATCCACGACGCTCCACTAAGAACCCGTATAATTGAGCTTGCAACTTTCTTCACACCATCTAGAGTCCCACTAGCGACCCTAATGTCTGCCTCCATAATCTTCAACTGATCCTCAAACATGAAATTTTCGGCAGGTACAACTTCTGGTTCTCCACCCTCTACATTCTCTTCAGATTCCACGCTAGACAGTGACCCACTTTCTGACTTCTCGACGGTGTCAGCACTTTCACCTTCATTTCCAGCTGCACTGGAAGTAATCGACAAATATTTTTTTCTGTAAGATAATCTATGGACTTGTTTCCCGCGAGAAAAGAAGTCTAAATTTGAACTTCGCAAAGACTGCTTTCCTCCTCGGCAACCGCTTCTACAGCCGCTTGGTACTAGCAATGACGCACAAGGCCTGACTAAGACTCGCTGTTGATGCATTCCACATCTCAATCGCTTGGGCAGCTGGGTACAACACTGAGCGGACAGAGGGCGAAGTTCCGAGAGCGAAGAAAACGCGTCCTTTTCTCTGCCACCTCCACGAATCCGAGAGAAACTCACAAAAACGTGCACACCGAGGCAGTTGCCCACCCCGACGATGGCCATCGCTTCAGCCTAACAGCTCAAAGAATCACACGAACACCAAACTCGGGTCCCCAACTCCACCAGCTCAACGTCAAAACAAAAGCAGAACGAAAAACTCGGTCCACCGACGAGAATTATTGCCACAAAGAATCCCCACAACACTTGCACGAAGCACTGATCAAATTCCTACAGATTCCAAGCCTTCGGAGGACAGCATCTGCTCTCTTTATAACCCTGAGCTCCCGCTCCGTCCAACATCATCTCGCATCGAAATTGATGAAACGAGAGAGAGAGAGGGGAGGAAGAAGAAGAAGTCCGGATTGTCGTTGGAGCGTCGGAGCAGAATTCTCCTCGTGGCAAGGTCCACACGCCGCGAGCAGGAGATCGAACTGACAAGCAAGAGATTACGTGCAATACTTCGAAATGCAACCCTGAAACCTTCCGATTCTGCTCCGGGCTGCACTCTGCAGCAGATCGTCCCTGGGCTCGAGCACGCTCTCCGCTCTCCGCTCTCCAGCAGCCCCGCGCGCTCCCGCCGGGACCTCGCCGGCAGCCCAGCCTCGCTCTCGGGGGCAGACGCGTTCCGAGCCGGGCTCGTGGAAGTGGCCCCACATTCAAGCTTGGGCAGTTTCCAACGGGCACGGGACGCTCCCGCCGGGAGGCGTTTTGTACGGGGAGCGTCCCGACCCTCCCTCCGCGCTTGCTTGCGTGAAGCCCCGAGCCAGCCACGGAGTCGGGGCGCTTTCCACGTGGGCCTCGTCTGTTGCAGCTCGTCGCGTGTTCATCCCAGACCTACGGAAACAGGCTACTCCCAGTCGGGGCCGCGTCTTGAGCCCTGCCGTCCACTCAAACACCCCGATTTCTTCCCCCACCTCCAATCACCAGTCTGCAGTTTCCTCCCCCACCGGGAAACCGGTCGCATCCAGTCACTTTGTCGGCGGCCCACAGCGAAATACTTGCCCGATCGAATCAGACAGTCAGCCCGTGAAAAACAACCCGGTCTGACCGCGGCTCCCCACCGTCGTTCGATTCTTACCGTGGATCGGTGAACCACAGTGGGGAGGATTTGCAGGTGCTCGGTGAACTCCGACTGCGCAGTTTGTCGAATATGTACGCTACTGTGAAGCCTATGCGCCGTTAATGTTGCTGGACCGTCCGGTACCGTATCGGAGTATATCAGCGTGGACTTCAGTAAGCGACGTAAACCACGTCAGAGCGGCTATTAGAGTTGCCACTCGTGCTGATGCAGTCGAATGAACCACGTGGTTACCACGTGGCCATATATTTGCAGACATTGTTGCGTGGGGACCGGGTTGCTTACGGAGACCTTACTCCCCGGTCCCGGGTTTGGGTGACAGTTACGCACTGGTCTACAACTGACTGCCATAACACGATACCCAAAAGTGCGATTGCGACAAGAATGGCTGCGTCGACAACTTCATGCTCACATTCCCATCACGTAGTCCAGTGAGCGAGCGAGCGAGTTGAAAGCACCCGAGAAATGTACAAGACATGCCAAGATTTGTGTCGAGCTTAAGCTGGTGGTTGCTGCATTTCCTTTCCAGTACTGAATCTTATAATTCCTGTGCGAACGATTTGGTGCTGTCGCATCGCGACTGTGGCGAAGGAGGTGGCAGGAAATGAATTTTGACGATATTATGCAGCTGCAACCTGCTGTGGCAGGGGACAATGGGACACATATGCGGAAGAAACGAATTTTGTTTAATGTTCAGAATTTGAAGGAGAAAGCATTAATAAGTCTTATCCGTTCTCTGATCAGTCTTCGGCTTATAGTGAAACGCATACGATGTGCTTGTACTTACTTGTACGATGCAAGTGTACCAACAACTGCTGCTTGAATCTGGCTTGATGTTCATGTATTGACCAGGAAATGGCAATCCCAGTAGTTTTCTTGCACATTTGAGCGAGTCTAATGCGAGTACCTAGCATTATTATTTGAAGCTAACCTGCAGACACGACAAGATACATTGAAAAGCTTGTGGAAGATCCAGAAGTACACTCCCCACAATAATTGGTTTAACTTCTGGGGCTACCCTCTATTACTCGTTTTTCCATCTCTGTACGGGCTTATGGGGTGTTCTTATCTTTTTGCTTTTTACTTGGCCACGTACAGAAATTAATGTGTGAGTGGAGTAAATGTTCTGCTTCTAGTGACTGCAATTTTTTTCCCTTTCTAATGAAAATCGGTGGTGTTTGATTCTCAGTACCTTGAGAGGATTAGATCCGATGCATAGAGGTGAACAAAGGACAATGAGTCATTGTCAATGACATAGCTATCATAAAGAAGAGAAACAATCAAAAGAGTGGAGGCATAAGATGGTTCAATGTATCATTGAATGTAGCATGATCCGCACTTGGTCTTTCTTCTTCGAAAGAGTGCTTTATGCTTGTAAGTACGATCGACTCCTTAAACACGATAAGACAGTTTCAGTCACGAGGAGGTTTCAAAAAGGGGAGCCATTAGATAACAAAAAGGAAGACCCCCATCCATTTTGTTATCTACTGCCGTACAAGGAAAAAATGAACCGCACGAAAATATGGGGACTGGAATATTTTCCATTGCACAATAAATTCAGTTTTGATTCCTTTATGTAGTACTTCCCTCCCAGGCATAGGACAGTCATGACAAATGAAAGCCCTGCGAATATTAAACCCCTATTAAGCCGTATTAAGTGTACAAGCCAAGGGTATTTAATCCCGCAATGATGTATTTGTCCTAGTAATCCCGAACATACATCGTAGTTGTCGTTAAAATATACGTATATTATACCAATACCCAGAAAATGCTGAGAACTGGACTTCAGAAGAAACATCCCGGACTTAAATCTCGAGTTACTGAAATTCATTAACCATAATGTGACTTCTTGTGACATACGCTCTTAGAAACATCGAGATTTGATTTAGTAGAACGTGTTTCGGGTGGTGAAAACATGCCGACGTAGCCGTAGTGGACACGGATGGGCCATAGTCCGGCCCGTTTAGTGTAGGCGCTCGTATGCCGAGACGCCTAAACTACCTAAAATAGACTACGCGGGTGCGCCTACTTATTCTACCCTTCATTTACGCACACATCTTTTCTCTACAATTACAAGGTACCTGCATCTACTGGAGACATTGGATATGCTAGACACAAAACCATCCACGTTCAGTTTCTATCAAAACCTTTAGAAAAACCTCGGGCATATTAGATGTCACCTTAACGTTTCTCTAAACTGCCTACTCCAAGCATTAGTGTTTATGAATCGAGTGGATATTGAACTCCATTGTAGTGTAAGAAGGGATGTGGTGAGTTGCGTGGTAGGTTATTGAGAGGAGTGGGAGTTGTTCTGTCGTTTCTAAGCTTGCAAATGACTTCCCTTTGAGTATGAAACATGTTGATGAAGTTATTATGAAAAAAATACAGGTGCGTCCTTGATTGTAACTAAGTTTGCACATTAAGAACTTCCAGAGAACCAAAACTGTTACTCGAGGATTATTGAGAAGATTCAAGGACATGTCCCAGGTGCACCCTCACCCTGTGCACTTAGTCAAATAAGGTTGCTGGATTTTATGGAGATAAACTGAACAGTTCAGTCAATATAAGGTTTCTTCGGATGACATATTAGAGTTCTTTCATAGAGGTGGATTGCTGATAATCACAGAAATCATATTGGGCTACTGTAAGCTCCGGAGAAAAGCATTGTAATATTGAACAGGAGGGGAAATCCAGAGAAGGAATTCAAAACAGGGTGATTTAAAACCAGGCCAGGTAGGAATTGAACTAAAGTTCTGTTGTTCATGAAATGCACATGGCTCCATTTTGTGCACTCTAATTGATTAAAAAAACTCACATTTGCCCATCATGTAAACTAAGCCTAAATGAGGTCTCCTCGTGCCACTAAATTTAGGCGCCCGAGACTAACCAAGCCGGGTCATAGTCAGACTTTGACATCTGGAACCACTCTAGGTCCAAAAATGAGCATATAGAAACAGAGAAATTTGCTTGATGGGACCCCATCAGAACCCTAACTGCTTGATGGGACCCAATACGTTCCATTTTACCCGATGGGACCCTTCGACTGTTCACCGTCAGTTATGTTCTTGTAACTGATTTGTTTCGACTTCAATGAAAAACAATAATTTCATCCTTTAAGTTAGTCAGATTTTCCATGGCTCCCAATCTTCATCGTGGAAGAGCCCAATTTCTCACGTCCCATAATGATTTTACAATTATAATGTATAGGCATAATCTACTCACTCCTTTTTTTTTTTTTTCTAAAACTCTTGGTCGAAATCATGTCATTTGCGTATTTGGTCCGTGAAATGCATTTCACTTTTCAACAAAGAGCCTCAGTGATTTTCCTAACCCGGATTTAAAGGAATTACAAGAACTCGTAGTAGAACATAGGTGACGGTGTACTGAATTGCGGTCTTAAAGGTCCCATGGGGTAAAATGGAACTTCAACATGGTCAATTTTATGATGGGGTCCCATCAAGCAAAGTATTCTAACATACATCTGAAACATGCTACTTATACGGAAGTATAAGACGAGACATCAATACGATAATACGTGTCGTCTGGATCACACTCAAGCTTTCTACGATGCAACTTGCAGACCGTGGCCGAGTTTGGGTGCGGTGTGGTCTCAGATGAGCTTGTCCCAACAGCCTTCGAACATCAACAAAGATCTAGATCTGGTGTGAAATCTGCGGACTATGAGCGCCAAGGGTCAAATATCCTCCCACTTTTCGCTCTCTTTTCGTTATCCTCTTCTGTATGCATGTACGTCCGATACTTCTGGAAGTGCAGTAACTAAAGGGCCACAATTTCCCAATCGCTTCACGTTCTTTTTCGCAGACATGCGGTGAAAAGGGAAGGCAGAACCCCTTTACCAGTTTCGAAAACCTTTCCAATAGATTGCCAAGTAAAAAGGTGGTCTTTTTATTGCAAAATTGTACTGTGACAATAAATATCCGACGATAAATGATCACCGGTCTAGTCTGTTCATCCTAGCCATACAACTTTTCACATCCTCCCATTTGTATGCATTAGATTTATTGTGATATTGAACTTCAGATGCTCTCATTTATATAACTGAAGGACTCAAGGATTATTTTGTACGCTATATTAGATTAAAAAACATAATAAATAAAATGTATATACGTAGATATGTACAAACATGTATACTATTCTATGAAAAAAAAATAGCCTCCTCCACTTGTGTTTCGCTCCGAGATGGTCCGAAATGTTTTCTCGCAACATCCTCATCTGAACCTATGCTACAGAATCGAAGAACTTTTTATTCGAGACCCTGATGAACTTCATTCAAATCCTTGCAAAGTCTTAGATCCGAGTCTACGACGTTCGAGGTTCTACCCGGTCCGTGACAGTAGCTTCTGAGCTACCACGTAACGCGAGAGGCTCAAGGTTGTTCTGAGACCATGCTGAAGTTCCTTCAAATCCTTGCGGAGTCCTAAATCCGAATCTACGACGTTCGAGGTTCTACCCCGTTCGTGACAGCAGCAGTAGCTTCGGAGCTACCACGTAAGGCGAGAGGAACAACACCGCCTGCCTGAATCGTGTGTGTGTGGCCAAAACAGCCGATCGAAGCCGCAGAGAAGGTCCTTTCGTTCAGATATTTCGGCCGCTGAAACCAAAAGGAGAGGAGGAGACGATGGCCCCGGAATTGGGCACAGCCGTATCTGGTACTGTACATGTACCGCGTAGGGACTGCAGGAGAAAGGCCAGTTAAGTTTTATTCTTGTTACCGGATAATGTAAATCGAGAGCTTGGCTCTCGGCTCTCGTTCTGCAGCGAAGAGCTGTGCGTGTCGAGAGAGGGGATGTCGAATTGTCGGGTCAGCCTGTAGGTTTTACTGATCTGCCAGCGCAATGAGTGCATTGAATTGAGGCTCGAGCGAAACCTGTCTCTCGGTTCGGTCCAGAGAATTGCTTGCGGCACAATGTGCGCACGGGGTCTGGTGTCATTTCGGAATTGTCTCGGACGATTTGTCGTCGACGTCGATTCGGGATTGTTTTTACGTTTATCTACGTCGAGGCTCGAGTCGTCGGGAGATCGGCATTTGCCCTCGCGGTAGAATGCGTGAAACAGTGCCTTAACTCTTTTTACGTGGCTACACTTGAGTAATCGGTTCCCCGGGGCCTTGTCTCTTGGTCATTCGCGAAGGCCCCTTTCCCACGACAACTTCTCTGCGCGGAGCTCCTGTGCGGCAGGAGCTCGAGCTGCAAGCCATGGCGGAAGCTCTGATGACTGTACGAAGCTCTCCTCATTCTGCAGGTCTTGTCAATTCCAGGCCCGCGATGGCTGCCGTTTGTAGACTATCCAACCTTGCAATTCTGGTCGAACCTGCCGGCTCACGTGATTTTCCGACTTTAACGAATGGCACCAGTGAAGGGGTTTGTCGTAGAGGAGTGAGGTCTCGTGTAGAGCCGAGTATGAGGTCGATGATCTGCGAAGCGCATGCTCGGAGCGGAGGACTGGGAAGTGGTTGCATCTCTGGATGCTGCAGCCTTCCCTCCTCGAGTGCAACATTTCAAGCGCTGCACGAAAGAACTGGCGGTAGGGGGAATAATTATCTGGGAGTGCTCAGGAAGGAAAAGAGCCCCATGCTGAAGGTTAACTCGGTTCGATGTGGTGGTGCATCTCCTTCTGATGTTGGCGGCGAGCGAAGATTGAGTCGTGGGGGTAGACGATTCAGGCTTCAGTCGAAGAAGGACGTTGGAACCAGCATCCGGAACGAAGACGACGAGATGGACTTTGCAGGGTTCGCTCGTGGACGACCTAGAGCCAGAGCCGGAAGGAAAAAGTCAGGAAAGGTTAAGGCATTCTGGAAGTGGGGAGACAATGACATGGGTGCCGAATTATCGGAGGCAGAAGAGGTAGAGGCAGAGCTCATGGGACCTTTGAATTCAATTGGCGACTTTACCCGGTTTATGGATAATGGCGATAATGGGGCCGAGCTTCAAACAGCTATTGTCACATACAGAAAACCATTTCCCTGGAATTTGATCTCCAACACGCAGGTTCAGTTCAATGCATCATTTACTTTGTGGCAATCATGTGTGAGGCAAAAGTTTGGTCTACTTCCTTTCATGATACATTCAGTATACAATGTGTTAATGAAGAACTCGCCACTTTGTATTTTTTCGTGACCTGCCTACTTTTAAATTGGGTGGAGTCTAGAGTTTGTGATAGAAGAGAAAATTTCAGACGAACTTTTTTGTGTCTTAATTTTGTGGAACTGTCAGGGACAAAACTAGAGTCCGACAACTCTCTTCTACATTATGCCCCAATATTTTCACGTGTCGATTGTCTTCATGAAATAGTAGTAAACTTTGACTTGTAATTTCGCCGACTTTTAAGCACATCTGGCAGACCTCAAGGACTTGACAAGGAAATTGGTCGGGGATCAGCTGAAACTAGATGCTCTACTTATGAAATGTTGTGATTCTGTTCATGGGGATAGTTTGAACAATTCTGTTGGAGGGTGGTGCTCCAGTCAGTTCCGACCTTTTATTAAGATGTGTCATTTTGTCCAATTGCAACAGGTGGACCTAGTGGCCGCAGTGCACATAGCGGACGAGAAGTAAGTGCATATTGCTTGTTATGATTTGGATCAGAATGAGCATACGAGAAGAAAAGCATATTTCACTGTTAAAAGTTCAGACGGTAGGATCTGGTAGCATGCCATATATCTTATCGATACTTTGTTCATCTCGGCATTGAGAATACATTGCAAGCACTTCGTTGAATTGACGTCGCCTGTGTGTGGGGGGCGTGCAGATTTTTTAGAAACCTCCAGGAAGAACTCGCTTCGTACGATCGCGTTCTTTATGAAATGGTGGCTGATAAAAACCCCAAGCTTACCAACAGAAACGCGAAGTACAGATGGAGGCCTTCAAAGCGACGAGGTCGGAGCGGTTTTAGCATTATAGGGACAATTCAGAAACTTATGGCACGGGTATTGACTTTAGATTTCCAGCTTGAGTGCATGGATTATAGAAGAGACAATTGGTTTCATGCAGATCTCGACTATGAGACCTTCCAGAAACTACAGGTATGGGACTTGAGAATTTCGTGGGAAGGATTTAAGACAATTTTCAAAATAGCGCTGACCGTTTTATATTTAGAATTGGTTCTTTAAACCACACTGTCGAGTGGAGTCATCTAGTTCAGTACCACTGTGTTATGCTGGGTGGAAGACCATCTGCTGCAGACCTCTCACGTCGGTTTTTGTTCACTTGCTTTTGGCAGAACGAGCGAGGCGAGACCTTTTTCTCGTTCGCAAGAGATTTGACGGAAATTTCCACGAAGACAGTTATGAGGAGCTTATCCGTCTCATCTGAGTTGGAGCCCTGGAGGTCGAAGCTGCTATGGGTAGCGCGTGTATTCCCTATGCCTCTACTCGGATTGGTGGTGATTGAAAGTGTATGTGCTCCTTCGGATGCACCTCTGAATAAATCCCCCGAGATGAAAGCTTTGTTAGAGCTCGACTTGGCATCTGCGTTGAAAGTGTACCTGGCCAAGCAAATTACAACAGAGTAAGGAAATTTTTTCCAGCGAATGCACTTTTCGCTTTGACTAGACTGTAACTCTGTCTACCGCCGTATTCGTGGAATTATCTCATCTGGAGATTTGTCAAACGGATAGGGCATGTCTCTCTCCAGATGTTGTCTTTTCAAGTACCTGTCTGCAAGCTCTTAAGGCGTTACGTGGGCACGAGTTGATTTTGCATTTTGGCCCTTAGAGGTGGTTTCTGGTATTTCTTCACTAGATTCCTGAAATCTCTCTCATTTTGGCTTCATAAGATTGACCTCGTGAGAATTGTTGACGTCTGGTTTGTGAGCAGCTTGACATCCGATGCATCATCACTCGTGGAGAACTCGGTTATCATCGGGGAGCGGAACAGAGTCGCTATGGAAGAACTCCAAGAAGCTATGCGAGAAGGCTGCAAGAAGATTGCCATATTTTACGGCAGTGGCCATCTTCCTGATATGCATACTCGATTAACGAGGGACTTCGGTCTAGAAGCGAGGGATATCCAGTGGCGAACCGCATGGTCCATTCAGAGCCGGAAGACGATTCGGGAAGGAGCTCTCACCAATTTTCTTGGATATTTGGCCAGAGTTTCCGGTTGGCCACTGAATAGGTACCAAACCTTGGCTCTGTTATTCCTCTCTGGAGTTTTGGCCGTGGATTTATGGTTCTGGGAACTTTTCTTGGGTGCCATCAACGACTATGCCCAGCAAACAGTTGTGTTAGTAGTGAACCTTTTAGAAAGAGGTTGGGATCTCTGAGATGCTTTCTCTTCGTCCCTGGAAAGATTTGAGTATTCTTCTTAGTTAAACGGAAGGCCTCGTAGCGGGACCTTGAATTTTCAGAAAGACACAGCAGGAAGTGTACACTCCTCTGTGGCACTGAAGAGTACTTATTCGGGTCATCTGTCCTTTGAGCTTCGTCTATCAGCAACACCAAATGGGGCCACACTACTGGCGGAGGCATCGCATGATTGTACAGTTCTTGTAAACACACGCTTGTTGGGTTCGTCCCGCATGATCCTAGATTCACGTCAGTGTGATTGTCACATACATTGTCAAGCTTAAGGTTGAGATCTTCAACCGCTGCAAGAAATTAATTCCAGGAATGAAGAGTTCGCCGTTGGCAGATTTTGCTCATGAGTGCCCGCCTTCTCCTCGATGTTTCTCACTTCCAACATCTGGCCTTGTGCATTTTGTCATTGCTGTAATCGTGTTTTCTGGGGTGGGCTCTAGGTCAATACATCCTTGCCTCGAATATATTTCGGGATCGGTATCATCCGCTGGCAAGGCATATATTGAACAGACTGTGTCTCGATGCCTGTCAACGACTCTAAGCCCGAAACCTCCTCCTCGTCCGCCGAGCTCTTTCTGTACGCCAGAGGTCAGCCACTTGACTCCGCGAAGTCTTTCGAGTCACCGCTTGGGCAGCGAAGTCGTCGAGGAGGAAGGACGATCTGCAATGGTCGTACTAACTGTTTCACGTTGACCTTCGCGTTGAGTGATCTAGACCTGGTTGTCAATTCGCCCGTCCTCCGTGATACTCTCTATTCTCCTTGGGAAACATAGCTCCGATATCTGGCCAAACAGGGCATCCGCCATGTTCCTAGATTCTCGGTGCCTGAATCTCTCGTTGTTGTACACGATGTGTGAGATTCTCGGGTTCGTCAACTCCGATCGAAGTGAACAATCGAGCTGAAATCTGAAGGATCTCCAGCGATACTCGACAACGGGAAAAGACACCGTTGTGAAAATATCCGCAACAGAGTCAAACCGGAACAGCGGCAGGCTGTACCCGGTTTGAACGGACGCGCCTCCATCCATCCATTCATACATCCATCCAACCATCAATTAATTCATCCACCGTCGCACGAGGCTCCAGAACCGGAAACCAAATCGCTGACAGACGGAAAGCGACATCCCCAAACAGGACGCTCGGAACTGCCCCCCCGTGGTACCGTCCTTCACGTACGGAGCACGAGCAGTAAGTCCTTCACGGAGGCAGGCACCGGCACGCCCCCCGGTAACCTGAAGCACGAACCGGGTCAAACTCCCGAGCCCCAGCCTAACCCGCCGTCCCCACAATGCCACCCCGGCGATATTATCTTGAACGATTCACGGGCCCGGGGGAGATCCACCGGGAGCTGCGAGCCGGGGGACCGGGGACGGGCCCACTCTAAGAAGACTTCGGCCCTGTCTGAAGAGAGAAACGGAATGGCCCGGTCGCCCGGCCGGCGTCGGGGTCGGGACCGTGTGCATGGATGGATCATCAGATGGTGGAGGCGCGGGCGGGATGGGTTTGTGGATAACGTTGTTATGGCTGCCGTGGCCACGTAAGGAGGGAGGAGCTGGCGATGGATGGTGACCGGGCGACGTACAGGGGCGCCTGGGGAGGATAGGTTGGAGGTCGACAGTCGCTCGAGGGTCTGAGAGCGCGAGAGCGAGCGCGAGGACGAGGACGAGGAGAGGCCGACGCTCGAAGGCTCGAAGGACTCAGGAAGCTATGGCGATGGCAGCGCAGGCGATCGCTTGCGGGTGCAGCTACAATGTAGGCAGTGTTTCATCGTCTCCGTCTTCGGAGCTGAGGTCGGAATTTTTGGGTGCGCAGGGGAAGAATGGTAGGGTTTCGCTCCGGTGCAAGGAGCCGAGGAGCAGCAGCAGTAGAGCTGCTGGGAGTTTGGTGGTAGAGGCAGCCATTAGCCGGGAAAAGAAGGAAGCGACCGTGGAGAAGGCGAGGCAGCAGCTCGAGGGTGCGTACCTCGTCGCCGGGATTAAGTACACTGGTCTGACTGTGAAGCAATTTCAGAATTTGCGCAAGGCGCTGCCCGAAACCACGACCTTGATTGTGGCCAAGAACAAGCTGATTGGCAAGGCCATCGAGGGCACGAAATGGGAGGCTTTGAAGCCGGCCTTGAAAGGCATGAATGCGTGGTTGTTTGTTCACACCGAGGAGATTCCCACCGCTCTGAAGCCGTACAGAGACATGCAAAAGGAATTGAAGCTCGAGAACAACGACTTCACCGGCGCTGTCTTTGAGGGCAAATTCTACTCGCCCGAGGAGTTCAAGCAGCTGGAAACCATGCCCACCAGGGCCGAGATGTACGCCAAATTGTTGGGTGGCCTGCAAGCCCCTGCGTCGAATTTGGTTGCAACTTTGCAAGCTCCAGCCCGTGATGTTGTGTTGACACTGAAGGCCTACGTTGCCAAATTAGAGGAACAGGAAGGTCAGGGACAAGCGTAGAGCAGGAATTCGCATATTGTAGAGTCTCACAAATGAAGACGTAGCAATGGCTTTAAATGTTATCATTCTATATACTGATTTTTTGGTCGCAAGTCGAACCTGTAGTGTCGTTAGTGCCAGCGAAACATTTCTGAGTCAATCGAACCGTTCCCCACTCGGACTAGAAGCTCAATGCGCTGGTCAGAGTTTTCCAATCTATCTCCGATAACCGAAAGGTGTTGAAGTGTGTATAGCGATGATCGTTTGCCATTTACCATGTGCCGATGGGTTGTGGACTTCCGTTTGACCATCTCACACCTTCACACGGCATACTTCTTTTCGAAATTACTCCTTCGCAAACTTTTTCGATCATTGCTTTCCAGTTCAACACCATGAAATTCTTGTATGATCAGCTACCTGGATTCGGATTATAAATTATCCCGTTGTCAAATTTCGTCTTGATTCGAGCATCTGAATTGAAATCGCGAGGGATGAGGAAATTGGGTGCCCATTTGAATATTGTTTTGCCTCTGATTTGGCAAAAGCTATCTGGTTCGAAACTATAGTTGATGACATCTACTGTGAGGACAGAGCAGGTGTGATGTATGGAATCTACCATACGAGGTAAGTGCGCTTCGCAGGTGACGAGAGTGCCCTAAAGAAATCGGCCAGGTAAGATTCACCTTTCATCCTATGCGAGTCAACAATCTTAAGTCATGTGCAGGCAGCCATGGCGCCATGGCCTGAGCCTCTGCTTCTAACAGGAGAGTGGTAGACGGGGCAACCGTGATGAAGATGCTCCTACAGTGTCTCCACCGCGACCAAAAAATCTTTTGGTTTCCTAAGTCCGCTGCAGGGAGTGTTGAATTGGCAATCTGAGTTCTGGTTCATGCGGCCGATGTGGCTGCATCACTGCATCCGCACTATTCGCATGACCATCGGGCCAGATGTGACACCACAGCGCTTTCAGGTCTCTTCTCACAGCTCTCACCTAGCATGAGGTAGGTGAGTGCAGCCTTCGGACCCTTCATCACATTCCCAGGAGAAAGCGTGTGGGCACACCCGCCACACAACACGTAAAGCACAGCTTCTGAAACACAGTATCGTGCTCCTTCTGGTGGAAGGAAAGGAATGGAGTAAGAGCAACATCATCCATTAGCAAAAGTACAACCCTGCACTGCTCCCGCTGCCCAACCAAACTGGCTCTCTCTCCACCTTCTTCTTATGGCACGGAAGCTGAAGAGAAAGAGTCCCTGTGACTACGAACGCAACATCAGCTTGATGGCCAGATCAGAGCAATTGGATCCGGAACCACACAAGCGATTCGAAAGGACTCAGCGTAGTCGAGAGTAGGGTTTCTGATGAACCACGTTCTGAGCCCATCTCGAGATCAATCGTGGTGAGCATCGACATGTGCCAAGAGCGTGACGGGCGGATGATGACATTCCTCTGGATGGATGGCCTGGTGAGCGAGTGGAAGGGAAGAGGTTACAGGGAATATGGTGCAGCCTCCGGAGTGCTGGGACTGAACCGTAAGACGGGGTTTATGGCAGCGGGAACACTCGCGGGCCGACATTAAGTGGTAGAACGTCATTGATGAGCGTTCTAGATTGGAGCCAATTCCCAATCTACTGGTGAAGGAGGAAGTTTCGTCTCGTGTAGTTCTGATCTGCCGACAGCTCCCCCAACACTAAACTGGCAGGACTTGTCTTGTCGACCTGACCCCGAGGGCGTGAAAGGCGTGAGCTCGACAGAGACGACCATCGCCTCGTCTTCGGCGATGGCTTCCGCCAATGCGAAGTGTGAGTGTTGAGATGGAAACCGTCGAGAATCGGTAGGTGTGAATGCTGGCGGAAGAGTCCATAACTCGGCCGTGGAGACAAGATTTGAAGCCATGTGGTGACCGAAGGAAGGCAGTGGTTGGATTAGCTCCGCAAACGTCAGTGTCATGCCCAGTGAACCCTGCGGGCAAGCAACATCTGCAATTTTGCCAGCATGAACCTTCCTCCGGTAGCCCAAGGAAGCGTCGACACACAAGGCCTGAAAGAAAAGGACGCCATGCCATCCGCTGGGCAGACCAGGAAGCTTTCGGCCAGCTTCAGTTCCTTGTTAGCGCGGATGCAGCCCTGGGTATCCTGCCAGGTGCAGGGGATAGCACCTGCCTGGCAATTGCTGCATTAGCAATTGCTGTACCAAAACCCACAAAACACGCAAAACTTCTCCACTCTCAGCGTGACAGTTTAATTAAGGCCCCGGTAACCACCCTCAGGCAGTTACCGATGTGGAACAGACAACAGGACCAGCAGCAGCAGCAGCAGAAGAGAATGACAGTTGGAGTTCTCCTCTTCTGACTGCCTTTGCTGGCTCAAATCTGTTTCTCTGTGTTGGTTCTTTGGAGAAGGGCTTGGACATTGACTCGGCCGATGAGCAGAAGCCAACGAGAAATGTTGAGGATTGAGCGAATGCGAGGTGAGGTCCGGAGGCGAGGCACCGAGGCGGACCGACAAAGACTCACTGAATCGTCTGTCACGGACTCGCTACATGTATGCATGCATGAAGACTATGGCGGGTCTTTGGTAGTTTAATCTAAAATTCGGCTCTCGCCAAATCTGAGTCTGCACTCCAGTAAAGCATCTGGTGAGCAGGCAGGGTCGCTTCTGGGAAACGCCGGTAGCGCTCTGTTGAGCTCTTGTACAAGGATCTCGATTCCTCATGATTCAAATCATGAGATCCCAGTATCTTTTGCTATTTTCCAAGAGACTGAAGAGGCTGCCAAGCATTTGAGTGTCATAGACTCCAAAGCCTAGCAGGCGTACACCCCCACAGGTGCACTTTATTTCAAACTCTTGCACAAACTGCTGCGAAGGAAAGAAGAGAATCAATGAAAGTCAGTGCTCCCGACTGTGATGCGAGGCTACTGTGGGAATCCTTTCGGTCCCACAAAAGGTCCAGCCCGAACTTCAAAACCTCGTACTCTGAGCTGGGCTTACACAGAACTTACCCAATTTATCTTTTGCACCTTTTCGGACCCCAGTCATGATATCTCCACCAAACTTGGCAAGGTACTCCCAAGTCACACACATCCGGTCGGTTCGTTGCAGCGGGCTCTCGCCGCTCTTCCAACAAAAGAGCTTGGAAAGGTTTCTTCTGATGGTGTGTGCCATCTCACGGCCAAGTTTAAGGTCCATATCTGGGTCTCGGCCCATGTGGCTCGCAATGAGTGCTGTGGATTTTCAGATTAAATTATGCCCAGGGTTCATCCATCCCTCTCTCTCAGGGATCGGTACAAATTTTTATGGCACCGGAATGAAGAACGCTTCTTGGTCATGCCATCCTCAAGGATCCAGTACACAACCCACACCAAGCGCCATTTAAGCACGACACTTCTGTTCTGCAGGTGGTGGTGGGTAGCTCTAGAAGAGTAGAAGATCTTGCGTAATCCAGCGGAAGTCTCACATCGCTGGTAAACACACCGAGTGCATGTTGTCGAGCACTCCTCCCCGGCAGCCGGCCCCGCTAATAATAATGTGTTTAACAAACCTTCCCTCTCTCACGGTCAAAGCTGGATGGCCATACCGCCATCGAGCATTGACGTCTCGGCGGAAAGACCTCACGCGCAGCTCGGAGCGAGTCAATCCGAGTCCAGTCGAGTCGGCCATTCGAGCCTTCTACTCTAAATTAATCAAAACGCTTGCTCGAGAAACGCAAAATCCATCCGAAATCCCACGGTCAAGGAAACAAACCATGACATGTCGGAATTCACGAGCGCACTGCCCCGCTTCGTCCATGAAATCTCGTCGACTGTTTCATCGCGTCCGGGCAGAAGACACAACGATCTTTTCTGACACAACGGTGTGTTCCGCAAAGGTCACATCGAAGAAGGCCGACGAGAAGCGCCGTGTCGCTCTCTCGTAACGCCCTGGCCGGCGAAATTTAAAGCTTGTACAACTCCCCCACGGAGGCCGCTCTCCTCCCCGCAGAAACACCGAGAAGGAAATCCGACACGAAACGAGGACTTTGATTTGGCCGCTAGCTCCATCGCGCTCGGTCTCTGAACCTTCGTGCATGCACATTCTTCTTCGTCGCCATCGGCCATCGGGACCTCAGGTTAGAGGTGAGGTGAGGTAAGGTGTGGTTAGGGCTAAAGTAAGGATAGAGTAAGGTTAAGGGAAGGCGAGGTCGGGGTTAGCAGGAGACCGCGGTCATGATTTCAGTTCGAACTGCACACCTTCGCGGATCCCCCCTGGGTACAACCCGGGGGACCATCAAAGGTCACGTTTACTGGGGGAATATGCCACTCTCAATACCTGCAGATCCATCGGACGGCCCAAATTCAATCCGCGACCGAATCATTGGCTTCCTCTCCACCACATCTCCACGATTCCGCCCACCGCAAATGATTCCCCTCCCCCGCTTAGAAGGAGCGCTCAAACGCTCGCCCTCCCCCACTTTAAAAAAATAAAATTACCCCCTCAAAATAGCACCGCTCCTCCTCCTCCTCCCCCTCCTCCATTTCAAACATGCGCCATCCGGACGGCCTTCGATTCCGAAGGAGGAAACGGCCTATAGACGCCGGGCAAGGGATGTTGGTTCATGACCCTATTCCGAGGGCGGGTTAAGTGTATTTTATGGGCTACATACAGGCTGGGATTCTCGGGCAAATGATGCCCCGGGGGGTTGCCTTTTTAACTTTCTCTGACTGCACGCGCTCCTATGGCCTTGAAAACCAAAAGGAGGGGAATATGGCACTTATTTTAAGCAGGCCGAAGGCTGCTGCTCGGGCCTTTAATTAATACGCGAAAAATGTTTATATGCGGGGTGGGGGTCCTGACTGACCATTGTCTAGAGGGGGGAGCGGGAGGGGACATCAATGGGCCATAAACGTCAAAGCGCTGGACGACGTCTTTCCGTGAGAGAAAACGTCGACGTGCCGAACGCCGCTTACCCGTGAACGCAACGAAACCGTGTCCCGTCCCGGCTCACGGAATCTCGGAGCCCGGCACGAGGATCTTCGGGGCAGGGGCGCCCATCTGGCAGGATTCATCGTCGCGCAAGATTCAACTCGGACCCAAATCTCGCCCTCAGCCCTGAGCCCTCGACGGACGAAGATTCCAGGTCCTCCATCATCATCATCATCATCGTCTTCCCGTCCTCCCGTCCCCTTCGATTAGAGCTTTACATAACACTACACGTGATCCATCGGTCCATCGAACCACCGAAGCCCGAAGCCCGGTCGCTCTGGGAGAGGAGTTGGCGGGGGGGAATATCTGCTCCAACGATTCGATTGCCCCGGCCGAGCGACCGGCGAATATTCGGCCGCTACCTCCGCGCCTCCCGTATCCAATCTTCGCTCGCTCCGTCTCCATGCGGTGCACCGCGAAATGCCGGCCACGCTGGAGGTCGAAATAACCTGATCCCCATCCTGTTCACACAGGAAGGCATTCGGGCATTTCGGACGAGTTCAGACATTCAGCTTTGCACAGAACCATATATTTTCGGAGCCTGATCTGATGCAGCTAATAAATATTGAAGGTCATCAATGGGCAGTACTCGATGTTGCGAACTGTACCTGAACATGTTCAGTTAGAATAAAGTCTTAATCTAGCACACGACTTCTGAAACATTGCTGTGATCTGTTGCTGTTGGGGATAGTGCTCTGCCTGTACAGGGCGAGCTCCGTGTATTAAAGGTTCCGGAATCACGTTAGAAAGTTTGAGCTTAAACTGCCAGATAAATATGCTAATTAAAGTCCAATTAAAAGAACACGTCTTATTAAAGATCGCCGAAGGATGTAGGTGATTTCACGTTATGAACTCAACTTGCGCCACAGATCATGCCCCCGACACCGCATTTCCGTGTACTTGCTCTCGACAGATTGGGCTCCAAGCTAAGTATCTCTGAATATCTGATTTCTTTCCGACGATGGTTTGCAAACTTCTTATTCAAGTTCCATAATTCTCCTGATTTCGACTAACTTATATTTCCTTCCTGCAACGGGTCGGACATAAATATGGTCGATCTCGACAACAAAATCCCTTCAATTAACGATTTGATTGTGCAAGTGAGTAGGCAATTTTTCTGATATGGAATTTTCTACAACCAACTAGGGGAAAGTATATTTCTTTTAATATGAAGCTTCATAATTCTTCATACACAGCTTCATAAGATTTTTCCAAAATTATGGTTCTTCCAATATAAAGATACTGAAGTGTATTTTAGTTTGGCTCTTACATGTCATGTTAAAATAATTCCCTTGATCTTACCATTTTGCGTCTACATATGTGAATGATGATACCAAATCTTTATTCAAGAAATTATAATTGCCTTTATATCATATACGAGAGAAATTAGAGTGATGAAGTAGAATAATATTGAAATCGTATGGAGTTATCTATTTACCTCAGTAAGGAATGGATCATTTGAAATATGAAAACGTTAACGGCTACTCAGCTAACCAATATATTGTAGTTAAAAAAGTAGTATCCTAAATTTAAAATTCCTTATTTAGATTTATTATAATATTATTTTTCATATCATTGAAAATATAAATATGAAAATATTTTAAAATTTGATCATGCTCGTTGAAAAAAATCTTCATGACAGAAAATTCATTGAATTTTTCGTATAAAAGTTATAAATGAGTATGTAGAAATCTTTTTCAAATTATTCTTTTTATTCTTTTTGTTCTTTTGGAATAGAAATTTTCTACACTTACAAATTTTTTTATTAAGTATTCATAACAAATTCCACTATAATAAAGGTTTCATATTTTTTCATCAATAATAATTTTTCTTATCTATTTATTTGAAAATTTAAATAAAAATGTTTACATAATATAAACCGTAATAGTGCGACCAGTTGGAATGCATAATACATAAAAAAAAACTAATAATATGAGAATTTTTATTTCTAAGAATTTAGATAGAAGTTTCATCGTGTATAAACCTCTATCAAATGAAATTTTTTTTATCTTTCACGACTGAAAACCTCTTAAATTTTTGGATTCAAACATTTCTTGGCATTGCGTGTGTACGATACATATTATTTTGATTTTGAATGAGGATCCATGAAAATAATTAGAGTGCAGGTATATGATATAAATTTATAAAAAAGGTTCTTTAATAATATAGTATCATCTATCAAGTTTTATCCTACATATATTAATATTATAAAATTTACACAAATCAAATTATAAATATATAATATAAATTTCAAGACTTGGTGTTTTCTTCTTAAATTTGAAGATGATATTTTAGCTCTTTAACTTTGTAAAAACATAACATAATTATGAATCTTGTATTCATATAATAAGTAAATAAATTTTATTTTACATAAAAAAAGAGGATTTTTGAAATGCAAGAAGAGTAAAGCTGAGGGAATTGAGTTAGAACATCGAAGAAATATGAATCTTGAAATCTTCAAATTCAATGAAAAAGTGATTGATTTATTTCATGATACTATCAAGCTTTTCAATAAGTAACATGTTTTCTCCGTCAACGAAAGCATTTCATTGTAATTGAAGATGATGCGATAAAAAACTTGACAACTAGAACTGAACTCTGTAACGGAAATGCACGGGAAAACACAAGAAATCGAAACAACACAAGATGCACGCAGACTCGACTCCGAACCGATCTTCAAGAATGTGTTTGCTATTCAATGGAGGGTGGGATTTGTCCGAGATTTTTGAATATTATGTTTAAAACATGCACAGAAAAACGAGTTTCCAGCTGTTCATCAGGCCCACTTTGTTGACAGAGGACATCACACGAAAAAAATCATATGCATGCTATTTTCTTTGACCATATATCTCAATGGGTCAAAGAAAGGAGTCTTAAACCTACCCACAGAATAAATAGAAGGTGCAAGAGGAGGAAACCTTCTGAACAATAAGCACGTTGCTAAACCTCATTTAGAAGGTATTCGGATTAGAAGTATCTTGATGATGGTTAATTGAAAACCTTCTTAATCATGTCTCAGCAGCAGAAGAAGAAGATTTTAACCCGAGTATTACGGGTCTGGTCCAAAGAATCCTGCGAAAGAAAGAGTTCAGAACCGGTCGTTAGCAAGAAGAATCTCAACCTTAACTTTTCCAGGGGAGGGTCCATCTGGGGGGGGGGGAGTGGGGTACGATCCTCGATAAAAATCAACCCCGTTGGCCAGCCAGGGGTGAAAGTAAACCAGGGGTGAAAGTAAAAAGGAGATCACAATGGTCACATCTTCAGAGAGCTAAGAAAGAGACTAAAGCAAAAGAGGAACCTTCATGACTGGCTCCGTTTTATTCCATGTGAAAATGACCGGCACCCCCGAGAGGTAAATCACTGGCTCGGGCAGTGATATACCTTTGTACCGAAGCAAAGGGGATGGATATGTGGGCCGCATGGTCAACTCCTGGGGCTCCCTACCGTTGAGAGTCTTCATTAACAACCTCTCTTAGTATAGTAAATGTGATGCTGCGTCTACTACAGTCCACCGATGTAACTGGGGTTATCGGAAGGATGAGGTCAAACATGCCAGTCCGATCATTGGTGGACTTCCAAAGGTTCAGATTTTAAAATTATATTAACAGCAGTTTTACTGTTTCCCATTTGTTAAAGCCTACCACTCCCATTACTTCTTTTCTCTGAAATATTCCTCGACGAAATCTCGAAACTTTTGGCGATAGATTTGATACAATTTATATCAATTCGTTTCACTGCCGATTATTATATCTCATGTCTGGCTTTGTACATCGCCACTTTCTCCGCAGTTCAACAAATATTATAAGATACGCCCATCAAGCATCTCTGCTCAAGTTGACAGTTTGACTGTAAGTCTACAAACTAGGGTCGTGTGTCTGGCCCCTCTATACGTAGAGAGTACTGGATTTGAATCTAGCAGCAGGTGTTTCTTGCTGTTTTCCCATACTAACTTTACTCGAGCACTTTTTAATTCTGATGTCAAGATTTTTTTTTTCTCTTCTGTTATCTTTTGCCTGCTTTCTCGAGAAAGCGTGCAATGCTCAGTATTATTAGTGGATCAGGAGCGATCGAAAGTATCTTACCCAACGAGAGGATGATTGTGGCGTGAGGTCAATTCCGTTTGGAAAACTCTCCCAGCTTTCTCAACCTGTACTATAAGCATGTCCTGCACTTTAAACCCCGACACCCCGACAACCCCACCCCAGGAACTGTATAGGAAGACTGCCGGTGATAACTAAATAAATGAATTTGCAGAAAAATATGTTTGAGTGGATTCTTTACGTTCCCTGTTTTATAATATTCATCCGAGTAAACAACAGACCCCAACCAAGTTGGAGAAGTTGTAGAGCTGCTGCATGTGACATGAGTCAGAAGAATTTAATACATGTACAACCCTGCACCGAGTAAACCGCAGAAGGGATTGTAGTCTGTTGTCATAGTGTTGACACATATCAGGGGAGGCCACATTCAACACTGGTGAATGTATCATTTGAAGCTTTGCCTTTTTGGAATGGTATGCACAATACACATGTTTCGTGAATGAAAAGCTGTGTATTGCAGAAGCTGTGAAGGCCGACTTGCGGTGTCATAAACTCCCTCCACGAGTTCTCCTTATGTAACGTTTTATTCCGTTCAACCTCTTCTTCTTTTGCCGAAGAGTTTGGGCCTAAAGCTGTGTGATATATAATCGCAGCTGATCTTTCGATGCAAGAGGGTAATTGGTTGGACCAAACACGGGTTCTAATCAATGGACGTTGAAGGTGAGCAAGAGATGATAGAGTAAACAGTTGGAGCTGTATGAATTCCCGAGTGATTTCGGATGGATTCATCAACAGCCGTAACTACATGACTACATCTCGTTCACAAGGTTTTACTCGACCAATAAATCGTCTCCTTCGCTAAGTTGAGGCTCGCACGGTCACTTTCAACAGATATAAAGCACGGAGAGTCGAGTTCATTCTGATTGTTGATATATAAAAGGGGGTGGGGGTTTCAAAATTACGAATGAATGCCCTTCGTCGACAGATACCTCATGTGATGCTATTAAGTGGAGTGTAATTATGCGGATCGTATGGTATACTCCTCTCGTGTCATGTCACGGCTCTACGTGCCGTATACTTTGCTTGGTGCGGCGAAGTAAGTGGATGGGGTCAAACAGAGTCAGGAACAATGTCGATAGCGTAGTCAATAAGTCCAACATTACACATCACAAAGATTAGAATCTTTGGTGAAGGTATTTGGCACAGTAAAAAGTACTTCTCAGCAGATAATATTCTCGAAAGTACCCTCATACGTATAAGTGGAATTGAATATACTCATTACGTATAAGTTTGGCTCGTTTCAAACCTGGTCAATCATCAAATAAGGTAAAAATCCACATCGATCTGTGTATGATGATGTATTTACCTACATATTTGTACCTTGTACCTCAACAAGGGACTCCAGAACTCCAGACAAGCTTCAATGGATGCAAAAGTATATAATTGATTAGTGGAATCATTGATCAGATGCCCAAGTACAGCCATCGACCTGTTTTTGCAGCTCCAACATTATCAATATCAATATGGTTATATACTGTTTCCTAGTCTACATATAGATCTGATACAGCGCCATTACCGATGCTCTCTCTACATGACATCCCGACCGTAGTGCTCCGGTTACCACTTTCTAATCTCTCATTAGATCTGAACTTTGTCCCAAAATTCCCAATCCTTGTCTTGAAGTCACCGTGCACCTTTGTTGGTGTCTCACTTGAACCAAGCAAGCAAGCAAGCAAGGAAGAATTGAAGGAAGCAAGGGGTTGCAGCTCGAGGCTCGGGTGTACATGTTGCAGTTCATTTGTGTACGTGGTCACGTAAGACGGAAGCCGTGATTATTTATCAACACAGAGTTTGTGTGTCATGCAGCGCTATTAGTGTCTTGTACTGAAGACCATGTCGTCGATCATCCATCCATTCATTCATTCATTCGGGAAATGCGATCAGTGATGCCATAAGTTCCTGCATCCGAGGACCAGACGCTGAGTACTGTTCTCTAACGACATGAAGCTCGCTCTGCCTGCTTCGAGGCCCCAGCAAGAGACAAATGTTTTCTCCGAGACTCGAGACCTGCGATCACACTCGTGTACTACAGTATTAGCATTGAGATTAGAGACATGACATTACTGTTGAATCTGGCACTAATCTGGATTAATCAGCGCTCGGGTGGCAGGTAAGAAGTATGCGTAAAATGAAGGCCAAAAGTAGACGGGAGGTGAAAAGTACAAACGAAAGTACGAGTCTGTAATTATTCATGGCCACCGCCATAAATACGTTGCGTATCGGGACCGGTCGGCGAGCGCACGCAGGCTCGGTGCAGCCGGTGTCGACGAGCGGGACTGCGCAGACCATGATTCGTGACCGGTGCCAACCAGTTCTTGGCCGTGACCGTTAGCAGCGTGGACAACTGGGCATGCTCTCCCGGGCAGCGAGCGCGATGGGCAATAATGGTCTGGTGTTCTTCGCCGGCGAGCCTCGAAAGCACTTCCGGCGAGTTCCGATCGGCAAAATAATCTGGCCACCGCCGCCCGCCGGCCCGCCGAGGGATAGCGGATGCCGAAGTCGTGAAGCGAAGGGAGCCGAACTGTTAAACCCCGCACCACATCAGCAGCTCCGACCACGTGGCGGGAGGATGTCAGCGCACCGGAGCTTATTTAACGGGTGACAACAGGCCGGGAGCGTGGCGCTCGTCCAGGTGGCAGCTCGCGAGGATCCCGAGATAAAAATACGAGCCCACCCACCCACCGGCGAGAGCCGACGGTGGTCAGCCGAGGAGTGCCGACCGATCGAGCCGGGAGGCAGGCAGGCCTAGGCAGAGCACTGAGTAACGTCGCGTTGCGCGCATCAGCCTTTCGAGAGGTGTAGTATTGTAAGCGCGTGGAAATCCACCGGATGCAGGCGGTGTGCTACCCTAGCAGGCAGGAAGGCCCAGCTCATGACCGTGGTTGCCCACGCCGACGACGTCCTCATCATCCTAATCATCTTCATCTTCTACTCCTTCTTCTTCTTCTTCTGCGCATTTTTCCCCGCTCAGGCGGGCAGCGCAGGTCAATTCAAGTCAGGTCAGCGCACCGCAGGTCAGGTCAGGTCAGGTCAGGTTAAACCAGAGAGAGAGAAGCGAGAGCGTCGAGCCAACAACGAACGAGGATTCGGCAGCAGCAGCAGCAGCAGCAAAATCAGCGTCGACAAGAAAAAGGAAGACATTTGGGGATCTCGCGAAAGGAGGGACGGGGATGGGGAGGGGAGGGCAGGGGAGGGAAGGCCAGGGAAGTGACGGAATGGATTCGGATGAGGGTGGGGGCAGTTTGCATGGCGTTGTGTAGAGGGATGAGGGTGGGGGACGGGGAGGATCAGGGGTAAATTGTGAGGGAGGGGGGGATTCCCCAAGTGTAGGAGGAGGAGGGGAGACGAGACGAGCCCAAGAAAAGTGGGAGGAGAGACGGAGAGATGGAGGAATCACTATTTGGTTGACCGTTTGTCCAATGGAGCAGATACGATGCTTGATGGCGAGGAGGAGCATAAATAGATAGGGAGGGAGGGGGGGAGAGGTCCGAGGGCGGTCCTGAGGTCTGCTGCTCGGTGGTACTGGTGCTGCTGCTGTTGCGGCTGCACATACTTCAACCACTGACCGATGGTACTGCGCTGTGCTGAAAAACAAATCGAACCAGAGGGCTTCACTACAGGACGCTGGCTGCTGCTGCTGCTTCTTCTGCAGCGGATTGTTTTATATCATGTGTACACATTCCCCTGCGAGTGAGGGAATAAAGCGGTGGTCAGATCACGTCAGTCGGTCCGTCGCTGGCTCGGGTTCGGGTTGAGGTAGGCGTAGGGAGGGAGGGAGGGAGGGAGGGAGGAAGGAAGGGGAGGAGAGGAGAGGAGAAGAGGAGGAAGGAAGAGGGAGAGGGAGAGGAGGACGGAGGAATCGACAGAAATTAGATTGGGAAGGAGGAGGACGAACGGAGGCCGATCGGGACTGGTAATAGTGTTCACACGGCGAAGAAAAGACGAGGAGAATGAGATCAGAGTGTTGACAGACAGAGAGAGGAGAGAGAAGGAGCATTTTCAGCATTCCATGGAGTGCCACTTTCTTTTTCAGGCATTTTCCTTTTGACCGACCAGCGTTGTTCGCGGCCTGGCCTGCTCTCCTGCCTTCCCTTGTGCTGGCCTGCCTGCGCTTGGTGCCATAGGACCAGAGGGTGAGGTAGAGAGAGAGAGAGAGGTAGAAAGACGCGGAGGGGGAGAGAGAGAGAGAAAGAGTGAGAGGGAGAAAGAGGGAGATGGAGATTTGAGTCTGGGGCCGAAAGAAAGAAGAACGTGTGCGCATTTTTGGGGGTCAAGAAGTGCGTCCCAGGTCTGTACTGCTTCTGTGCTGATGCTCTCCCAGGCTTCAGGGATCCCTTCGATGGAGCAATAAGGGGGAGACGGTCTGTAGGGGTGGGAATGTGGGTTTTGGCGCCGAGTATTCACTCATTGCTACAGGACGTATATCAAATTATTCCGCCGAACTCTCTTCTGAACGGAAATAAGAGCGCCTATTTCTCCATAGTCAGCTCTTCGCTGCCTTGAGCTGAATTTTGCCATGTCTACTTTCTTTCTTTCGGCATCGGACTCCTTCCGCTGCTGATTCGTCGTCTGTGCAGGTCGAGTTTGTGCGACTGTCACTTTGCGCTAATTGGAAGGAGAGGAAAGGCGGCAACAGTTGGTTTCAGAGTGGGAGAGAGTTCATGTGCCGCTGCTCCAGTATTAGCTTGAAGCCTCAGCCTGGAAAGGAAAATCAAGTCAAGTGAGCAGCTTGAGCTGTGTTTCGGAGCCGGTTTGGATTCTAAGCACATCGGGGTTCAGCAGAGAAGGGCGATATCTGAGTGCGATTTGAACTTAGTCTTGACAAATTTGAATCGAGGTAGGACGGATAGACGCCGGGCACGATTTACTGATGTCTCCTGGAAATAACGCCAAGGAAGCGAGCTAGCCGACCGATTGAAATCGAACACGGAGGATGATTTTTTTGAATTGAGCAGGTGCAACTGCGAGGACTTGCTCTCGAGCAGTGGTGATGAGTACACAACCTGTTCGGGTCTGGCAACAACAAGCGGTCTCCGGACTGTCATCTGCCGGTCGAACCTTTGGTTCCAGTGTGTACCTATCGGGAGTTTGCATTTGTTTAATGCGCGGGGTTGGAAAAAGTAATCCCCTAGATCCGACTCAACCAAACCTCGAGCGTTGTAATGGATCATTTGCCGTGGAAAGCGATCGAAGGGAGGTTACAGCATGCGGTTCCGTAATCTGCAATGTATCAGGCCTGCTCTACTAATTCTCCCTGGAACAAACAGCTCTGGTTTATTGGAGGAAAGTTTCCAAGGTGACCTTCTGGATACTGGAGTGCTCAGAGGGCAAACGATATCAAGAGACATGTAAGATTGGTCCGGAACATTTGTTATAGTCATATATCTAAACTTGTACTCCTCCTTTTAACGTAATCTATTTCATGGCTGGTGCCCTATTACATAGTATACTTCATTTCCAGCAAAAGGTTGTGCTGACATTATGATCACCAGGACTATTTGAGGGATAGCCGAATCGGAGCCTATTTGATTGGTGTTCTTTAGAATCTGTTGTCTTCCTCCGATTTTACTTCGTGGAAGCAATTTTAGTCCGCTTATTGGCAATCTCTTGCCCACGAGAGTAAGTCAGTTATGTTGGGGCTTGGAGCCCACTAGCAAGGTTCACATTGCGAGGCTACCCTGTGATGACGAAGTAAGTCATATTCTGTCGGCACAATAATCCTTGTACCTGATCACGCACTGAACTTGTTCATAAGACAATGAGCATCTTAGTTCCCGATTGCTCAATGCTTTTCTTGGAACCTTAATAATGTGGAAATAAGTCGATGGACGCCACTCAAATCAGGAAATCGCTTGGCCCCTGGTTTCGAGGTTGTTATCTCCGATGAAGCATTAATGCTCCGCGTGAGTTTTGTGACCCCATCCTATATCCTTCAAGGTCGTAATGGGTGGTTGGATCTATAACATGTGGTCGTACTTGTAGTTCTGTCTCTTGCGTCTTCTGCCAAGTATTACTGCCAAAATGGCGGCATTTTCCACCAATATTGGCATGGGCTTGGGTCTGCCTCTCTCAGAAATCCTATGTAAGTTGGAGACCAGATTTATCTCTAGGGTCTTCTAATTCAAAGGGGAATATCAAGGCATACAATGCTAAACCATAAACAACTCACCACAAGTTCAACGGACTCATTGACATGATGATCAAACTTGCCTTCTACTTTTTTACTATAATCCTGCCGAGGGTCTTGTCAATTAGATGCTAGTTTTATTTCTTGTATCAGATTGTATTCGAACTCACTTTTATGTCAGGGTACGACTTTACTGCTTGTTGGATCCTTTTGTTAGATTCAAGTGTCTGGAACCTGTGTTGTACATTCATACGTAGGCATCAAAGGTGAAAGAAGTTGAACTCCATGATTTTTATGCCGTTTCCTCCCAGTCGTTGACTTGTGTTCTTGCCATTAGCCCTCTTTTTCCAGACTCTTGCCAATACATCCCAATACCTGAGTATTCGTGAACATTTGTTTTTTTATTGAAAGTTTAGAGTTATTTGTGGCAATGTTGTACGAAAACATCGTTACAAGATTCTCCGTTGATTCAGATAGCGCCTTAGGCAGTTGTTCTGCATTTGTTACTGTGAGGTATGAAATCCCAGTTTGTTTACGAACTTGTACAGATGATCAGTACAAATGAACTCCTCTCCACGTTTTAATGTTTTGCAGATCATGTATGCTGCAAAGAAGTTTTCGACTTCAAGCCTTGTTCCACAAAGACCTGGACAGGTTCCTGACCCCCGTGGCTCGAACGCCGCCGGGGGATCCACGAACTCAGGGGGCAGTCCCGTCGCTTCTGGAGGTGGTGGCGGTGGATCTGCTGCGAAACAACGGCTTAGATGGACACCTGAGCTCCATGAAAGATTTGTCGATGCAGTCACCCAACTTGGTGGTGCTGACAGTGAGTTTCTGAAGTCATGTGCAAACCCTGAAATGCTTTTAAGATGACCGTTGTACGACACATCTTTTGGTATCACTTCAAGAGCCTGTAGAATTATCTGCGAATCGCATGTCTGACATCACTCATGGGTGTGAGTGCGTAAGAGCAATCTTGGTTCCAAATTTCTATTACGCAATATTTGAAGGGTTCATGGTTTTGGGTCTCCCGCAGAGTCGTCCATGTGATGACAACCTCTCAGAAGCATTTTACGATTGCAGATGTCTTGCTTATGCCTAGGCCATTGTTCATACTAACTTTGTGTATGTTGTTGACTTATGTTCGCAGGAGCTACTCCTAAAGGTGTGCTTAGGGTCATGGGTGTACAAGGTCTTACGATATACCATGTCAAGAGTCATCTTCAGGTCTACCATCTTTTCTTGCATCAGCCAATTGCTTTCTGCATGTTAAGTCATGCTTGGGAACTGTACCGACGAGAGGATGATCTGTGGGTAGTATTTATTTGTATGTCTAATAATCTTGATACAACAATGAGAAACGAAACGTTCAAGCAATCATTATGTGAGATTCCCTGAGTCCTGCTTGGTTGACAGTAGTTTGTTACCTCAACCACCATAAATATATTGCTTCAGTTCATAAGGTTTGCGGAGTAGTCTCTCTCTGAGTTCAATCATGAACAAAGTCACTCCTGTAATCAGCTCAGGGCTCAGCTCGAATCCATCTAGCCGTAAGGTTTGTTGCCGATTGTTGTGTCTGAAGAAACCTTTGTTCAAGGAAGGTCTTTGCTGCATCAGTCTGTTGGGTAGTGTTGAAAATTTTGCGGTCAACTTTGCACCTATACCTGTTCTTACAGAGGTATCTGAGCATAGAGCCATCTTGCTGTCAGTCATGTCATTGGTTGATCATTTGTATTTAGGGGTGAGTGCTATCTTTTCTTATTGTCCCTCGTAATGTACTCAGTGTTGTATGCGATTTTCAAATGTGCAGAAGTATCGATTGGCCAAGTACATTCCAGAATCGATGTCCGATGGTGAGTGATAGGAGAATATTATAAAGATTGGAAGGTCTAGCTTGCAGTTAAAGACGTTGGAAGTTGGTCCTTGCCTAGCAGATGTACTTAGAGGGTCACATCCTAATATTTATACTTATGTTGCAGGCGGGAAATCGGAGAAGAAGAAGAACCCGGCTGACATCATTCCATCTTTAGATGCAACTTCGTAAGTAACTACATCCGTGTATTGGTGTTAAAGTGACCGAACTGTAGATAAATCAGCCTAAATAATCCATGTGTTTTATGACCTGTAGAGTTTTAGTGATCATGATCGTCTGAGTTGGTTCGACCCGATGTGACTTCAGATTATCTCCTTGCCTGGGTACAAAGTTTTTGCAAAATTTAGTTCCTTTTTGATTTTATACTTACCTGTTTTGGATCGTAATTTGAACAGTGGAATTCAGATTACGGAAGCATTACGTATGCAGATGGAAGTACAAAAACGTCTCCATGAGCAATTAGAGGTACATAACCGTGTTGCGTAACCGTTATACGTTTAGTCCTTGAAGTACCAAATATACCTGAGGTGAATCACACATTTCGGGACGAAACCAATGCACTTCGGTATACTGTGGTGACGCCCCGAGCTGCGTGATGACACTGCAGTCCTTGATTCATGATCAACTACTTCTGTTGGCTTGTTGACAGCCAACTCATCAAGTTTGTGCCTAAAGTATATGGACGGTCTCCTGCGTTCGGTTGAACCATTTTTGATAGATTCTTTTTGCCTTACCTGACCGTCAAATGTCACTTTGCATCGATAGAGATATAGGATGCTTCACAACGTACTGACTTTATTGTAGAGAAAACTCAAGACGCTAGTTCCAAGTGATACGTTTCTCCTGACTATATCCTTCCTTCGTGGGTTGGGACTTTGCTGTACAGGTACAAAGACATCTCCAGTTACGTATTGAGGCCCAAGGTAAATATCTCCAGAAGATCATAGAAGAGCAACAAAGACATGGAGGTCTCTTGAATGGACGTGCCGTGCCTTCTGAACCAGGTTCAGCAACATATCCAGTTCCGCTGGCAGAAATGGCCCCGGGACAAACTCCTGCTGGCGGAGTAAAGTATGATTCTACGTCGGTTTCTCTGCCTGAAGGTCCCGGAACGAGTAAACCATCCACTGAAAGCTTGGCCCCTGGTAGCAGTGTACAAGCTACTACGGAGGCACCCGCCTTGGAAACCAGTGGGCCAGTAGATCAAGCTTCAGGCCTTACGTCACAGCCTCAAGAAACGGCTCAGTTTTTAGGATACAGTAGTGCGGACAAATCTGGTGGACAAATTGCTCAGCCGCCACAGAAGAGGATTCGGCTGGATGAAAGTTCAGTACAATCCCAACCACAGTCCGAAGCAGCCAACAATTTATCTGGTCAGGCGGCAAGTTTTCCTTCAGCCGACTCAATGTCAGTAGAGGGAGTCAGTACACCATTTCATTCCAATTCTCAGAACTATAATCCAAGTGCGCAGGAGTTTGCACCACTTTCTGCGTTTCAATCGTCTACGGGCGGATCTTTTCCGCAGCAGTCCTCGACGCAGCAAAGTGAGAATGTTCAAGGGCGAGCGCAATATCAAACAGGATTTCAGCAGCAATCTATGCAGCCGATTGACAGTAGCGTTGGCCTCGTAGCACCTCCACAACATTCACCAAGACCCCAACCACCCTCACAGCCACAACTTTCTTCAACCCCTATTCGTAGTCAGTCACCCATGAGGCAAGAAGCGAGGGTTTTCTCCAGCTCTGGTGTTGACAACTTGGAGGAATCCGATAACGGTGGAGTTCCACGCAAGCCACAGTTCGGAGCTAATTCCCTGGACGTGGGGGGAGGGCAGGGACGAAACCTACCTTCGTCTCAAACAGGAGTATATGAGCAGTGGGATTAGATTATAGCTTTTCATTTAGTGAAACCCTGAAGGCGATGTCAAGCTTTTGCCAGTTTGACTTGGACTGGAACGAATATGTCGAAGATGAGGCCACTGGGTTCTTAGAGCAATGCGAGATTTAGATACTTGCACAAAGAAAGGCTTTTAGTTGGTAGCCACAACTGAGGACCATGCAGATTTGAGCTGATGAGGATACTTGGTCTGAGCACAAGTTGATGGTCCTACCACGAATTGTTACTGGCAAGCCAATCGGCCACACCGAAGTGGAGATGTTTACGTAGAAGTAAAGTGGCTGATCTATAAGTGATTGAATATGCAAAGTTTCTAGATCTCGCCATCTACTGTCCTCCCGATTCCACCCCGGCTCGAGAAGGGTTACTACTGTTGACCCGAAAGCAGTGCAGGGTGCAAGAATCTACAGACCTGTACGGCAAAGAGGCAAGGGATTGTAGCTAGACTCCCTTATGCAATGTTCCCGCTTCCTTTTCTTGTTAGTGCGGGCAAAAGTGTTGAGGGACTAGATTTGAGTACAGTGGCTGTCTGTGGTTGATGTCCAGGATCTGGAAGGGGCCTGGGCGTTGAAAACCTCTAAGCTGGTCTCTATTTGACGAAAGCCAGGATGTCGAGTGAAGAGGCCAGGAGCTGTCAAGAAATACTTGCCCTAACTTGTACTTTGAGAAGCGCACCCACTGGTGCTTACAGAATCTGGGGCCAGAGAGATCTGTTTAAAGTCCGGGACATGCCATGTCGCTAGGTAGACCGACCTCCTTTCCTAATCTTCAGGAGCGGTATACTACCGATCACTTCTACCGAATTTCAGTAGAATCTACGGAGCCAGATTACCCGCCATTTCGGATATTCCTAGTACATTCACTCGGGGATTCACTAATTCCACAAGTCATCAATCAGGGTGAGCTTCGACCAAAACTGCCGTTGTGTTTCTTACGTTGCAGACCCCCTCGAAAGTCTTCGGCTGCTCGTGCTTTCAGAGGATGGTTAAAAGAGTTGGGACACTCTTTTTCTCCCTTTTGCGCTTTTGAGTCGAAATACCTTGGTACTTGATTGATGCTTGTTGTACTTTGATCGATGAAGTAATCTATCCACTATCCTTCCGGTGAACGGCAGAATTACTTGCACTTTATGCTCCAGTGAGCTAGAGATTAGCGTTCTTGTAAAGCAGTCGATTAAATACACTTTTGAATAGAAGACTTAGAATTGAGTGAGACTTGCGACTGTCACATCATGTGTTATGACTGCAATTCTGCTTCAACGATCTCCATTATGCAGATTAATCATTACTACTTGTTGTGGTTTATGGGGACATGTTTAGAACGTTGAATGAATCGGCTTGCTTGATTTTCGACTGCACATGATGTTAGCTGAGGTGCATGTGCAATAAGAAAACTTGCATAGCGTCCACTACTACTATGTGGTAGGAAGGTAAGTAAAGTGTTTCGCACTTTTCATCGATTATAAAAATTCTCACTATTCTTGGTTCATTTTGTTGTCTGCTTGCCAGCTGTGGCTTGTGGCTAATTTGTTTGTATCTTTCCTGCATAAAGTAATGCGTTTGATTGTAATTTATCATGTTCTAATCAACATAATAATTTTCTTCCAAGTTTTTCTAAACCAGAGGGACCACATTGAGAGGGCAAGTCCTGTGATTGTATATGGGTTTACTAAGCTGCTCGTACTTGATCAAGAGATTTGATGCCAATGAAAATAGTATTTACATGATCGTGTGCATGTGTCTCTGGTCTTTCTTTGTAACCAGGATGCAAGGTGTTTCAGACTCTGGAATTTTATTATTTTCCATGACTAGTAGATGCCAACAGTGTCGTGTCAAGTATGAGTAGATGATCACATATCTGCTCATATCAAATCCAATGGAAAGGAAACCACGTGAGTAAAGTTGTCACTTCCCTTGCATTTAATGTATGTGTATTTTGGAGTTTGCAATCTGATTAACGTGAAAAGATAAAAAGATTGTTTGAGACCTAATTAAGAAATTCCTTAGGCAGCTCAGCAGCATGTATCAATCGTAATCTTGTTACAGAGGGTCGACTTTGTCACAGTCGTTAAATATTTGCCTCGATTACTGTAAGGTTTTACGACGTCTTGTTTAGGTGTAAAAAACCTATAAATTGACACTTTTGAGAGTAAACTGTGTTTTCCTATATACCAGGAGGTGATTTTACTTGGTGTACAGTCAATGTACCACTTGTTGTCAACTTGTGCCTGGGGAATTCTCGTGAACGTACAAATTCTCTTTCATGCCCATACATGTGTATCTTCAATACTATATCACATTCTCTGGAACGTGAATTCTCGCCCATCCATACCGTACTGCCCGTACATCAGATGGACATCGTAAAACTGGTGACGATGTGGAATAATAGTGGACAACTGACGACTTACAACTGAGGAAATAACAATTCAGTGGAATGTACAACGTCCGGTAAGATACATAATATACATGAAATGGACACCATGACACCAGGACACCATGAAATGTACAAGTTACATTACGGAACCTGATCTGTTACATTCTCGGCTACCTCTTATATCCTACTATGGTAACCAGATTGTGGACCTACAACATAGTTGGTACAATCTTTGGGTCGAAGGGAAAATGGACACTGCCAAGTCCTGTGATTTGTGGACAGCTATTTTGACCCGACTTTCATTTCTCGTCCAGGCCACTGGCGAGCAAATCATATGTCTGTATCATCACTTTGTAACCAATGGACGTATCTCTGAAGGGAATTTCTGACCAGAGCCTTGGCATTTGTTTCGATTTCGAGGTCGAAGAATGCTCCGTAAAGCCGATCATACTCCAGCGTTTCCATGATTTTGGAGATTCTCTGAGAGTGAGATCCAGACAGTGGGATGTAATTCGGAAACGAACGCATGACGCTGACCGCCTTCCTGTCCATAGTAACCTGCCAGAGCAAGCAAGGCGAGTGATAAAGAGCCCACAACGTCCTCTCTGAGAATTCCTTCCTAGCAAATGGGATCCTTCACGAACTACCAGACTGGTGGAGTACCAGAATGAAGACCCGTCACCGTGAGCCCAATTTGCTATCTTTTATGGTGCACAATCGAGCTGACGAGTGTTGAAATTGCCAGTCTAAGTGAGAATTAAGCGAACTAACTACAGGCTCAAAGGATGCCCACAATATGCTCTCATCTCTACAAACTAACATGCTTCGTTCGTGGTGTACCTGGAGAATGTCCCCGGAGATTACTGCACCTTTCCCATCGGCGCCAGATGGCCAGTGCAAGATAGAGCCACCGGGGAAATGACCACCGAGGCGGACGAGCTGTATGCCATCCCACAAGGACAGAGTCTCGCCACTCCAGTAGCTCACATTCTCGTGGTCATATCCAGCCCACTTCCTGTCTCTGAAGAGCAGTCACGAAAAGGGTCAGACAGAGAGAGATGTAGCGAGGTCATCAAGACAAAACTCGCCACCATTCATCATTGAGGAGAAAGCTGATGGACGCGGAGGTGCCTACTTTTCATGCATGTACACTGGAATGTTACCGAAAGCTGCACTCCATTGTGCATTAGCACTGTAGAAATGCGGGTGCGAGATAGCTATAGCTCGCAGGCCACCTAAACCCTTGATAATGTCGATGGTAGCATCGTCCAAAAACGTCACACAGTCGCAAAGCAGATTTCCATCTGCGCACACAGAACACCACATCCTGATCTGATCATCGAACTGCAGTCAATTACTTGTTCAGAGGAAGCTGTCTTCGCCTGAAGGCTACTTGTGAAGAAAACGGGGTCAATTTGACAGCGAAGGAAGGAAGGAAGGTGATCGTACTGGGAGTCTGAAGAAGAAACGCGCGTTGGCCTATGCCGAATTTGGGGACGGTGGCGATTCCATACAGATTCTGCTCATGCTTTTGGTACATATTTCGGTATCCTCGTTGCTTCAGTTGCTCTTGTTTGGTCCATCTCTGTCCTCCCCTGCTCGTCAGCCCAGCGTCCACAAATCAGAATCCCCTGCCTGATTCGGATTCCAAAAACCCTCAGACATGCCATGAACATGTCTTCCACTTATGGAAAATCACACCTCCGTCTCATCTTCATAATCAAACATGAATCTGCTGTAAAATTCGTCGGAGGCAGAACTGATGGTGGATTGCAAACAAAAGGGCAGAAAACCAGACGCGGCAAGGGATCCAGCAAATTGCAGATTGCAAATTGCTTTCCCCCGTGACGAGAACAACTCGAAAAGGGCACACCGTCCTCTTCGCAGTGAGTGAACGAGAGCACGACCGAATGAATGAACGAATGAATGAGAAGAGTCAGAGCACGAACTTGGGCACGAATTGGCGTTCGTCGACGCAGATGTGACACTCGGCTGGTGGATCGGAAGACGGTGCGAACTGAACCCCACAAGTTTCGCAGATCCAACATTCCTTATCGAGCCTCGCGACCTCCTCCATGCCTTCTCCTCTTCCGCACTCGATGCAAACAAATCTCGTGCAAACCCTGCGTTACCAAAATGGATCCGAGCTCGAGCTCGTGCGATGTCCGATTGACGAGGACGGCGAAGAGAAAGAAGAAGATACCAAATGTAGCTAGTCCAACGGGGCCATGATATCGTTAGCTGACCGGACATGTGCAGGTCAACGGGCGAGCACGTGAGTTGACCGGTGATGGGTAGATGTACGTTATCCCGAGTCCCATCTCTCTGAGTGCCAAGTGTTATCGAAACTATACACGGAACAGGAATTAGTTGATTCCGAGGATAAGGCATGTAATTGTATGAATTCAACTCACGCAGTGAGAAATAATATAATATGATTGCTTTGCCGCGACGTACAAGTCAAGGAATTTACTCGAACGAAAGAAAAGACAATTTCTACATTGTCATATACTAAGATCTACAACATCTTCAATCCGAGCCCGCATCACTAAATTCATCTACTTGGTGCAGTTTCACATCCAGCTAAACCGTGACGGTGCTTTATGCAGGATAACACATTGAACTATTGGATCCAAACACTAACAACTATCCATAGATTTTAATTGTAAAGAGTGAGCAAGTTTTCAATACACTCATTTTGAGAAACATATTATATTGCATATATTACATACATGGTATATGTATAAATTGAAATAATTGTACTTCTAAAACATCAAAAATAATCATATAAACTCTATCGAAAGAGAAACGAAGCCATTAGAATATGACAAAGGTTAACGTCACTAGAAGGGGGTTTAAACCCATTGCCCTCATTTTTTGTTCAAGAGCAAGAACCAACATGTTGGACATTTGGAGATAGTCATATGAGGAAGTATTGTACTCAAGAGTGCAGTGGAAGAGGTTCACATGCTAGACCTTAGCCGACATTGGTTGTGTGTGATCATTGTTGTCGGGCGGATCATCCTCCAGAGCGATGTTTTGACCTTCATCCAGAGTTGAGATTTGGAGATAGAGGTCGTGGCAAAGGAGCTCCACAAGATCGAGGTGGTAGAGATGATGGTGCAGGTGCCACTGGACGGCCCATAGTGGGTGCTAAACATACCATAGAGACCGCTATAACTGCTCGGATTAAACAATTGGAGTAGAGGCTTGCTGGGAAGGCTAGTTCTGAAGCAAGAGCTTTCACTTCTCATGATGGAGAAGATTTCTACTCTTTGGCAAGTGTAGCCCAAGTTGAGGCATCGGTTGCATTGACAAGAGTCGTTGCTCGTGCTTCAAATCCACGCGGTATGATCGTGAAGTTGGACCCTCAGAGGGGTGAGGGTGGGAGGCAAGCTAGGCTCATCCAATCATTCTTGTTGTCATAGGTGGGCATGACTTCATCCATGAACCCTACACCACCTAGTAATCATGTAGTGAGGATTGAGACATCTACATCACATGTTGCGAGCACAGAGACATCATCTAGTGCAATGATGCGGATGGCTACTTTGGTGATGAGATCTCCACTGTTTTCAATCACGAAGCTGATTGCCTCAGGATTGATGTGGCTTCTGTAATTCTCGTGTAGCAACCATGTTGTGTGAACGTGAAAATGTCACTGCCACAAGTGTCGAGATATGTGAGGGTATTGTTGAGAAGCAACCCTCAACGCCTACACTCAGAAATGAGGCAACTTGGCAGACGACATCAGCAAGGATGTACTTATTACCAGCCCGGCCAGCCATTGATTGTGATTGGATTGTCCCTAGTGTGTGTATGTTGGACAACCGGAGTGGTTTGTTTCGTTTGGTGAGTTCTACATAATATGTGTATGTCCCAGCCAGAGTTTTGCTTGACTCTAGTGCACAACCCTTGATGTTGGCCAAGGTAACTTGCATTAGTTTGGAAGTTTGGAGATCCGAGTTGGAGCCTTGTACTTTCAAGATCAAGACATCATTTGGTAGTGCCAGTGATAGATCATACTTCATGGCCAAGGAGAGCGTATAAGTGCAGTTGAGTCATGATGACGTACATGATAGCTCATAGCTTGTAGTTCGCGAGGTGGTTACATCAACAAAATTGTATGATGTGCTTGTTGGAGTAGTAATCTTGTATTCGATGGATTTTCAGATGGACTATTGGACAGAGATAACAACCTATTGCCCTGGTTGGCAGTTAGGAGATGGACGTATGAACGAGCTACTTGTGAGATTCATTCTAGAGCTAGACCGCTTGGATCTTCTCCTACAGTGTAGACATCTGTTGCCGGGTTTAGCGAAGTGCTTGTGTGGCTCAATAACTTGCTAGAGTGCAACATGATGGTCAACTATACTCCAGTCTATGAGGAAATGGAATGGATGCACCGGCAGTGTTCTCTTCCTTAGACGTTCCACTCTGGCGTTCTTGTCATGAGTTGCAGCTAGAAGCTGATAGGTTGGTGAAGAAGGCTTGGAGTGAAGCTTTTGAACCTAAGGAGATAGAGACATCTCAAGATATTCAGCTTTTTTGTAGTACTAGTGCGCTATCGCCATTGGTCACTGCATCCATTGCATGGGAGTACTTCCCAGAGGGCGTATGTATGTTGGATCTTTTTGGTGGAATAAACACAAGTTTGGCTGCAGTGTTGCAGTTAGGTATTCTCGTACGCATATAGTTATATGTGGAGAAGTATGAGACTACACTCAGAGTCTCCACACAATTACATGTTACATGTTACACAGTTGATGCAGCGTTATACTTCCATATTGCTGCGATCTGTTGTCCGAACATACCAGAAGACGTTGCCTTTAGATATTTCATTGTTGGAGGCGCCAGACCTTGATCGGGTTGGCCACATTGATCTGGTGATTGCAGGATGGCCATGCTAGGGTCACACACGTGCTGGTCATGGAGAAGGGTTGCAAGATCCTATATCTCGTATGTTTTGGGTGATGGGTGATGTTACGTATGTTAAGTTATCTCCATGTGTATCAAGCAAGTCCTCCGCCGTACATTTTAAAGAACATGCCATTGTTAGGTGACATTTGGACCTAATTAATAGCGAGTGTACATGAGTTGCGGTCGTGAATTGGACCGGCTGTTTTGCTTGATGCAGCAAGAGTTGGAATCTGGCACATCGATCACGTTTGTGGTGGACAAACTTGTTGCCGAGGTAGGTCTTGCGACGTGCATATGACTTTGTGCAAAGCGACCATACTCTTACAATATATAGCATTTCAGATGTTGGGCAACGTTCACAATTGTTGAGGGTTGCTGATCGATCATCTATGCCGGTGGTGAACCGTGTGGAACAGCCTTGGATGATATTCTCCACGTTTGTGAGTTTCTTTACATCACATGCTTTTAGGGATAGTGGTCTCGGGCTTGTATGGAATACTCGTGTGCAGCAATTGGTGGAAAGTTGAGAGAGTTTTCACGAATGCCAAATGTTTGTTCTTGGAAAATTTTGTATAGAGTAAATTACTTATTTGTGTCTTTCAAGTTAGACTTTGAAACTTTGTACGAGTGTGTATTGGAAGAAAACCTACATGCGAGATAGAAAATTTCATTGAGAGATTACGTCTAAAGACAAAGTTGTGTTATTTTGAAGTTCTGGGGTACAAAATCAAGATAAGAGAGCAAAAGTTTCGGACTTCTTTATTCATAGTTTTTGCCAAGTTATAGTCTAGGAGAGGTCTTTTGAATGGTTTGCATCTTATGGAAAAAGGAGTGAACAAGAAGGTTGGAAGGTTAGGTTATCCAAAGTGCTTCAAGGCTTGGATGTTATAGTGTTTTTAGATTTCAATACAAGAAAATTGAAGGTGAGGTTTGAAGAAATAGTAGTAAGTCAATCCCCAAGAGTCAAACGTGAGACTTGCTTCTATCGTGGAGAGGAGAGACATAAGGCTGTCAATTGTTTCCCGCGAAACAAGGATAAAAGATTGAAGACGAAGTGGAAATTGGAAGACTTGAAATTCCACTTGGGTCCATTATCATCACATGAATCCCAAATCGCAAACTACTGCAATAATTGTAGAGTGATTGTACTACCGGCGAGACATGAATGCAATGGAGTGAAGTCACTTCTTGAATCACTTGTGAAAGGTCTTGATGTCATATATAGTGAGGAGACGGAGAAGTTAATCTCGATTGATTCAAGCTCTAACTAAAGATGGAAATCATTTCTCGGATGATGGAAAAGATGATGATGAGGGTAAGATTCATTGTGTGTTTAGGGGAGAAGAGAGCTATATTGGATGAGTGAATTATTTTTGTGTTTACTTTGATAAGAATTCAAGAATGAAGTTAATGATATTTGTGTTGTATTAAAAAGTTCCATATAAATTTCCAAGAGAACCAAAAAAGTTCAAAATGAGGAAACTTGTGGTGTTTTATGGGAGCAAGAATGAGGATGTAGAAGCTTTTGTTAGGGACTTCAAGAGTGCTTGCATAGAAAACAATGAGAGTAAGAATGACAAGTGAACTATGTTTTTGCCAATTTTTTTGGTGTATTCTACTGTCAAGTGGTTTAAATAATACAAGAGAGAGCATTTGGAGGATGACATTTGGAAAACGTTGACGGAAAACTTGATCTAAAACTTACTTCCAAATAAAAGTTATGAAAAGCTGATCTGTGAGGTCAACTTTTTGAAACAAGGAGAGAAAAAGAAGGTGATGATCTATGTGGAGAGAACTGAGAAGTTGGAGTCTAGATTCAACGTGGTGTTTAGGAAGAATGGAGATGAAACGGATGCTACAATGATGAGGTAACTGGAAATGCTCATGAAGAACTTTATTGGAGGTTTTAGACCCGAAATTTGAAGTAAGTTGAGATATGAAAAGTATTCTTTTAAAACTTAAGTCATTCAAATTGCTGTTAAAATGTAGGAAAGCTTAAAAGATGATGATTTTAGCTTGGTGGCTAGAGAAGTAATTCCACCGGTTGTAGGAATATCCATTTTAAACTTGCAAAACTTTCATTTCAAAACTTGCTAGTTTAATCCTAATGTAAATTTGCAAAATGAGTTCAAATCTATCACGTAGCCTCTAGCGAACCTCAAAGATCAATGTAATAAAGTTTTGGATGAAGAGGAATCAGAATGTAGGAGTAGGCTTTAGGGGGTATGGAAATTATAGTCCAAGAGAAAATTCATCTCCATGGAACTTTGTAGTTTCTTGTTTT